ACTAGCAGAGGTTGTAACGGTGCACGGGATGAAGGGCTAGGCTTCATGCTTTGGAAGACTTCGCAAGAACGAATGTACTTGCGGACAAACTGATACTGACGGGGCCAGTAAAAGTCACGACTTATTGCGAGGTAAGTCTTCTCCCTACCACGATGCTCGCCTGACGGCGCTTCGCGACATTCGAACATGATGCGTAAACGCAAATCACCATGAGTGGGGACGACGACACGAGGGGTGTCGTCACAACTACTGTGTAATACAGCAGACCATTGCGAGTCGTGTACCGAGTCAAAAAGGAAAGGTATAAGGCCGGCAAATCTGACAAGAATTTCCGGGACTTGGATAGAAGATGACCCATCAAAATTGAGGAGCTGTGATTCTCCTGCGTACGCCTTCCGCACTTCATCGAGGAAAGGCGATGAAGGCACGCTGACTGAAAGCGCCGCAAAAGTGGGCAAGGCCTCACTATTGACTGGTGTATTCGGCTCGAAATCGGGCCAACGTCATAACACATCAGCGACGACGTTACGTCGTCCTGGTTCGTACTCCACGGAGAAGTTATATTCCGCGAATAAAGACAACCACCTCGCCATTCGTTGCAAGAGGTGGGGACAGTTTACGGATGTTCGCAGTGACGCATGGCCCGTATAGACAATAAACGGTCTATCTCCCAAGAGATAGCCGCGAAACTTATCCAGTGCATACTGTATGGCAAGGAGTTCTTTGTCATGCACTGGGTAGTTGCGTTAGGCTGGTTGCAGCTGACGCGATTGATAGCAGACGACGCGCTCCGCGCCGTCTGTGTCGTATTACAACAATGCACAGCCTATTGCAAAATTGCTGGCGTCTCAGACCACATGAAATGATCTGTCCTGATCTGCAATCACCAATATCGGCGACTGCATCAAGCTTTGCTTGATACCTTCGAAGGAACGCCGACAGTCAGCGTTCTATAACCACTTCATATTTTTTGAATAAACAAGAAAGATGAATAGTCATCTCGGCATAGTTCGGCGAATACTTGTGCAAGTACGCCGCGAACCCAAGGAGGTTCCGCAGTACCTTGACATTGACTGGCACTGGCCAGTCGGTGATTGCCTCGATCTTCTCGAGGTCTGGGTGTACACCGTGTTTACCCACGATGCGTCCGAGAAGTGGTATTTTGCTAGCCGCGAATACACACTTCTTGAGGTTGGCGTACAACTTATGCTTGCGCATGAGCTGAAGAACCTGACGAACGTGAGTTCTATGAACTTCAACGTCCGTCTTCCCGTCCATAGCTCGGCTATGGACGAACACATCGTCGAAGTAACTCGGTGCGAAGTCTCGCACCGGTCTCAACAGATTTGTGACACATCTTTTGAATGTTGCTAGGGCATTACTCAGCCCCTGTGGCATCACTAGCCACTCCCACAGCATCCCGCTGGGGGTACTCACTGCTGTGTACGGGATGTCCGTTCATGCATGAGGATCTGATAGAACCCATCCATCAGATCCATGGATGAGATGATGGTACTCTTTGACATACCATCTATGAGAACGTCCTTTCCCGGTATCGGAGTCTGAGCCGGTACCGTTGCAGCATTCAATTTGTCGAATGCGTGCACTATCCGCCATCCTTCTGTGTCCTTTCGCACACAGAATCTCGGATAGCTGTGAGGGGGAGTTGATTCCCTCACATGACCTGCCGCTAAGCGATCGGTAAAGAACTTGTCGATCTCTACTACTTTTTCACGAGGCAGTGGCCACTGCTTCATGACACAGTACTTCGAGCCCGGTTTGAGCTCGATCTCGTGTCGAGTGCCTTTATCTTTAGGCTACTCGCAAGGTACGGATTCAGGAAACACATCCTTTTATTCGATCAAATACTTATACAAAGGATTTGCCTGGAGCGAATTCCAGGATTGAGATTCATACCTCTCAATCCGAGCCTTCCCATCGATGACGCTTTCGTCCATCGATGAGCTGCTGAGAACCCGTTCGGTCTCAGTAATAACCGTTGCCAATCGAATATCGATAACGTACTCGTCATCTGTGACGAGTACACAGATCTGCTTGACTTTGCCACTACGCAGATCACTCGAGAAACGTTTCGGTTCTTGCGTTGGCAATTGGTTATCTCCGAAGTTAACTTCGGCGGCACTATCAGATCAAGCGTGTAAGCGCCTACGCTTGATCCGTCGTTAACCAAGACATTCACTGCCTCGGTACTTTCTGGGAAGTCACATCCAGAATCCATGAGAGCTTTCTCCACAATGTAGTGATCATCTATATTGTGTTCTTGTACAGTCGTACTAATGGCCGTAACGCAAGTGAGGCCATCGCACTCACTCGAAGTACACCCACATGAGTTTGAGCGTTCCAAGATATTCTTCAAATCGTCATCTGATGAACAAGTGGCTGGCATCGATACTGATCGATGCTGCCAGCTCACCATGGGCTCGTATCTCCTGAGCCACGGTAGTCCTAGGATGACTTCAAACTTGTCACCCAGGTTGAGTACGATGAATTCAATATCGTACTGTTCATCTTTCAACGTGTAGTGGATTCCGACTACACGTTTCTTCACAGTGATCAATGCTCCTGTCGCAAGGCGCACCTTCATTCTTGTTGGAGGGATCTCCCTCTCCACGAAGTTGAAACATCCTACCACTAGCGACTGGCGACGAACAAAGTTGTTCGACGCCCCACATTTAACTAGGGCGCGAAGTGAAAAGTCCTTTACACTTCCAATGTCAAGATGATGAGGGACACTTCGTCGTTAAGTGCAGAGACACACATAAATTATGTATCTGGAGCAACCTTCATCAAGAGATTTGCAAATTCTCTCGATGTTGATGGATCAGTAGGGTGCTCCACCTCTACTGACTCCGACCATTTTTTGATGGTCCGCTTCGCTGTTGCGGCTTTGCAATAGTATAGATCCTCGTCCTCCAGTTCTTCTAACTGTTGGACGGTTACTGCGCTCAGTACCACTGAATTCTGAGTGAAGGATACCGAATTCGTATGCATAGTGTCCCAGCTTATGACAGCGATGGCATCTCACCGTTCGCTTGTCATTCACAGGGCGAGGTTGCTCGCCCTCAACATGACAGAGGTCCATTGGTTCTGGACCTCCGATCGCTGATCGTCTTTGTGGACGATAGGGTGTAAGAGTAGTATGAGCCTGTCTCACACTAAAGTCTTCGAGCTCCGCAGCGTAGATCGCTTCGGAAAGCGTCTTTAGCTCCCCGCGAAACAGGTGGTCCCTGACAGGGCCATCTGCAAGACCTTGAATAAATATTGTGATCTTCACAAATTCACTCACAGGGTTAAATACCATGCAACTTGCAAGGTAGCGCACATGCTGAGCGTAAGAGTGAACCTTACGCTTACCCTGTTTGATCTCAAGGAGTTCAGAGAGAGTCCTGAACTCTACCCTGGGATGCTCAAACGTCTCACTGAGCAGGGTCTTAAAGACGTCTAACGACTCGAACACGTTCGGGTCGTGTAACTTGAGATTTAGGGCCCAATTCCTGGCGTCTTCTGCCAAGTAAGACTGAGCGAATGCGACTTGCATTCGCTCGTTGTCGATGCGACGGGCCTCGATGGAACCGTCGACCTCGACGACCCATCTTAACAGGGAGTCTTCCTCGACTCCCCGATACTTGGATATCTCTAACCTAAGAGACACCTGTTGACGCTCACGCGTCGAACTTGCGGACTGAGACTGATGCTGGCTCGGTTCTTCCGTCCGCTGAAGATCTTGTTGTTGCAACAAGGTCACCTGCGCTCGCGACTCGTCAAGTTCTCGCTGCAAGAACTTGCTAATGACGGAATGATGCCGGTCTCTATCCCTTGTGGATAGCATGGCCCAGATAGCTTCCTCGCCAACGGTCGAACTCATTCGTTCGATCGTACTCCATTCGACATCGCTCAAATGGGAGTAGCTTGCACGAGTTCCGTGAAATCTGTCGCCTTCGAATTCGTCCAACATGTTCATGTTGGGCGACGCGAGTGTGGTCCTTGGACGGACTACAAAGTGCTACCAGGTGAAACGGGGCACTGGTGACTACGTACTGGTCGACCAGTACGGAGTTTACTTCCACTGACAACAGTGGTAGTCAGTGCCCTGCTAAGTGTTGCACCAACACAGAGGTTGGAAAGGAGACTAGTTAACACGCTAGTCTCTGGTAAAAGTAAAACTGTTATTTAATATAATTAAGTCCTATCAATCTTATGTCTCTATTTATCTTGACTTAACTATGTTAATCTAATTAAACGTATGATAACGCCTACGCACCACCCATTGCGCGCGTCTGGCAGCGATTGGTGGGTTGATATCATCACGATATCAACCAATGAGTAGACCCTTCGGTCATCTTCAACAAAATCATCATGATCTGTGATATTGTTGAAAGAATATCCAACGTAATATTCTTTATTGCCATTTTATCCTTAGTGACAATATCATGTAACGGGCTACCCCGTTACAGTGTCGGTGCGCAGGAATGTCTTTCGCAGAAGCTGTAACGGCCACAAACGTATTGCTCGAAGTGGGCCGGCACCATTCAACGATGAGACTAATCAGGTATTGCACAGAAAACGTGATCGGAGCACGGAACCGAAGAACAGTTATGCTACAGCAAGTACACACTTGATGGGAACACCACACTGTCCATTTCGACCGATACGGTACGTTTAGGTACGAGGCATACGAACAACGATGAATTGGCTGCTCAAGAGTATGTAACACCATCCAACACATCCCCGCCGTAGTTGACTCGGATGTGGACCCTACACCAAAAGCCAAAACTTCGACCTACCAGCAGACTTTATCGAAAGAAAACACTTGTCTTTCGTCCATTTTGATACATGCATCAGGGCTTCAGCGATTATTGCTAGTCCTCTTGTTGCGTTACAGTCCTCGATGAAATGGAGCGCAAATGGAAAGTATAGACGAACGCCGAAACGCGTATCTTGTCACCGGTCTCGAATCACGTAGGACACGCCCTGTGCAGTTATCCAAGAGTCATAACGCTCTTAAAATAGTCAACGATTCGAACCCGGTCTTGCCATGTCAAATCGTCTTCCATGACTTCGTCACATACGTTTGCGAGGGTCTTGCCCTCATCCCTCCAACGCTGAATGAGAGCTCTGTCAAACTCTTTGGTGAAGCTTGACACTTCTTTCCTCTCCAGTATCGTCAGCGTGAGAACGTTATCGCCAAATTGCGTTCTTAGATACGCAATTATATCCATCCCACCGCCACTTATTTTGTTGCATAGTACGAGGTATTCAGCGAAAAAGTCCAGGTTTTCGTATACCAGACCTCTCTCCTTCAGCTCGGTGAGCTCAAGTAAGTCAGAAACGGCATAAGCATTTTTACGGCTTTTCGCCCAGCTCGTTAGCATCGCATGCCGCAGCTCCACTGCTTTTTCCCTGGTGACAGGATTCATTTTTGCAATTGACAAAATGGGTGCAAGTTTGGCTGCGCCACCAAAGACTATTAGCAATGGATCCAGCAGCCCGACTACATTGGTTGATGCCGCCAGGAGATCGCCTACGAAATCCGCCGACGATTTACTTTCGTCTACTTGGCGGTCCGAGAAGGAAATCTCTCTCATTTTCATGATTCGGAGTGCTTCTTCTTCTTCCCGCATAATTATTGAGAGTCCTGTGTCGCCGAACTTTCTCCGCAGATACATTAGCGCATCAATACCGGTTGTATAGTGTTCGTTGCGCACTGAGATGTATTCAACGAAAGTATTCATGTTTTCGCAAATCAGACCACTCTTCCAGATTTCGGAAAGACCAAGCAGGTCAAAAACGGCATCGTCAGTCTTACCGCTGTCCAACCAGCTCAGAAACATCGCGTGCTGCAGCTGCTTTGCACTATCCTTGCTGAAACCGCTTTCCCTCACGGTTTTCAAGAGAGGTGCAAGTTTGGCTGCGCCGCCAAAAGCTGCCAACAACGGACCCAGCAAGCTCTCCACATCGAATGCAAGCATAAGGATAGTATCGATAAATTCGGCGGGTGTTTTTCCGTGGCCGATCGCTTTCTTGATAAAGAGTCTGTCGACAAGCTGAGGCACCTTCGTTCCTCCCAATATCATCAGCGCGAGTCTACTATCGCCACACTTCTTTATGAAATACGAAAACGCATCGACTACTTTACCACGTGCCTTCGTGCGACGTTTGTTGTTGTAAAGTAAAATGTACTCAGACAAAATACACATCTCTTCGTATGTGAGACGTTTCGGTTCCGACGTGGAGGACCCGAGCAATCTGGAAACGGTTTGGACAGACTGACCCTCGTTCGCCCATCTCTTTAGCTTCGCACGCAACGTCTGCTGTGAATGACCCACGGCAGGGCGACGCCTTCTGCCGGTCGACACAGCGGGTGCGAGTCGGGGCGCAGCACCAGAGTCTATCAGCAACTGATTCAGCGACTCGTAGTTCTTCCTTCCGTTCACTTTGCTGGCAAAGCGCTCTACATCGGAAGAAGTGAAACCGTCGGTTGCTGTCGAATCGTGTCGCATCCGGTACATCTCATCCATCGAATTGCTGTTTGGGACGATTGTCGCGTGCATAAGTTGCTTAGCACCACCGTCTTCAAAGGTGTGGGTCTTGTCGAGAATCATATGATGCAAAGCCTTCTCGTCTGCTTTTGGTGGAGCCACTCTTTCCAATGTGCAATGAGATAGTATCTCCACAGCTACCTCGTGGACGTGGGGGTCAAGTTCTTTCCATTCGTTCCAAGCTTCTTTGGTAAGCATGTACGCCTTGTCATTAGCATGAAAAACTTTCATGGCTTCTTCGACTGCATTTGCTACCACCTTTTTCGTCAGTCCAGACACCAGTGAGGCCATGGTTTCTTGTGGCATCCTCTCATCACTATTCATGGTGTTTTCCGCCATCATAAGCCGATTGGCCGGGATGTTGTCGTGAGCAGGACCATCGAAGTGAGCACTGGTCTGGTTCTTTACCTTGTTGGAGCCGGAGGAAATCACAATACGCGTCAGGAGTGCAGCAGTACTCAGCTGTACGATAGGACGTAGTCGCATCTTGGGGCGGAGTCGATGTGGCTTCTGGAGTCGAGTCGAAAGGGCCGAAAACGTAACTCGCACGGCCGACCAGTCACTTTGGTCAGGAGGCACAAATCGAGATTATTGGTTTGCTTTCGTGTGGCCGCGAGACCTGTCTAAATCAGTACTATATTCAGATAAAAAGGAGCCAGTCTTTTATCTCCACCTTTTCTGTAATGATACCCCACCCGCTGGTAGGTAGGTAATCGACTCACGATACTTGATCTAGCAGTGCAACTTCCTCGCGCCTTGCAGTTTCAAGGAAGTTGTACTACATCAAGTACCTTTCTCACGAGAAACAGGAAAGAAGTTTGTCCGAGGCGTGACAAAAACAAAGTGAGCGCATCCTTCGGATTCGTCTGCTAGAACTCTTTCTCCACGTGGTCTGACCTAGTCTGAGCCGTTTCTGTCACTGACGTTTCATCCTCGCCGTAATGTGGCACTAGATGAGATGCCCCCAGTGTCCCGACCCGACAAACATGCACCGATTTCAATATCAACGAGCGATAACGCTGTTGGTGCCACTGGTCTTCTTGGCAACAAGTTCAGGTAGGAGCCCTTTCTGTTGGCAGATCCGACATCTTCGGCGTTGCACAGCATAAGTCAAAGAAGATTCAATGGCGACTGAAGCCGCTACGTTGGGGCCTTTCGCCAGCCACGGGTGAACACTTGCGAATGATCATAAACGAAACATATACAGCTTCTACTACGTGTCCAGTCAAAACGCGCTTGCGATGGTGTGGAGTATCCTCAAACTCATTCGCCATTCTCTGTAGTTATGTCATAATTTAATTGGTATAGTCCACTTTCGGTATGGCCCGTATTGGATTTACCTGTCACCGATGCTGATCACAGCTATTGGCAGCAAGAGTAGTGCTTGATGAGAAAGAGAACGCATCCAGGACAATTTCGAGTACATGTCAACGAGTCGGAGTTGTATGTAGTCGCAGCCAGCTGCGCATAGTCATAGTCGTTTCGTATGGTCACACCAACTTGCGCACATTTGCATTTAGTTGTACTCAGCTTCAGCAAGTTGCACATGGTCGGAACCAGTCGCACTTGGTCGTACTCTGCTCACTCAAATGAAGTTGACCGTGTTCTCTATTAGCAACTTGGACTTGTGAAAGACCTGTACCCTTGTCGCTGTAGGCTGCCTCTGGCAAAAACACATCACCGCGGCCAGAAGATACACGTTGACAAGAAGGCTCTTCGCTCCTCACTTGGGCGTATTCCAGTAAGCTGGTGAGAATCAAGCTTTCGCTTTCGAAAGCCTTGATTCTTGCTGTTGATCGTGGCTTTGATTAGTCAATGAGCAATGTGATATTGACGGCCCCTGAGTATTACTTTCATTGCAAGTCCGTAGGGCGAATCGATTAGTCAGTGCGCGTAAAGTGACAATCGAACATCATCGCAGCTACTTTCTGTGTCTGTGTTTGTATGCTGTTTGTCACTTTGCTTGGGCCACCAACGGAAAAGAGTCTGCTAGCTACGCACACGCACGCACGTGACTGGCCGAAAATCGATTGGGGGGCGAACCCGCTTTTTAAAAGTCACAATGATGTGTTGTCGTCGATGTTAGCATGCATGGAATACTAAAGACGCAGTCGAAAGCTGTCGTTCGAGGTATCACTCGTGGAGGACTTGTTTCCCACGCACCGATCAAAACATTTTGGCACTTGAACGGTGTCACGCACAACAATGCAGTTATTCATTGAGTATAGATTCGAAAAAAGCAATAAGTCAAGTGCCACAGTCTTGCTCGGCGACAGATAAAGATCCCGCGCTTTCGACTTCTCGTTGATACAGTACTACCATCAGTCGCAATTTGTTGTTGCCGTTGTGTTGGTGGTGGCGTAGACCCTCTTTTCTCTTGATCGCATTGGCAACGCCAACAATTTACTGTAGCAGTGTTGTCGACAACGACGGCAACACTGTGGTTACTACACCTGACAACGCACGATCCATCTCCTCACCGCGAATATCGACCCTTTGAAATGGACACAGGAATACTCATGAGCCAATGAAGGTCGCTGGACTGGACTACTGATATCATAAGGGCGCGAGTCCAGAGCCCGCTCCTCGACCTTAGACAATACTCTCTCACTATTACCCTCCGAGATAATATTGTGAGTAACACCCTATAAGATACTATGGTGTATATTCCCCTCCGAGATAAGATTGGTGTATATTCCCCTCCGAGATTATGAACGTTGTTGTGTACTTGTCCGCTTCGACACTGTTCTCATTGACATCGAATCGAATGACAGTGTCCATGTAATGGTTTCCTGCCAGTACAACGGGTTTGTGTCGTAGTCAAGTACTGGTGTGGAAAGATATCTGTGTTCATCAATCGCCAATGAGGATCATTTCTGCATACTATGACCTTATTGCGTGACGTCCGCTTTTCAGAAGTGTTCGTACTCACAAGCTGCGCCACTCCGTCTGATGTTGCACGGGTTTGTATCCTCTCTTGTCGTTACTGAGGTAGAAAAGATGCACACTTCTAGAAGCGTCGATGGTTCATCTGTGGGGCACGGCTATTTTTTTCGCAGCCAGGACCAGATCGCTCTGTCCGCATATACGCGGACTACAGTCCAACGAGGCGGTCTTTCCTGTACGTATATAAGGTGACGCATCTCATCGCGTTAATCACTGTGGCAGCACGTCCGATCGTAATGGCGGCGACTCGGTCAGCTATGTAGCTGGAGCTGTGCTAGCTGTGCCCGCTTGCGGATGTGATTATATCGCTCGCAACCTCCGCTCGCCGTAGTCAGATTGCTGTCCATCTCTATGTTCGACAGCAGTGTCCGGAAGCGATGCGCGAGCGGACGATCGACACCGTTTCGGTCACGCCTTATCCGGTGCAATCCCAACAACCGCCGAAAGCTGTTGCCGAAAGGCTTTCCATTGCACGAAACATGGGCGTACACTCGCCGTCAAGAGCGTCGCAGCAGCTGATGCAATCGAAGAAAACAAATGTGTCGTGCTAGACACACACGTCCTGGACGTCCTGGTCCGCTATTGCAATGGCGCTGGTCACTCGCCATGGAAAACGTCGTCGTCGTCGTCGTCGAATCTGTCATCTCTTTTCTTCCCTCAGCTGCGTCACAGCAGATGGTTTACGCGAAGCCAAAGATTCGCAAGAAAAAGAAACAAGAAGGGCGTCCCGACTGCAAAAGGCCTCTGCGAGGCGACGCGAAACGGACGTTTCAGCGCAGCGCGTCATCACGCGCTCGCATACAAACCGCAAGTGAACCCGCCGACTCGATCGCCCCAACCGGTCGGCCATCGCATCCCATCGCTACTGCTGTCGTTGTTGTTGTTGTTGTTGTTGTTGTTGTTTGTCAGTCTGTCAGTCTGTCCGTCTGTCATTTTGTCATTCCTTCAGCTTCCGACAGCACTCGGCCTCGTGTTCGCTGCCGCTCCCGTCCGCTCCCGTCCCGTCTCGTCATGTCCCCTCGCACCGACGCGACGATCGCACAGCCGTCGCCCGTCGTCCTCGACGACGCGCCCTGCGACTGGAAGCTCCAGCGCAAGCTCCGCCACCGCCAGCGCGACGTCAGCCGCCGCTCGGCCGGCAGCCGCACCGCCGCCGAGTCGCGCGCCAAGCACCAGGAGCACCAAAGCCGCGTCGACGTCATGCGCCTCGAGAAGGACGCGTGGCTGCCCGTGCGTCCCAAGAGCGCGAGCCGAGCGATCCCCGAGCAGCTGCGGCCGACGCACGCGAGTCGCTCGGGGCCGTCGGCCACGTCGTGGCCGCCCGCGACGGCGGAAGAGCTGACGGACGCTATGGACAGCCTCACGACGGCCGCGTGCGCCTCGTCGGCGCCGTCGGTCGGCCGAACGCTCGACGCGCATCGACACGGCGCGCGCCACATGACGCTGTTCGAGAGCGCCCGTATCTTTAACGCGTCGGGACGTCTGCTGAGCCACGACGCGCTGTTTGACGAGCAGACGCTGTCGTTGTCCGACACGCGACGCGACGGACCGGTGAAGCGCAAGTTCAAGCGGCGCGGCGGACGTCGCAAGCACGAGAGCGTGCGGACGCCAATGGCAGCGGTCTTCAGTACGGACGAAGTGGTGCTGGAGCTCCTGTTTCTGCTGTATCCGGACGTGGACGTGGCGCAGGAGCTGAACCGACTGCTGCTGGGCGGGGCGCAGCACGAAGACGTGTTCCGCTTCGACGACGACGACGACGATCTGGTCGATGGGGCTCTTGTGACCAGCAGCGGCCACAAGGGCGGCGTGCTGGCCACTGACCTCCTGACAACGCAAGCGGCGCTCACGAGTATGCTCTTTGGCCCGCACGAGGCCACACGGGCACTGCCCCCGCGGGGCACTGCTGTCCAGAAGCTGCAAGAGCTGTACTTGACGCCACAATGGATCGCCCGCGCTATGCTGGCGACCGTGCAGCTCAATGTCCTCGCGCAGTACAACCAGTTTGCAGTGCTGCGCGCGATCTTCTGCGCGATCCCATCGCTGCGGTCGTGCGTCTTGGCAGCAGCAGTGTCGGCGTCGCTTGCGATCTTCCAGCACCAGAGCGCACTCGAAGCTGTCGTGTTTACGCACGCGGCGCGCAAGGACCTGGTCACGGCCAAGGGCATGCTCGCCTTTCTGAAAGCTGCAATGGACGTCGTCGAGCGCGACGCACGCGACCACGCGGACGTGTTTGGCAGCAATGACGACCAGATTCGCCGCACGATCGCAGGGCTCTGCAGTCAGATCATGCGAGCGATCCAACTCCTCGTGAGGAGCTCGCACGGAGGCATTGACAACGAGGACCGTAGCCACAACCGACTCGAGAAGTACGTGGCATCGAGTGACTCGGCCGAAGCGACGACGTACCGCGCCATGGGCGAGTTGGTGAGTCAAGTGGCGGCCTTCTCCCCGATGCACGGCGAAGAGTTTGTTTGCTGGATGGTTCACAAGTGGCCCCGGCGCAACGTGCAGCTGCAGCTGTTCTTTGTGCGGTTCACGGGCAGTCTACTGCTGCAGTTTATGCACCTCGGGCTCCACGTTGCGGCCGCAGTCGTGCGTCGCGCCTTCACGTGCCTCCAGGTCGGCATCCAGTCGACGCACTTTTTGGTGGCCCAAGAAGCGTGCGGCGTGTGCGGGAACTTGCAGCTCATGAGTCTGTACCTCTCGCGTGACCAGATGCTGCGGGAGAAGATCGCGTCGGCGTTGCACGCGAATGCCGTCTCGCACTGGAACCAGCGCATTCGAGAGGTCTCGGACGAGTGCTTCGATAGGTTACTGGACTTGGCGTGACAGACACACACACACACACACACACACACAGACAGACAGACAGACAGACAGACAGAACCGGAACGCACACAGGACGGAGCTGTTAACGAATAGACGCTGCACAAAGCAGCGAGCGTGCGTATGATGATGACCCCACAACACGATCGCAAGAACGCCTACTACTTTTCTCCTTCTCGACGACTACTACTATACTACTACTACTACTACTGCTGCTTCGATGGCGACCATAACTACTATTGCTACTACTACTGCGACTGCTCCTCCGTGGGTTTTCCTCCTCCTTACTACTACTACTGCTACTACTACTGCGTGGGTTTTCCTCCTCCTATTACTACAATTGCGTGGGTCTTTTTCCAACTGATACTGTACTACATGCGCGCTGTCCTACTTTCGGCAAAGCCTTGAAGAACGACTTGGCACCTTGAGGTTGTGGTTGGTCTGTTCAGGACGAGTGAAGCCGGTGCCCTTTTGGGGACAAGGAGGATACGACGTTTTGGACGGCAAATGGCCACACGACACGACGTGGCGCGTGCGAATGTCACAACGGCAGCGCAGTGCGACGGCAGCAATGACGTGCGTCGCGCACTCGCTACGGCCGACACGCAGCCCGTCCCCGTCGCTGTCGACGACGTCGCCCCATTGTGTCCCCCTGTTATTTCCTCTGACGGCGCGACGACATTGCGTTTGTCCCACGCGCTGCCCCACCCCTGGCTACTGTAGCCACTCGACTGGCGAATCCCGCGCGCTTCAACGACTCCACGTGCGATATAGCCGCACTACTAAAGTGTCGCGAACGGCAACGGCGTCGTGTCACGCCGGAAGATCGGAACTTGCCCCCTCGCGCCACTTATGGGCACGTATGTACACGCATTCACATGCAGTCATACTCCATACGTATGTACACGCATTCACATGCAGTCATACTCCATACGTACGTCTCCAGTGTCGTAGCAGTCGTTGGGGACCTCTGGCGACGGCTTCACACATAGCCGGAACAACGACCGCCCGCCCGCAACAACGCGGCACATAGTGAGCCACACGGGTCACGCGAGTGGGTGTTGAAGTTGACGAAACATGAGGCGAAGCGCGCGGCGCGTTTTCGCCTCGTGCAGAGACCCGCCACCTTTGCGATGGCGTAAAAAGTCTCGTAAAAAGGCACGCACAAAGATCCGCCCGCGCCCTACCAGCTTGGACAGTCGGTAACCAGGCGACAAGTATCGCGATAGACAAGACTGCTGATCGCCCAATCATCGCTATAGGCAGGTCAGCGACTTGTTCCCCCCTCTCGTTCCCGATCGCCGCCGCCTCCTCGTTCCTTCACCGAGCAGCGACACTCACCTCAAAGCGCCAGCAATTCCGACCCCAAGTGCCCGTCCAGCAGTCGCACTCGCAGCTCTCAGTCGCCCCGTTGCACGCGAAGCGCCTCCTCCCACGAGGCGGGCAGCATCGCCGCCGCCACCCATTGCCATTCATTGGCTCAGACTGATACGATCCAAAGGCCAGTGCAGGACGGCTGGAGGCACTGGTGGGACCGCGAGGGCACGAGGTCGCGCACCGGGTCCAGACAACGGCGGCTCGTCCACGGGCTCCCAGTCTGGCGGACAATGACGGGGCTGGTGCTGACGGCAGCGGTCGTGCTGACAGCAGCGCCGTCGATGGCGCTCGTGCAGCAGACACAAGTCATTGCGCGGTGCCTCGAGTGGAAGAGCGACTCGTGCGTGTTCTTGCCGATGGACCCCGTCGACTTTCCAGGCCTGAAACTCACGCGGCAGACTGTGTGCAAGGTACGCAGCAACTGCAAAGCAGAAGAGGCGGAAACGCAGACCGAGTGGACAAAGTGGGGCTGTCGGCAGACGTGATGGGACCGTGGGTAGCTGACGATTGTGCTGTGTGTGTTGTGCTGTGGGTGTGTGTGGTGTGTGTGTGTGTGGTGGGTGTGTGTGTGGGTGTGCTGTGCTGTGTTGTGCTGTGTGTATTGGATGTATTCTTTCGTCTTTTGTTTGTTTGTTTGTTTTGGTCGTTCGGTTGACGCTGCGGTCGTCTGCAGGCAGATTTGTCCGTCGCAGTGAAACAGATTGACTGGGAATCGTCTGCTGGCGGGCGCGGATCAGTCGACAGCCTCCTTGTCAATGGCGTCGAGATGCTGCCAGCTCCAGTGTATCCGTCTCAAGCGTACGTGATTGGCAATTACCCACACTGCGACGACATGTTTAATATTTTCCCGCCCTTCGGAAATGGAGTCATTGGCCCAGAAGGACGCAAGTCCATCATCCCGGAGATCACGAGCAACACGTTGCCGATTCATATTCACTTTAGCTGGACTGGTCCACACGATACGTTTCCCGTATGTTCCATGGCGGGAGTTTCCGTCACGGGCTATGCAGAAATCAATATTTATCTCGAAGCGCAGGATAATACAGGTGCGACGTTTTGAGCGGTTCTTCAGTTGTGCAAAAGCTGACTCGCGTTGATGCGTCTGTACTGGCTTGGTCGTGTTCAGTTTGTCCGGGATGGGATGACGCTTCGCGCACGGCTTGCTTCGGTAATGGCGAGTGCGGCTGTGCAGCAAACGACTTGAGTCCACGTACCTGTTCATGCATGTGCGAAATCAATACGACATGTGATGCAGTCGGATGAGATAGTGGGACTGACAATGGGGTTGTCGCCTTATCTATGGTGTTTTGCTTGCAGAATCGGGTATGCTGCTCCAGATTGCCGCGACTGCGCCAGTGGTTTCTTCGGCAGTGGTTGCAAGAGAATCTGTGAGCCGTGCCTCAACGACGGCTACTGTGATTCAGGCTTGCAAGGGTCTGGAAAATGCATCTGTCCGGAGGGTTTTGACCCAGGCACCAGGTGTGCGACGTGCTTGCCCGGATATTTTGGAAACAGATGCACGCGGTGTCCGGGTTGCAACTTTCCATACGGTAATTGCGATGACGGCACGAATGGCAGTGGTCGCTGCTCATGCGCTGTCGGCTTTGACGCCGACAAGAACTGTATGCAGTGCATGGGCTCCTTTTTTGGCCCGACGTGCCAGCCTTGCAAACCATGTGATGGCGGTAAGTGCAACTACGGCATTCTTGGCGATGGCGAATGTATATGCTCCGAGGGCTTCTCGGCAGAGTCACGGTGTCTCGAGTGCGAAAAGAACTTCTACGGACCGTCGTGCACTCCGTGCCGCACGTGCAACAACCACGGCCACTGCAATGATACTACTTCTGGCGATGGCGGATGCATCTGTGACGAAGGGTACACGCCCGAAAGCCGATGTTCACTCTGCGATGATGGCTGGGACTTCAACCCAATGACCATGTCATGCCAGTGTGCACCGCAACACTTCGGACCTCACTGCCGATCGTGCCCGATCTGTGCCCCACATGGACACTGCAACTCCGGAGCTGACGGCGACGGGCGGTGCATATGTGGTGTAGGATGGTCCGACTCGAACAACTGCGTGGGATGTATGAGCGGCTATTACGGTGAAACATGCACTTTGTGTCGCAAATGCGGCGAAGGACGTTGTGATGATGGATTGCACGGCACGGGCAAGTGCAACTGTCACCGCGGCTGGGACTCGCTCACAAATTGCTACGATTGCGAGCAAGGGTTTTTCGGCGAGGACTGCCGACCCTGTCCGCGCGATTGTGGCCATGGCACTTGCTCAAGCGGACTCAATGGGACTGGGGAGTGTATCTGCCACGAGGGATGGGAACTTGACGGAAAGCTTCCCTGCACTACGTGCGCTGACGGCTACATCGGACCGACTTGCCAGTTGTGCCCAGGTTTTTTGGAAAACGAGGTGGCTTGCAACGGCCACGGCCAGTGTGTCATGTCAGGGACACAAGCGGTGTGTTACTGTGACGCTCGTTACGGCGGACAGAGCTGTGAGTCGTATGACTTTCCCTTTGCGATGGTCGCCATTTTGGGCACTATTGCACTCTCAACGCTAGGTTTCTGCATGGGCACCATGCGTCGCCTTGCCCGCCAGCCACATGCCTTGCAAGGGCCATTCCTGAACCGTGGAAACAGTTTCTCGCAGTCTGAGTACGTCGAGATTTCTGACATGGCGGACCTGGAGTACTTTGTCTCCAACGACAGCCGCGACTGGCTCATTCGGTTTGATTCGCTATCTTTGCAGTGCGAGGTGGGTAATGGGACGTCTGGTCAGGTGTTCCGAAGCTTGCTGCACAGTGGCGGCGGCAGCTCGGTGGTGGCTGTCAAACGGCTGTATAGTCCCGTGACCGGTCAGGAATATTTCCAGAGTTTCTTCCGACGTGAGGTGAGCATTTTGAGCAGGCTGCACCACCCCAATGTCGTGCGCTTCTACGGCGTGAGCTACTACAACCGCGTGCTGTACATCGTGACAGACTTTTGTCCCAAGTCACTGAGTGTACTCATCGAAAATCCAGCAACCAAAGGTCCGCTGAAGGAATCTGTCTTCATGAAGGTGATCAGCCAAATTGTAAGCGGTATGGGCTTCTTGCACAGTCGCAACGTGGTACATCGCGACCTAAAGCCTGCAAACGTGCTTATCTCGGAGACTGACGATGTCAACATTTGTGACTTCGGTCTGTCGCGGTTGATCGAGCCTGACGCGACTACCATGACCGCAGAAGTTGGTACGCCGAGTTACATGGCGCCCGAGATGGCTACCATGGGCGGCATCCAGTGCTCTACAAAAGGCGACGTGTACTCGTTTGGCATCTTGCTATACTCCACCTGGTCGCGAAGTAAACCCTACGGTGACCAAGGCATGAATCCTTTTCAACTGGTACGTTCGATGTCGCTGGCCCGATTGACATCCTTACCACATCCTCACCATGTTGACGTGTTCTTTCTTCTTGTGCTGAACGCAGATGACGGCAGTTGTAAATGGTCTCCGGCCGGTGATTCCAATCAACTGTCCGCCCGCATTGGCACGTCTCATGCGGTCATGCTGGCATCAAAATCCTCTTGTGCGTCCATCTTTTCCGGAAATTAGTCAAATTCTAAAGGACCAGTGGCTGTTGTCCATGTTTACTGATGAGGAGGTGTACTGCTACCCTGAGAAGTCTCCACCGCTTTTATCGGCCTCGTCGTCCATGTCCACTACTGCTGCTGCAGCTTCTAGTAACCGCTGTGTTAGCAACGACGGTGCCATCGCGGTACCACCGTCAGCACCATCGCATCACCACGACGACGACCACGAAGATGACGAAGCCGTATCCCCGCGAGAAGACGACCGTCTTTTGAACGAAGAAAAGCGGCCACGATAGATTCTTATGACGACTGAATAGACCTGTAAACAACAACATCTCACTTGTGGCAGCAGACGTTGCACCTTTGACCATACCGCTGCGTGTTTACCGAAGCAGACGCCGCATGTTGCGACCCCGCGCCAATGGTCGACGCTTGTAGTACTTGCGATGCGCTTCGCGAAGGTGACGTGGACGAATGGGTCCCGTCTCGCCGTTCTTTTCCATGATCTTCCGCGCTAACAGCGAAGACAAAACACCCGACGTCAATGCGCTGCGTACCTCCCTCCACAAGCAGTTCGTTCGTCTTTTGCCCACGCACCTTCTGCCGTGATCTCACCCACGAACACTTTGGTCATGCCCGCCACGACGATCGCCATAACGTTCGTCACAGTAGGTGCTCTCTTGTCCGTCGCCGAGCACTCCTGGATCGCTTGAGCCATACACTATACAACCGCAACACAAGTGCCGTTAGCTCACGAAACAGCTCGAGTCCTTCTGCCTCCACCTCTCCACGTACGCGTTTCATCACTCCGCGCTCGAAATGGGAGCGCCGAAACTGCTCGTGGCGTCGGGCCTCGTTCTCCGGGAGACTCTGCATCATACGCAGCATTGACGCGCTGTCTGACCGCGCCACTTGGTCCTCTTCACTGTCCATCTCGTCTTCTCCATCCTCCTCTTCTTCTTCATCGTCTTCTTCGTCTTCGTCTTCGTCTTCTTCGTCTGCTCCCTCCTCGTCGTCCTCGGCCCCTGTGCGCTCCTGCAGATCCCCATGTGCCGCCGCGTCGCCCTTCAGTTGTCCCTCCAGTGACTTGCGCTCTCTCTCGTCCTCTGTGTCCTGCGACGCGCTGAGATTTGCCACGTCGATGTCTCTCTCCGCCGTAGCAGTAGCATGCGTGTCCATTTGTAAAACTTACGTACGCGACATCAATCTGACTTGGCCGCACACACACACAACGTCGGTGCCGGACTTCGATCCCAAAATCTAGGTCCGAACCTACAAAGTGGGGGTTGTTGCTGCTCGTACAAAACGTTCCTCAAACGGTCGTACAGAATTGTCATCTCACGGTCGGGACTGCCGCTTTTACACAATGTATTACGGGACATGCACTTGCAGCTTCGGCGACGCAGCCGTACGAACGTCCATCAATGGCGTCTTTGCCTTGATATCACGCAGTGCACTAGTCCGATGCACTGCGCTTCGCACCTCGTCGTTTTTCCCGCTCTTCCTTGCGCTGCTCGTACTCCAAAAGCCCCTGCGCGATCCGCAGACGATGGGTCTCAATCTCCTTCATGCGCGCCAACGCCACTTTCTCGCGGCGGCCCATTTCAGTTGCCTCTAAGGCGATCGCCGCAGCCGCAGCGAGTATTGGCTCGGCAGCTGCTGCATCGGACGCGAGTTGATGCTGCACTAGTAGCTGCATCAACTTGTCAGTGAGTTTGCCAACCGCTTGGACCAGACTCGGGTCGTGCACTTGCACTGGTTTGCGTTTGGTACCTACACAGACCACGCGATCGATGATGAACATGAAGTACTGCACGACTGCAACCATTGGGCTTACCTGCTCCACAGTGTGGCCCATCGACAAAGAACCGATTGAGGTTATAGCAGCTTGTCGTTAGCGTGGCATTGATATTACCATGTGGCAAAGAATGAGCTGCTGCTTACCTGCTGTGTCACCTGCGAGCAGCGAATGTCCAGCAGGTGATTGATTAGTTTCGCGATATGGACATTGCATTGTACCACGCTGTCGAAACATATGCGCGCTGCTTACCTGGTCCGGCGCCCAGGGGCACGGAATCCTGCAGTCTATTGCCAGTGCGCTCAGATTGTCGCAATGGTGGCGCCACGGCACCTTCCGCGACGTGCTCGTTCGCGAGTTGTGCACCCTGAGCAGCGGTCGTGGCCAATGCGGCGAGTGCTTCGAGGTCGTGCTTGGACTGCAAGGCCACGGTCGTAAGCGGTGGTTCCATGGACGTCAGCCTCATTTTCTTCGCGGTTGAGGCCGAATACATGTGCTGCAGTCGATCCCAATGCTTCTTGTGGGCAGCCGCCGTTGCCGCTTCCAAGCGGTCCACCCGCTCGTTAAACGCTTGTTCAGCTGCTTTCGCTCGGTTCTTCTCCTCTAGCTTCGAGCTACGCTTCGGGTCCATGCTGATCCCGTCAATCTCCATCAAGCAAGCAATGGAGGCACAGATGCGCGCACTCCAGTCCCTTCTTCCATCGCCGCTCCGAGGCGAAGCCCTTGTTGCTGCAGTGGCTACCTGCTCGTTTTCACGACTCTGTCCCCTGAGCCTGTGGGAAGTGTACTGGCGGGCACGCTGGACACCACCGTCAACGTGTCTTCAACGTCAGTCAGTCAAAAACAAAGCCTTTGGACCGAAAGACGCACCCGATCGGCGTGAAACGTGTCTTCCTGCGCCTCATCCGAAGAGCTGCACTGCATGTCTACGATCGTCACAGCGCAGGAGAGGGGGGACGGCGTCAGAGCTTGGGCTACAGAGTAGTGGCATAATGCAGTTTCTTCACGCGGTGACCATCCGACAAGGGCGGCGTCCCACTCGCGGGGGGTCCTCTTGGGTCGTACCGACGGTCTCACGCACGACTTTGTGCACTCACCTTCTGTCAAAGCGCGAGCCCCATCGGCCTCTCGCTGCATGATGATACCAAAGTGCTTTGTGGGGTGGCAGTGATGGGATATCCAGCTCTTCTGTTCTTTCGCTGCGCTGTTGCGTCTTTTCGACTGAGGACGAGCACACGCAAACGAAACAGCGCGGGTCAGCCAGGCAGGCAGTCATCAGCGCTCTCGGGAAATGCCCCATCCGGCCACTTCTTGTCCATGTAGATATCTTCTACCTATCTATATCGAGCGAAAGCGATCGCTCGGTCACTGGAACACTGCTGCCGTGATGGGGACGCGCTACAAATCCTTGTGCCACTGCACAAGTGTGCTCGAGACAGAACACCAGCGTGTTTCAACGCCTAGAACCGGGACGATGGAACTCGCGCGAAACACGACGAACCAGATGGCGCGCGCTCGACGTGGAACACCCACCCGCGCCCAAGCGCACACAACTCAGGGGTCGAGTCAGCTGACCCGAACGTGTGCAACGTTAGCCCGTGCGTGGGTGGGGGGGGGGGGGCGTGTGTGTACGTGTGCTGAAGGCAACTAACTACACAGGTATGCAGCGAGCAGCCGGGTATGGTCAGGTAAGCTGGAAGAAATCATGATCACGGATCGAGAACCGCTGGACGGTCCAGCGCATCAACGGATGATGTGTTCTGATACGTTGGACGCTGTCCGTCGAAGCGGATAATGGATCGGCTGAGCCCCTACCGAATACTTAGCAAGCGAAACTCGCTCGACGCTCTTGCGCCTTCAGCTCGACGCTCGCAGCGAGTCGAGTGGTTGTTGCAGATAGGATCAAGCACTCCATTATCAGCTCCCATGCGTTGTGTCCTGTTTTCTCTCGTCCAGCAGCTCGACGCCACTTCCTTTCGTGCAGTTTCCCAAACTCTAGAGAACGTCTCTTGACGAACGGTCGACGGACGCCCTCGTGTGGGGACAAAGAGGTGCGACGCGAGTCCCTCCGTGTCGACGGTCATGTTCGACGGAGGATCGATGTGCAGTAGAAGGGACAGTATCTCGATGCTAGTGGCAGCCCGTGCCTCGGCGGCCTCAAACCGTCTCACGTAAATGGAGAAACAAACGCGCGCAACAAGTGGAGACTGCGGCTATGGAACAGTCGGGCCGAGACGCCATGTTCGTCGACGTGAGTCGGAGCTACTGGATCGATATCGATGGCGACAGAGACGAAGCACGTTGCAATGGAGGGAGGGCGAACCTCTGGACGCTCGAGAGAAGTAGTTCGAGGGCCTTCGTGTGGCCATTGCAAAAGCCTGCGCAGACTGTTTGGCGCTCGGAGTCAAAGGCGGAGGTCGTTGTCGGAGCACGACTTCCAACTGGAGCATCGGAGCGAGACGGAGACATTGGAGACTGTGCTGGAGGGACTACGGACGAAGGAGGTTGAAGCGTCTTCCCGTTCTCGTTGTTGTTATCGAAGGAGGCAGCACTGCACCTCAGAGCTTCGACAAGAAGGAGACAACGCGTATCTTGCAGGAAGGAGGGAACCTGTGCACGAGATAGCAGGCTGGACGACCCACTTGTGCGTATTCAGGTGCGGCGCTCGAAGGGAACGAATGTGCCCGATCTTTGTTGCTGATGGGGTTTATGTCTGGACATTGTCGGCGTGGCATCGCCAATGACTGTAGCAGGCGACGACTGATGCGCCGTCGGTGGCCTTAGTGTTAAGCCATACCATTGTTGTGACCAAGTGCGTGTGTTTTATATGGCTGCCGTGGCGACACGATGTTGTTGTATCGCTTCCGTATTATCGCGTTCACAGGCAAAGTTACTGCGGGAACTACGCTACGACGAGTCCAATACGTGCCGTGCCACGATCTTCGCCTGTGGTGGGGATGGCAACGCATTGCGGTGAGCTGTTAGTAGCTGCTGCTGAAGCAGCAGCTCACCGGGATGCGTCAACCTCAAGTGCACGCTGAAAAAGCCGCAAAACGTCATGTTGATGTCGTTGACAACGATGCACTACAGCCGACCGGGGACGAAAGTTGGATGCACTTAATGCACACAAACGCTACTGGGCAGACTGCAAGCTGCATCGATGGCGTGACGTACTCTCTGCAATCGAGCAGCACATTGAGATTGGCATTGCTGTTGGCGTGGACGCGACTGCCCACCGAGAAATATCGTAGTAATGGAGCTGTCGAGTCAAGCAGGTACAAGTTGCCATGCGATCGACTGGGCTGGTTGACTTCGCTGCAGTGTCGAATGCTCGGACCCACCGCGGCGACGTCGGGGCAGCAGCTTATCGGCTTCGGACGTAGCCACAACGTACGACACGTTGTAATGCCGACAGCCACGCAAGACGACCGACAAAGAAGCATGACATGGCGGTGCATGGATGCCACCTCGTTGATGAAGAAACAGCTCAGCCTGAAGAATTGGCAGCGCGCACTACGATGTCAATTCGTAGCTGCCTGATCGATGTGATGCTTGCGAATGAAGCGGCGGTGATCGCCACTGCATTGTGACGAGTATGTGCACTACTGTGTGGCTCCTACGGAGCTTGGGAAGCGAGGCGCTGGTAGGAATTTGGATGGACGGGTGCGAGTTCTTGACACACGAACTTGAGGCATCAGATTCGTGTATCGATCCGTAGGTGGCGGTCGACCACATGATCGATCACTTGCAGTTATGGCTGTAGGGTCAATTTGACAGCGCTACTCTGCACGAGCACATGTGCGAAAGCAGAAGAGGTGGTCCCCTGCAGACAGTGGTCATGTTGCAGCGGATCATTGTGCTGTATCGGAGGGGCGCATTGCACAACCCCCTCTCGGTCTACATTGGTGCTGGAGGTGACGTTACCGTAACAAACCCACGCTGCGTCGCGGTTCTAGTGGTCCTATGTGATGTGTTTGGCGTCAATTTGACAAGTCTGCGACTGGCATGCGACCTGCTTCCACATGAGCGTGCAAATTGAGCGTCTGAATGTGGCAAAGATCGTCTTTGCTTCGGTGGATGGAGCAATTCGTTTGGTCGATAGCGCTGTGTCCAGGTGATGGCAACTCCGTTGTGGTGCATACGCACATGATCGCGACAAAGTGCCGTGTGGCTTTCAGGTTGCTTTGTCACTGCCACTTTCGCTGCTGGGAGCATGTTTTGAACGAATATCGGCTGCGAGACGATCGACACGTTGCTTCTTCGCTAGATGTCTGCTGGATCGCCCACATCTCGAGCACCTCGCTCGCTGCTGAAGTGTCTGACTACTGTGGCTCTGCTGGACGAGAAACCGAGCATTGATGAAGAAAAGCGATGAGTCGAGAAGTGACATGCTTGTTTGAGGCGGATGGAGCGATGCAATTACCTTTTCCAAGATGCGTTCGAGACATCCATTAGGTGTTCATGTGGACTGCAGCACTGCGTTCGATGAAAGGACAAGCGAGCGGCGGTCGATTCACACCCGCACTGGGTTTGCTGCTTCAAACGACGACAAGGAAGTGCACTGCGACGCCGTGGAATGTCGTCCACCTACTGCTTGCTCAAACGCACTTGCTTGTCTTTGAGCAAGCAAAAGGTGGGCAATAACATTGGAAAGATCTGTTCATGGAGACGATGGCCGGCGACGTGGACGTTGACGGATCTGCACGACTCAAGTCAACCAGCGTAGACCGTCACACGATCGCTGTGGTCGGTTTTTGACGATCGGGCCGCCGGATTTTGCCGAGCAAGGCCGTGCGAAGTGGAAGCTAAGCTTGAGTATCTGGCTACTCTTTGCGTGAAGGTCCTGCGCTGAACAAGTACAATGAGCAAGTGGCTGGGGTCGTGCGAATACAGAGCTGACGCTGGAGGTGTGAGCGTAACGTCTAGCGACGATCTCGAGCGCAAAATCGGTCGCTTGTGCAACTACGTCAGCCGCTCCTGTCGACAACGGGGAAAGTGGTCTGGTTGATGGACGTCAAAGTATGGGTTAGCAGAGATGACATCGACTTGGGCACGGACTCGTTGCGTCTCGTTGCAACTCTGCAGTTACTTATTGTCGACACTCGAGTGGACAGAAGAGACAACGGACAGCAGCTGTCCCTCGATGCAGTCCGACTCTCACTAGTGACGAACGAGATGAGGCGTCTGAAGCGATGTGGTTGTCCTGTTCTCTCATGGCGTCCGACCCAACTCGTCGAATCGATACGACATGACCTTTTGTTTTGCACGATATGCTGAAGTGAGTGTCGCAATCTTCGGGACTGGAGTTCTCACTCGACCGCAGCTCCACTTGCCGCTGTGGATACGAACAGTATCAAGTTGTTCAGCCGACCTACGAGAGGTGCGACGACCGGTTCTTCCAGAGGTGTCGCGAACGAAGTACTTCAAGCAAATCTCCAGCGGAATGAAGAAGTCCATCATCGACCCATCGACCGATTGTTCCACACAGCTCTTTCGCGTCCACCAGTGCTCCTCCGTCCGTGTGGCCCGTGTGGCTGGTCCCACTCGTCGTGAAGAATCCAGCAGAGAGTGGGCCCAGTCGTAGCGGCGGTGTTGACACTGCCTCGCGTACTGACGACGTAAGCGCTCAAGTTGGCGCGGAAGAAGAGACGACGCGCGAAGCGACACGCGTACTGACTTAGCAGCAACGACGTGATCGAGTCAGCAGCAAAACGCGCGACGCGACATGGATACACTTTGCCCGAACATCCACCGATGGATATTATCCACACCTAGCAACGAACCCCCCCCCCCCCACACACACAACTAACGCGCCACCGAAACCCGCGTTCTGCACGTTGTGTGTCCATAGCCAGACGCACGAGGTGTCGTCAACATCCGCAGCTTGGCGTCCGCTTTTGCACCTGCAAATAGACTGAACCCATTGTGCGAGCTATCGCTTTTGACGGGTTTCTAAGCCCCCGCCCAACTCGCCATCTTTCGCAATGGACGCCCAGCGCGCGCTCCTCGACAGTCTCTTGGGCTTCAACCGCGACGGCGACCGCCCGGACGAAGAAGCGCTGGACTTCCGCCACCCGCGCGTCTGCAAGGCCTATCTCTGCGGCCTGTGCCCCCGCGAGCTGTTCCAGCACACGCGCCTCGACGCCGGCGCCTGCGACCTGTTGCATGTCCCCGCGCTCCGCGCGGCGTTTCAAGTGCACCGGAGAAACGCTGCGGATAGAAATGGGTACACTTGTCGCCGAACCAGTGGCTACGAACGCGCGCTGGCGCACGAGCTATCGCAGATGCTGGTGGACGTCGAGAAGAAGATCGCGCGGGCGCAGAAGCGCCTGGACGAAGGCGGCGACGAGGGGCCGGACAAGGCGCAGATCCTGCAGCTGACGCAGGAGGTGCAGGACGTGGCCCTGCAGGCCGAACAAGCGACGCGCGACGGGCTCGTGGACAAGTCGCTGCAGCTGATGGAGCAAGCGGAGCTGCTCAAGAAACAGCGGCGAGCGCTGCTGCGCCAGAGCACGAGGGGAGGCGGTCTGAATGCTGTGGCCGTGGACAATGTGAATCAGAAGCTGCGCGTGTGTGACGTGTGTGGCGCGTTCCTGAGCATCTTTGACAGCGAGCGGAGACTGGCGGATCACTTTGGAGGCAAAGTGCACGTGGGCTACGTCCAGATTCGAAGCAAATTGAAGGAGATGATGGAGGCGATGCAAGCAGAGAGGAACGACGAGGGGACGAAGAGACGGCTGTCAGTGGAGCGATTAGGCAGAAAGGAACGTCCTCGCAGACGAAACGACGGAAGATCGGCACGCAGTCAAGTGGACGATCGAGAGCGGCGGCGAGATCGAGACCGCTCGAGGAGTCCTGAGCGGCGACGTCATCGCGATCGGCCAAGTCGCCGCAAGCGACGGTCGCGGAGCCAGAATCCCGAGCGAAAGCGAAGTCGCAGCCATCGACATCGCTACTAGATTGTGGAGACCAACTGCCATGGGGCAAAGCATGGTCTGGTCTGCGTTCGTGGCGATTGGTCGACTTCGTTTGAAGCCACTGGTGCTGGCTGTGGCCACTTTGTGGGTCGATGGCTGCATAGCTGCCTGCTGCCAGCAGTGCTATGCCCGACACAAAAGTAGACGAGGTGTTCGTGCCTAGCGCCCGCTACGTAACAGCACGTGATCTCCACTCATTATTATCACCCAAGATTCGTTTTGTCGGACACACGTGCAACAATTGATGGAACGGGTGTTTGGGTTCGTTTGCTTGCTTGCTTGCCTGCTTACTTAGTTGTTTATGTCAGTCAGATAGGGAATGAGTCGTGCCTTCGACCCATTCACGTGAGCCCTATACTCTCGCAACCGGTCCCTGTGCTGCCCGCGCTACTGAGTTCGTTGTCACTGCAGCCGGTTCTTGCATTTCGTGCTGCTTCCTTGCGCAACTTGACGTCCAAGATGCTTCCCATCACCTTCAGATTTTTCTCCTGCAACTCGATCATGCGCTCGAACGCTTGGCCGCATTGCACGCGCAAGTCCGTCATCACCAGTGTCAGACCCGTTAGCGCCTCTCTCGTGCCCGTCGCTTTCTGCTCGTACAGATTCGCAATCTGCTTGGAAGCAGCATCGGTCAACTTCTCAATGGCGTTGATAAGCGACGTGTCGTGCACAACCACAGCCGGCTTGAAGGCATCTTCACTGGAACCAGAGTCTTCCGGGGTCGTGGTCTCAGCTTCAGCCTCCGTGCACTCTTGGGTCGACTTGGCGGACGGGTTGCCGCGGTGGTACGACTTGCGGTACGACATGCCGGAACCCGCACCAGCGCCACTTACGCCAGACGAAGTGTAGACGTCGCGCAGCGTACCCCAATACTCCTTGTAGCCAGCACTACTGCGGTCCAAGATGTCAAACGTATGGCGCATGTTGTAAGCGTCTGCGTACCGCATGTTACTAGCGTGATACTCGGCATTGAGCGACCGGAGCTTCTTTGCCACTCTCTCGCTGTTATTGCCGCCCAGGTCGCCTGTTTCCGTCTGAACCAGTGTCTTAGCTGCACGTAATTCGCCGCTCGTGTACGAAGCCGGTCCCTGTTGCCGCCTTCGGGGCGAGGGACTCAGTGCACGGCTCACGTCGTCGTGCATGTGGCGCCATCGCGCTGAGCTATCAGCCTGCTGCTCCATCGCTATTGCGTGTTCGCTGGGTGCTGGTGACCCCTTTGCTCGGCTCACAGAACCAGGCACCATGAACGAGTGCTTCTCGTGCGAGTGTACAGCCAAGTCTGCAATGACGTGCCTTGGCGATCGAGGCGATCCAGCTCGAAACGCACGACGTCTCGAGATTGGTGCACCGAGAGGCATCGCTGCAGCGGACCGTTTGTTGCTGGGCAGTGGTCCGCTACTGCAAACGCTGACAGCGTCTACTGCTGGCGTGGCCTGCAATCTTGGACTAACTGGCTTCTCAGCAGCACACTCTCGAGCAGCTACTTGCAGCCGGTCATGACCAGCGTCGTCAGTGTCGTCACTGTCCTGTAATCGTTGCAGTTGCTGCAGCTGCTGCTGTCGCTGTCGTCGCTGCTGCGACACTTGTGTCCCGCTATGTGACCGAATCAAACCCTGTGTCGGCACTGGTGTCTGCGCTCGATTCTGAGCCGTATGCACCGCTCCAGCCAGCGATGGCGTCCGAGTCTGAGACTGTATCTGGACCGGTGAGTTCGGCTGCACACGCACCTGTTGCTGTCGCTGCTGCACTGGCTCCAGCACGTTGTCGTGCAGAGACTGCGCTGTGGTTGCTGCCGTTTGCACCACCTGTTCCTGTGTCGTCGGCGCCTTCTTCAGCTGCTGTTTCTGCTCCTGTTGCTGCTGCTGTTGCTGCTCCTGTTGCTGCTGTTGCTGCTGTCGCTTCTGCAGACGGTGCGAGTTGGTCCGCTCCTTGTGCACGTCCCACGCCCGCGTGCGAAAGTTCGAGTTCATGATCACGGGTTTGGGCTTCTTGCCGCCGTGCACGGCGTAGTGCACGTGGCAGATCTTGCACAGCACGAAACGCCCTTCGTCGTCCATGCTCAGCACGTCCGGGTCCGAGAGGATGCTCGAGGGCCACCAGTTGGCTTTGCGCTTGGGCATCGCGTAAGCCTTTGCGTCAACTCTGCTCACCACACGTCAACAGGCGGTGCGCGTTCGCTCCCGCGCGCTCTCTGAACGCTGTGCGTCGACGGTCGCTGCTGGCGCTGTCCTGTGGCCGGTCGATCGATCGGTCGATCGGTCGGTCGGTCGGTTGGTCGGTCCTCTTCGATTGTGCTGCAGCGGTTCCTACTGAGGACGAGGCGATCATTCATAGTTAGCGGTTGGGCCCCCCGAGCGCGATAGAACACGACGCTGGCTATCTATCGGCCAAAAGACTTACTGGCGTGTGGGAGGATGCAGCAATGAGGCTTCACTGGGACTTTGTATTGTTTCTTACGCCCGCTGTGTTCGCGCTCTGTTCCGCCGGTGCGTAGAAAAGATTCCTCTCGCATCGTATCGGTATCGGCTTTGACAGCAACATCACCTGCGTCAGGACGCTGACTATCTGAACCATCGCTCGGTCGATATCGCTTATGACGGGTATGCAGTTTCCCGTCCCCGTGCGAAACTGCTTGGACCAGCTGCGAGCGCCGGTCGGTCGTCGTGGTTGGTCGGTAAACGTGTCGAGTTTTGTATTCTTGGAGTCGCAAATGGACACAAGCTCCAAGTCGGGAGGGGATATGGGGCACCCACCCAAAAGCTGACGCGCTGGATGGCCACGGAATACAGAATGGCGCTTTTCGGCCCGAGGCACAAATACTCTTCAATCGCTTGTGCTCGTTCTGAGGGCCAAGTGGCAGCTTCTCGACGCACAAGTTGCGCTTTTCGTGACATAACTTGTTCCAGTGCAATCGCGCACTGTTACGCTCGACGTTCGTCACGCGGACCTTCTATTCGGGTGGCAGCAGAAAGCTTTCGGTCGTATGCAGTGTAGCCAGAGTGAGTTCGTGTGGTAAGCTGTATGCGGTCGATCGCAAAGCTGACAGCGGACGGGCACTGACGTTATCGGATACTTCACGAGTTTCCATCGATGGTGGCACCATCTGCAACAGTACATGCAGCTCGCAGAAGTGATTGCACGCCCATCTATTTCGATACGCTTTGTGCGAGGAGTAAATGTCGGCGGCAAGGAGCGTTGGGCACAAGACTAGTGGATCAACATAGCTGGAAACAACAGCAAAACAGCACGCAAAGCACGAGGCGCTGTTTCCGGTATGACGAGCTATACGATCGTAGGAAGCGCTGACTTTAGCGCTACACGCTCAGCTTCGTTTCCTCATTGTTAACTGCGATTGCGCTACAACGCCCCATCGCACAGCAAGAACACGTGTAGGCCAACGCGACTTTTATCGTGCAAACAGGAGAATGTGTTGCTGACATCACTTCAACGACTGAAAAGAAGCACAGCCACCTAAGCACCCGGTACAAGCTGCTAACAAGTCCGACGAGGACTCGCTACTGTACTCTAACATTGGCCGACCGCCGTGGACACCACATCAGTGCAGTGGTGTACCCTGTCTGGTGATTCGTTAACGGCCTGCGACCTTACGCAAGCGAATCTGTTGACCTGCAGCGCGAATGGAACTTCGTCGTCCCATACGGACGTACGGACGTATATCCGACCTTTTGCATGAAGTCGCTCACAGATCCGACGACCAGCAAGACAGCTGGTTCTTGCAAAGCAGGTCGCTCGGGCGAACCGACGGTACGTATAGTCACTGAACTATAGCGAATCAACCGTTCGATCTGATCGTTTGCTCGCATGCTTTCTCTACCTCCCTCGGTGCAACTTACTGCGTGAGTTGATTGATGTGCATGTTCCGAAGCTGGTGAACGGGATAGTCCTAACGTCGCGTTCCTCAGCGGCTGCGCCTCAGCCATCTCTTCTCGCAAAAGCCCATCTACATGGTGGCCCCCGGTTTTCGGCATTGCGGTATCCACAAAGCAGAAATCGCTAAGCAACCGCAGCATGACTCGACCCGATGGCATTACTCGACGCACGAAGTGACGATGCGCATCAATGCGTTTGCGAGAGTCGCGCTTTTTCTTCGCTAGCGTTCTTGCGTCACATTCATGGCCCGCTCAGATTGCTCTATTTCGCTGTTAGCAGTCTGCTACCAAGATGAGGACACCCATCGACTCTATGCCGTGTATTCGATCAGGAAACACGCTTGCAACTGTTGTTTGTTGACTACTGCAGCAGATTCTACATTCGAGAGAAGCCGATCGACCCTCTGCGGCGACTGTGACTGCCGTGCAACGCTAATCAGCATCGGCAGAAGCCTGATGGACAGTCTTTCAATGCACGCAGGGAGGGACTGTTCTTACCACCAAACGAAGTCGTTACAGAGGTCTTCTGAGTCATCCACAGTACACTTCCGAAGTTGTAGAACCAACTGCTGTCGCCTACAAGTGTCAAAGTCCAGTGCTGCACAGATGCATCTGACTCTTATCGGCAGATCCAGTTTTCTCTTCTGCACGGATAGGGCCGCAATGGGGCCCTTGCGAACTCAATTGGGTGTCCTGAGCCGTGATACCACCCAGCGACAGAGCTATGTAGATTGAAGGCACGTGCGCCAACAATCCTTTTCAATATGTCCTACTGACTGCCGTGTCGTCGAATGCTGTCGATTTCACCTCAACTCTCGTTCGCGAGGACCTACTGATGATGGCATTGAATAGGACACGACGTAAAGTCCGTCCATTACTCTATCGGAAGCAACGTCCTCGATCACGCTTTTCGATTTAGACAGTACCGCATCATCCTACACGTTGACTAGCAGCGGGCGTACGTCATTTTACTGACAAATGTGATACTGCAGTCAGACTTATTGCTGGCGCCGACCGAAGCGATCTCACGTTGTCGCAGCCGATCGGACGTTGCGAGAAGTGACTGATGTGCCGCAGGATCAGTTTGTCTTGGCAGCAGCATGTGCACACTATCGAGAGTCAGACTTGTGTGTTGCCAACCTGCACCACGTGCTTGACCTGCCAATCCCTGTCGTAAGGCATTCACTCCTCACCTGCGTATTGGCTCAGTCATTCGACCTCCACGACTATGGAAGCCACAGGACAGCCCAGGCCGATAGGAACGCATCAGCTGAGACCACGAAGCTATCCCGACACAGCATTCGTGAGCGTTAAATTGGGCTGAGACAATAATCTCTCCATCTTTCTATACTTATTTTCGGCAAATAAAGAGCATCGCGACTCTCTCTCGCGCGGTCCATTGCACCAGATGTATCGGGGTGACAAACGTAACAAAGTTGGAGCTCGCTTCGTTTTCGGTTGCGTGGCCCGAGTTTATGTACCCGCACCACATCACTCGGCGCCATCGTTTCCACCAATCCGCGCCTTGTACTCGCAAAGAACGCTCAGCTCCCAACGTGGAAAGAAACGACAGGAAGGCGGTGTCTCGCACGCGTCCGTCTACATCGAGCAGACGGGGTTTCGCCTCACCGTAGCATGAAGCTCGCGTGTCTTGTATGTGAGCAGGTTGTGGACGTGGTTTCTGCGGAGGAAGCGGTTGCTAGCGGTCAGCAGAGCGTGCGCACTGGAGGCGAAAGGGAACCCCATGCAAACGCGAATGACAGGTCTTTTGCTGCTTCCAGCGGTGCGCTTTCGACAGTACGGATCGCAGAGGGGAAGAAATCCATAGCTGAAAGTCCAGACGTATCTCGCTGCGCTGTGTGCGATGGTATGTACCACACAGCATGTCTGGTAAGGCTGGCATACGTCGTGGAACGCGTCGAAACAGCGTTTGGAGCGCCTTTTACGTGCATTCACTGCGTTCATCGGACGAAACTAAGTGCTGGGAAAACGAGCATTGACGTGGAAGACAATACGCTGCCGCTTCTGGTGCCTGCGCTGGCGTTTCCGTTCGTCAGGCGGTCTCGTGCCGCTGGCAAAGCAGGAAACCTGACGAGAACACGTGGAATGGCCATGGAAACTGACAGTATTGCAGGTGACGCATTTCGTTGCAGCAATGATAGCAGCTGGAGAGTATTTTCGACTGTAGTGGAGGTGTGCACGACGTGCCGACAGGTGCAGATTGCGACAACCGAGACAACCACGTGTCGTAAGTGCCGCAGTGCTCAGCTGCATCAACGCTGTGTGGAGCGTTACCCAATCGAGCGTGGCGTGAAGCCGAAGAGGAGGAAGGTGTTTCGTGGATTAGGTCGAAAGAGACGGCGGACGTCATTGAAACCAGCCACGTTTAACTGGTGTTCTCCGTGTTTGACGGAGCATGGCAACCAGCGAACGAAGCAACTGACTCGTGGATCCATTGAGACCCGCACGATTGCAATGCTGGTGAACGATCGGGACAGCAAAACAGACGGAGACGTGAAATGGTGGAACAAGTGTAGCATATGTATGGAGCGTTTTTGTCTGCAAGACTTTTGCGATCCGCAGGAAACTGATGCAAGTGTGAGCGAAGTGCTACAGAACTCGTTAGTGAACGAGGATCTGGAAGAGGGTTGGTGTTGTGGACATTGCGCTCCGTTCGCGGCAAATGCATTGGTGACGGTGCTGATTTGTGATGAGTGCGATAAGGAATTTGATATGGCGGAATTGAATCCTCCAATTGTCGAGGCTCCCGAGGGCGACTGGTTTTGTTCGGAGTGTAGGGGCGATACACAGCAAGCTGAAGCTGCAGTTGTACGTGCTGCAATCCCAGATGATGTGGCAACAGCGCCCATATGTGATGGATGCAAAGGGAAACTAAACATGGCCGATATGCACTCACCGCCTCGGCGTACCCTGAAAGGCGGCAGGTTTTGCAGGATGTGTGTTTCCACGACGAATGCCTCTGCCCTACATGAAGCCACTGATAGCTCGACCGTACCACTTGTTCCCGTGACGCTACTGATTTGCGATTTGTGTGACGATGAGTTTGATATGAAGGCACTGAATCCGCCTTTACATGAGGTGCCGTCCGGTGACTGGTTTTGTCCAGCATGTACTATCACCAAGAACGGTCAGCAGCTGGACAAGAGCGACCGCCCAAAGGCACAAAGAAGCACAACTTTGCGTAATCGTGCAAGCAGGCAGCTAGTTGAGACACCGAGACAACCTGTGCCTCTCCCCAGGCAAAATGTGACCAAGGTGCTCGTACTTTGTGACGGCTGCGCTCACGAGTTTGACCCGTTGACGTTGCATCCTCCTCTGCTGAAACTGCCCGAAAGTGAGTGGTTGTGTCCTGCATGCAGCGATGTCTCCGCATCAGCTTCAGCTACTGTACGTGTATGTGCGGTTTGCAACAGCGGCAAGTCCCGTGCGAATGGAAGTATTGTCAATCGAGTACACGACAACAGCGAATATGCGGGCAATGTGATGCCCTGTGAAGCTTGCCGTGATTCGCGAGCTGGAGGCACACCCTGTGCGCAGCAAGTGGTCTCTGCGACTGCCAGTGACGAGCAAAACGTTGTGGAACCTTTAGTAGGTGGAAGGAAGCGCAATGGAGTATGTGGAGTGAGTGCCAGCCACGATGACCCTACGAAGCTTAAATCATGCTTCACCGGTCCGCCCGTGACCGATGGTAACTCGGTCGTGATTCAGCCTGCTGGTCATCATGCATCAAGCAATGTGTCTGTCGAAGACAACGGCGGCCCAAGTCTGCATATTCCGAGGCCAATTACCATGGTGGTGCCTTCTGTTGGTCTGGAACATGAAGAATGGAAAACTGTCAGTAGTGGATGGAGTTTTGCCAACCCGACGTTGCTTACTGCCGATCCGAACGACAAGTACTTATCCGAGACGATCTGCGACGTCGGAGAAGCTACAATCATCATTATATGCGATATTTGCTTTGGAGAATTTAACATGCCAGACGTGACAGGTACGGATCAAGCGAGCGCGGTCCCTGCTCGTCCGTGGTTTTGCAAGCCTTGCCTTAGAGCCCTTAAGCGCAGCAGAAAGAAAAGGCCGCGATTTTCGCGGCAAATGGTGACGGAAATGCAAGTTCATGGTCGCCTTTTGCGTGCGACGTCTGCAAAAGTCTCCACCCATGATGCTGTAACTCGACCTGGTACCCCACCAACCTCGCGCGAAGAACGGCGTGAGATGTACGAGCTCGTCGGCAGAAGTGTGGGCGTGTTTTTGGAGTGGGATAACCAGTGGGTGATGGGTCGTGTGACGACATTTCATGCTACCCACCCTGCAATGCACCATACCATTCGCTGTGACGATGGCGTGGTTCTATCGTTACCGCTGTACGCGTTTCCATTGGTGATCGGGACGCGCACTATGGTTTACGTCAAAGTTCCAGCACTGCAAAACCGATGGTGGCCTGCCCAAGTCTTGCGCTTCAATGCCCTTGCACGCAGAATGCACTTCCCAGTCTACGGTAAAGAGACTGAAGCCGATGCGAGTTTTCGTTTGGTACGAATATTTACCGATACTGGTGAGCACGTAGAGACGACACAGTACGTGTCCTGCTGGGTCCCCAAATACCTTTGTCGGAGCATGAAATGGTTCGTCCCGCGAGATTCAAATGTTGTTGCAACGACGAAAACGATAGAGAATGTGGCAGAAAGGTTTCGAAAATTAGTGGAAAGGGCACAGAAGGAGACACAACTTGAGACCGAGTGTTTGGACCGCGCTTTTCAAATATTGCTAGCCGTGTTCCGACGAGCTTTGTCAAATCGTGGACAGCCAGAGGTTAGACAACGCTACGATCAAGTCGCCAAGTTGATGGTGGGGAATACTATTGTTGTCACATCGGCGGGCTCATGCGACCTACTACCGGGAACATTTTTGGTGAAAAGGTTTGACAGCGATGCGAACAAACATGTCATTTCACCCCGTGGCGATACGGCCAGTGTCGACGATGGCAATTCCGATATTGTAGTCGATCTGCTTCTATGTGCTCATGGTGGTATTGTGTACCATCTGGACGACACCCGCGCGTTTAGTGGGCTGGCAGTTCTGCTCGAGTATAGTGGGTCTGATCTGGGCGTGGGCATTCCAGGAGACTTTCACTCCAAAGAGCTGCTAGAGAAAGCCATTGTCGAAGAATCTGGCATGCTTCGAGACTCAGCAGACGCTGCTCGGGAACGTGAAAAAGATTGTACGATGAATCCGTGTAGTCACTGCTTTATGGATTCAGACGAATGCCAGGAAGACACCGATACACGCAATACAAAACGCAGCCAAGACCATGCAGAAGAATTGACGGTGTGCGTGAAATGCGATCGACGGTTTCACAAAACCTGCTGCGATCCGCCGCGCGCATCGATATCGCTTGTGCACCCGGATGACGGACAGGTGCTAGTGAAGGATCTGAACATACCGTTTGTGTGCAGTGATTGCACGGTTTGCTCAGGGTGCCATACGAATAATTGCGAAGGACCGCTTCAACCCGAGCAGATTTACACCAGCGAGAAAACAGTGCTGAATGGTGAAGAAGAGTGCCGAGCAACACGATGGTCTCGGTGGCGGTTACCGTTACAGGCCGTCGCGCTTTGCTCGAAGTGTGTTCCTTACTACAAAGCCAACCAGTTTTGTGGTGTTTGTAGTACTGTCTTGGATGACGCACAAGTGACAAGTAACGTCAAGATGCTGGCATGCTCGACATGCCATCACTGGATCCACGCTGATTGCGAACCGGATCCACACTCGGCTTTCCATGCGTTCGACAGTACCAATGACTTTGCACTAGACGTCATGACGGATACATCTGGCAATTTATCGAGTCCGCCGGATGCGATGGCCGATTTGCGACCCATTGTTACTATAGCAAGCCACGAAGGTGACACGAAATTGACGTTGGATGTGAAAGCTGTTGTTGAAAGTCGTTGTGCATCAGATTACAAAACACAATTGAGCGCGACATATTCTGCAAACAGAGACGACACAGTTGTCAAGAGCGCCAAGCAGGTAGAAGAAGATATCGCGCGTTCTTTGCGGTTTGGAGCTGAGTACGATCCAAAGGTGTTTCATAATTACGAGTGCCTAACGTGTCGCAAGATCCGTATGCTGCACATTCTTCATCGTCTGGATGTCGAAGACAAGCTGGACCTGTTCAAGGAACCAGTGACCGAGGCAATTGCGCCTACGTATTTCGAGACAATCAAGTCACCAATGGATTTGAGTTCTATGCGGCAGAAGGTCCTCGAAGGGAGGTACAGAAGTGTTAATTTTCGCGTCTTTCGGGACGACTTTGAGCTGATGTGCTTAAACGCGGTAACCTTTAACTCAAAGGAGCGTGATTTCTTGGTTTGGCGCGAGGCTTGGCGGTTCTATGGCCAGGGGCAGAGAATATTCAGGCAAATCGCACCAAAGGCACGAATGAAGCATCGTGGAGGACGCTACCATGATGCTCTGTTGGTTGCAGCGAAGCGGCAGCTGCCAAACAATTCTGCGCTTGCAGGCAAAACGCAGTCTAGTGGTGATTCGTTCGAGAATGGCAAAGACGGTTGCGATAACGAGGATGACGACGATCTTGACGACGATGAAGACGGCGACAACGGCTCGGATGCAGGGTCGGATGTTTTTGGTGGGGGAGGTAGGAATCGCGAAAAAGTTGCCACGTCGAAGAGTTCGGCTCGCAAGTATGGTTCGGAAGCTGCATCGGCTCACAATAGCGATGCAAGCAGCGCGTTTCTCGATTACGCAAGACAAGGTAAGCGAAGCGAGTCTGCGATTGACATCGCGCCTGCATCGGCAACAAACGGAGCAGCACCAGCTGCCACCACGGCACTTGTTGAGCACCTTGTAGGCGCAAACGCGTCACCCATTTACCAGACGAAGCTCCGTGTAAGCAGCTTCACCTCGCGTATACCGCTTTTCCAGATTGCACAGACGCAAGCATCAGCACATCTCTCGAGCTGGTTAGATATGTGCACAGTGTGCGGCAGTGCGGGACTGCATAGCGACTTTATCTTTTGTGTGGACTGCGGAGAAGGCTTCCATCTATTCTGTGTCCCTGGAATGGAGGCTACTGGTATAGACGGCAACGAGCAACTGCGTAAATATTGGCGCTGCCTCAACTGCAAGATCTGCCAGGTATGTGGTCGATCTGGAACCGTTTGCGTACCCGACAACAGGAGCAGTCGTGCTGTTGCTACTGCTGGAAATGTGGATGTGCTTGTTCCGGCTACGCAAATGGCTGGAGTGGAGCTGGATTCGGCGCACGAGTTATCTGCGGGCGATCCACTTGTGCTATGCGCGCATTGTCATCGCGGCTATCATGGGTCATGCCTAGTACCGTCTATCCACTTACCTTCAGCTTCCAAGAGAGGCGACGGTAGCACAGTGGTTCCGACTATTTACTGCTCTAGTTGCATGGCGTGCACAAACTGTAAGGCTGCTAAAGGTGGCAGCATTGAGTCTCCGAAGTCAGAAGATACGAAGAAGAACCAGACACTCACAGCTGCTCGCACGTATAGTTACGAGCGGAGCAAGTGTTTGCATTGCCATAGCTTCAAGGAGCGTGAAGCAGAAGCACAAAAGGATCGTAATCGACTGTTGGCGGAAGTTTGGAATGCTGCAGCGCGCAAGCGCAAGAGAGACGCAGACAAGTGTCCGCTCTGTCGACGCAAGTGGCATGCTGAGTTTGAAGAGCTTATGCAATGCGATGCTTGCGAACATTGGGTGCATCCATTGTGTGATGCGATGTTGAAAGCGGAGCCGCAGCGTTATCACACGCTGGTAAATGATGCTAATGCGGTGTACGTATGTGCTGCTTGTCGCCCACAGGAACGTAAGCACATTGCCGACAAGTTCTTTTCTGACGCTGATAGCTGGCGCTGTCAGATACTTCTTGCTGATATCCAGCGTAAGCGCTTACAATGTGATTCGAGTTGGAGGGAAACCCAAATGCAGCTAAGACAGGTTGAACGTTGGAAACGTCTAGCCGACCACACGCCTGTCTACCTGTACGTGCTGCGCCTGGGCGAAGAGTGTCTTCGGGACTTTGCTTATCAAAGTCTCAGCTTTCAAAGCAACTGGTACCGTGTTACGAAGCAGCAGGAACTGGACAAATGCGGAGTCCTTTTGCCCGAGTGGCTACTGCGCAAGGCAAGTCGCTACATGCGGTTCAAGAGGTACGTGCGTGGGCCACGCGCAGCGGCGCGGCGTCGCGATCGCAAACTGGAGAATTGTCATTCGAAGCAAGCTGATAGTGCAAACGCTCGCACGAATGCAAGCGCCATCTGCACGCTTGTTTCTGAGGCTGCTAGCTGTGCTGCTTTCTTGGCCTGTGTGCATCTGCTGTATGGGTGGCGTCCGCTTCCTGAGGTTGTTATTCATATGCTGTCAAGAAACGAGGGACCGGGTGTTGGCGTGGAGCATTGTAGGCTAGACGCGTCGCTTCTAAGGCGTCTACGAAGTGGTGAAAACGTTCATGACGAGGAAGCAAAATCGGGGCTGGAGTTGGAGAAGGAAATCGCGGCTATCATGGAGCAGCATGACCGCGAAGTTATGGAGCCACTCACGCATAAACCGTCAGTGGGGCTTACGAGATGTGATTTCGGCAATGGCGAAACTAGCCCTGCAACGTCGATTGCAACTTCATCGAGCGGGAGAACGGACTTTTTGACGACTAGCCAAAGCAGTGTTACGTTGAAGGCGGCAAGATCAGCTCGATGTACGACTGAAGTCAACATACACACCGTCACGCCTGCTTGTCGTCAAGTGCACGAGTCACCATTGTCAGCATCCTCGACGATGGTACCTCGCGCACTTGACGATGCCGAAGAAAGCGTCAGTATGGCTTGCACGACAACTGCAACGCCGCTGCGAGGTCGGCCAGCCGGAATTTTTGGCGACATGAATGACGGCGAGTCCTCGGGGGTATTGACGACTGATCTATTTGACGACAGTCGGTCTTGTGCGCTATGTTTCGTAGTTGGTGACAACACGGCGTGCGGAAGATTGCTTTACACCGAATTTGAAACTTGGGTGCATGTGAATTGTGCGCTTTGGTCCATGGAGGTATACGAAGGTGAGTCAGGTGTGTTGCACAACTGCAGCAAAGCAAAACATCGCAGTCGTCTCATCCGCTGCAATGTGTGTGGACTCATGGGGGCAACAATTGGCTGCTCTGTTGCTCGCTGCACGACGCACTACCACTTTCCGTGTGCAGTGGATGCTGGAGTCGCCTTTCTGCCCAATGGCGAGACTTGCTGCCCTCTTGCACTGCATTTGGAGAGCGTGGCACGGAAACTAAAAGCCGTGAATGGTGGGTCGTTGGCTTTCACAAGAACGATTGGTGGAGCTGAGTCCAAGGTAGAAGCTGTCGTACAAGTATGCTCTGGAAACGAACAAACAGGCGCTATAAAAGATGGTCTAAGAACGGATGACGAAACCAGTGGAACGGTTGGTACGACTGCCTGGCACGGTCAAGGCACAACAGAATCCAACGCACTATCTGCCACAGCTGACAGTGCCAGTAGTACTGCGATGGCAACATTTACACGTGACATGAAGGCAGAAAATGTCCCGGACAAGAAGACAAGCGACCGTGGATCACGAAACACTGGACAAGACAAGTCAAAGCTAAATGCTGAAAGCAAAACCGCAGTTCTGCAGCAGATAGAGCACGTGCTGCCTGTCATTGACCCTCGAACAGAACCGCGAAGATGCCTTGTCAGTGATCCACCCCTTTTGACAGCGTGGGAGTTGAAGAAGAAGAAGCGAGCAGAGCTCAAACGTGGCATCAAGCCACGAACGATGTGCTACCGCGTCGGCGCATTGACTGTCCATTCTCTTGGGCACGTTTTTGTCGGGAACGAAAGCTTTCACTCACGAACGGCTATTTATCCGCTAGGCTTCCGCAGCACGCGTATTTTCTGGAGTACGCGCAAGTTGGGAACGCGATGTCTGTACGAGTGTGTAATATCGAGCACCGAGATTGAAGAGCGACGCGCTCGGCGACGAAAAAAGCTGGAAAAAGGGGCGGTCGGCACAGAACGAATTGAAGACACCGAGTACAATCGACCGCAGCAGAAACCACGAGCACTGTTTCGACTGACGGCTTCAGACGACAAAGAGCGACCCATTGTTGCTTCCACACCTGAGGATGCATTAGTTGAGCTCCGGAGCCGCGTGGTAGCTCTGTACGAAGAGCAGCGAGACCCTTGTGCTAGCTCCCGACACGTTGGTCGAAGCGCTACGGTAGACATGGAGCCAAACCCATTTCTGAAGCGCAGCTCGTGGCTCTCTTTTGCATTGAGAGGCGACTTCTTCTTTGGCTTTGGGTTAGCTGAGATCGCCCGCCACATCGAGGAGCTTCCCTATGCTGCAACTACCGCAATCAGCCGCTGGTCTGTCGCGAAGAAGCTTCGACAGCAGCAGCAACGTCAGGGGCAAAGCCCGTTACCTGGTTCTGCGGTTGCAACGTGGGGACCTGGTTCGCGGAAGAGATGCTTGGAGACAATGGAACAAAGTGCTGAAGGTGCAGCGGAAGCGGTTGATGCAATGACCGAAGGTACCGATGAAGAACAGCAATACGAGTTTGCACACGAGCTGCCATCTCTCGAAGCTTTTCAGACGGCGGAACGCGTGATCGAGCAGTTGGTCCGGGCTGAGCAGCGTGCGCGGCAATCTTCTGGGTGCGCCCGGACCGATGGCTTTGCAGGCAACCGCCTCTTTGGCATGCCAAAGAAAAGGAAAACATTGCCGCAGCGCCAAGTGCTTAATAAAGAAGCGAGCAACGAGCCTGTGCCTGGAGCTGCGAACAATGGGAGTATCGGAAGTGGGGTTACAAGCACTGGGGGCGTGGCAATGGACATCGAGCATTTGCCGATTACGATGCAGTATCGGGAATTGCGCCGTCGGCCATTTGGCGAGCGCATGTTGGTACGCAAGTCGTCTATCCATGGCTACGGCTTGTTTCTAAAAGAACCCGTGAACGAAGGACAGATGATTGTCGAGTATCAAGGCCAAATCGTGGGTCAACTCGTAGCAGACGCACGAGAACGACGCTACGAGGAGCAAGGGGTTGGCAGCTGCTACATGTTTCGACTGGACGAAAAGACGATTATCGACGCCACGCGTTGCGGTAACCTCGCGCGCTTTATCAACCATTCGTGCGACCCAAAGGCTTTTGCGCGTGTCGTAGCGGTAGAAGGTGGCGAGAAGAAAATTGTCATCTTTGCCAAGCGTGCAATTGCGATGGGGGACGAGGTGACGTACGATTACAAGTTTCCGATCGAAGACGAAGCGATTCGCTGCGATTGTAATGCTACTAATTGTATTGGCCGGATGAACTAGACCACGTCACGGCACGTGGAAATGTACCGTACTGTCATATCTGACGGAAGACTTCCCGTCGAGTCTGGTTTTGTCCACACAATCGAATTTTGTCGTTACACACTTGAAAAAGCCGGAGCACGAGTGATCGTACGATCGATCGAGATAAGTTCGGAAGCTTTGCGAGGTCAACGCAGCGTGTGCTTTTGCTGGATTACAAGACCGGACCCTCATTTGTTCCGTTTACAACGACCCAAGTGGTGTTCTTGAGCCGGCAGATCACTTTTGGCCGCCTGCGGAATACCGTTCTGACCTGTGTCAGAAATGAACTGGAGCTTAGTACTTGCGCATGATGACGGATGGAAGAAACGTCATTCGTTTCCAGTTCTTTGGGCAAGTCAGACAGCACAGATCGTGATCCGACGCAACAACAGTAGTAGCACGACGTCTCATAAGGGTAGAGAATGCGTGGAAATGAGCTGATGAGAGCGTTTGACGAAGGTATCGCATACGTGCGCTCCTGCTGTAAGTGCGTAAAGTGTACGTATTGCCAGTGGCATCGGCACAGCAAGTACTTAACTACGTCTTGTCTTTGTGCATCGAGACCTCTGTTTTGTGTTAGTGTCCGTCTCGGTAATTTTGCGTCAGGTTGATGCCCATTTTCCCTGCGCTATGTTTTAAACAGATTTGAGTAGACACTGACATTCGATTCGTACACACACTCGTGTTGCGTAGTTACTAAATGTTGCGGTGAAGTGTGGTTTATTAGGGATATACGTGACAATTTAGTGCCTTTGTTCGATACCACGTGTGTGCGATCGGCAACATCAAAGTCTACTGAGTCTTTGCCACATACCTATATGGGTTTGCACTCACTGATCGATTATATGGAACATCACGCTACGATCGTCACCACCAGCGGTGTCTCAGGTTAACCCTATCATCATTTGTCGCACCTACTTAGCAGACACCAACTCAGCAGGCCATACGGCTCCACAAAGTGCCATCTCGAGCAGTATGAGGCTATCAGCATCAAGCTGCTGCGCAGCACCACTGCGAAACGGCGTACTAGGACCGAAGAAGTGTGATCGAGGCGCTGCCACGATCACATTTCAAGTAGTAAAGTTATAAGAATCTCATTCATTAAAAGTTCAAGTTTGTGCTTCACATAGTTTGCGAAACTACGTGAAGCACAAACTTGGACTTTTAGTGAATCAAATTTTTATGTGCTACTACTTAATCGCAAATTAAGTGCGGTTTTTAAGTTGTTTCTTACATCTATAAATTCCATTTTTGTCCGTTCCGTTAAGAGTAAAATACTTTATCATGTTTTTATGGTGTACATTATTAATTGCATTGTTAGTCAAGTTCTGCAGGTAGTGCGTGGAGTGAAACGGCCCCTATAGGGTAATTTACATTAGTTAAATAGTACCTTGTGCTTCAGGCATCAAAACAACTCACGTTACGCAAGTTGATGCGCTCAACACGACTGCACGTATCTGAAGGTACCATGTACACTGCTTACCGATCACAATGATGTGTACGGAGCTACCAAGAGCTAGATCGTTTAGTTGCTGCCATAAGAGTGGAAAAGTAAAGTCCGACATTTACAAACGAGACACCCTCTGCTGCCTCTGCGAGACAAGGTACACTTCTGACACAGCGTAGGCAGGTGCCTCAATCCCTCACGCACACTAGACGTGCAGAGGAGGTGTATCTTCGAATCAAAACGCTAAACATATCAAGTACAACTATAATAATATAGTTATATCGTCTAGTCTTATTCCTCCAGATCTTACTTGTAGTATATCGAGCTACATACTGCAAAGTTTTGTAGCTACTCGCTCACCGCCCATTGCGCGCGTCTAGTAGCGATTGTTGGTGTAGTCAGCTGACATACTGACCAGTATCGACCAATGAGCGGAGTAGTGCCCGCTATTACCTTCGACAGTAATATCTATTCATGCAGCATTTACTCATAAGGTAATTGTTGTACAACATTGTAAATAAGATTCAATTTCCATCAACTTATTGTTGGTGTCAAAGACAGAGAACGGGCCCACTCCTTTCCAGCGAGCATATATATACGAAGTTGTCAAAGCTGCGCCATATACGTTCCTGCACGTACCCTTTTGATATAAAGGGAGGACACTATGTTTGTGTGTCCGTTGCATGACATCATTTGTGTTCATCCACGTCAGAGAGTGCATTGTAATTGATTGCTACTTCAAACGAAGAGACGAAAGGAGCTCTGCTAATCGGATCTAGATCTGCCCTCGTCAACTATCGTTCTGTCTCACTTCTGCTCTTCGATCACATCACTTCACTTTTAATAAGCCGTGTTACCATGTTGTACAGGAACGCGAAATTTGTTCAATACGTTCGTGATGGTTTTGATAATCTCAGATGTGGTTGGGTCAGTGAAAAGCGCTACGACATGAAGGCTGGTTTCACATGGCCAAACCCCAATGAGTATTACTGTACCACCGGCCAGCCGATCAGGTCACGGCTAAATGAATCGCTGGAAGTGTCAACATTGCTGATCCTTTACCCTCTCAATCTATGATAAGTCCTGACTGCACCATTCAGTCGATTAAACCAGGCTACGGAAGAGAAAACGCCCTCGATCGACGTGCCGGTGCTCGGAATTCCACTACCGTGTCTATATCTCCGCCTTTCTGCCTCGCCCAATTGCTATATTGTCGTGCTACCCATATTAGTGCTTGCGAGTGGACGTCGCAAAGACGCAACAAGCGCCGATGGGTTTAATTTCTCAGCCCTTTGTGTGACAAGTAACACTAGAGAGTAGCAAAACGCCGGTGAGTGTAGTAGCAATGTCCAGGAAGCTGAAGTAAAGCGACTAGTTGACTAAGCATACTCTTTACATTGACTGACCTTTGAGGAGGGCGGGACGAATGCAATTACCGAAGGCTTAATCGAAGAGTGAAGACTCTTTGTGGAATTGTACCCACCCGATGATACCACTTGCGACGAGATACACATTAGAAAGTCAAGAAGATGCGAACGAAAGACGGAAGAAGAGTGGAAGAAACCGAAGAGGATTTCGAGAAAACGGCGACTTGTTCGACTGAGTAAATCATATACAGTGGAGGGACTACTGTAGCGTGATGGTGCTGCGTACATCATTGTCTGTCGTCGATAGGAGCAAAGCGGCGTAGGGACGATGCTTGCTCAACTGTCGGACGACAATAAAACCACTGATAGTTTGGACATAAAGGTTACAGATGTGTGAGCCCCAAGGAAAGAGTTCTAGCACCCGATACATGTGTACATGTTTGCAGTACAACTGAGTGAGTAGACAGACAGAGACAGCTATAACAATAATCCACTTTTCATTTGTGCTGCAAACGATAACGCTGGTAACTAAGTATCAAAGTTGTAAGGTGATATTCGGACCATACAGACACCATTTGTAATCTGACAGGACCAAGTGATAGTAGTGCCATTGGATACACACGTTAGAGTGTGACGAAGGAGAGGGGTTAACGCTGTATGTACATCACTTTCTTCCTACACCCGTTGCACATGTTCATTCGACATCATCTACGTCTGGCAATGGCTCTAGCGTAGTTCTTCGATGTCGAGCCCAATCTGCTGTGTTTCTGCAGAAATGTTACAGTCGACATCATCTCACGGTAGTGAAAAGCACGATGTTACTGTATGGAGGTCTTGTTTTCTGGTCGGCGCTTTGGACGAACATCGGAACGTGTCATGCAGTACGCTTCATTTTACAAACTATTCCAGCGGTCTGTGACAAATCGATCAGCTTATCGTGTTCGCTTTTCTGGGTCGAAGCTAAGTATCGTCGCTAAAGCACTCGCAGCTGATGCAAAGTCGGACTTTTTCGGTGCAAAAATGGCGAGGAAACGAGGCAGCAAAAGTTGCAAACGTGCCCCCAGGTACAGTGACAGAAAATGAATTTGCTTGTAGCACTATAGCTGAGACACACGCGCACACCACGCAGCTCTGGCGGACGACTTTCCACGACGAAAGGAACGTACATTACTGCTTGACGCGGTCGTGTCTGCAAGCACTTTACATTTACTGATATTGTTATTCTTGCATTGTCGCAGAAGCTCTGTGAGGATCAGCAACATGTGCTCCATTGTTCTGCAATCGCTGCTGCTGTCTGGTACGCTCGGTGTAGAGTTCGTAAGCTTTGTGCTGCTAAGTCCATGGTAGACGTTGTCTTTTCGATTGTCTCGGACTGAGATCCGTACATTGCTGCAGACCTGCTCGACCGTTTGAGCGCGAACTTCACTCGCAAGTGGTCGCCTATCTGTGCAGCGTAGTACTTGCAGCTCTCGGCAGACATAGTTCGTCTTGCCACGCTCTTCCCGCACACTGGTGCAAATCGAGTGATTGTCTCTATTTGACAACGGTATCGATGCAGGCGTCGAGCTGAATGTTGCTCTGATGACGCCCGTAAAGCTTCGCACTTGAAAAACGAGTCACGCTGAAGTTTTCATGCTTACCGGGATACGACGCTCCTGCTGGCAGGAACAGCGATCGTGTCAATGATGTGTCTCTGATCTGAGTTTGTGAACGGCCTTGCAATCTCGTTCAACAAGCGATTGAGGATGTGCGCCGCACTTGTTTGCGACACGATGTGCACGGGTGTGGCAGATATGATCAAAGTGCTGCTATTCCTGTCCTCGCGAGAAATGGGGCAGCAGCTCAATGCTCGGAGTCTTATGCATGCTTGTGTTTTGTGGAGCCGTAAAGGTAGCTGAGTTGCAGACAGCGGAGTAAGGCAGGTGTAACGAATGGCGACACCGCGAACCATCGCAGCGATTGGCAAGGCAAGTTGTTTGACTCGGAGTACAGCAAGACACTGAAGCGAACACAACGCCAACCGCCTACTGACGGTGGGTTCGTTGGTTGGTTGGTGGGTTGTCCTTATCGTCAGGCTGGCTATCTGAAGTCGGCGTTAGGCTCTCAGCTTTGCATCAATCTCACCAGCTATAGAAGTTCGAGTTCGGACATCAACAATGCATTCCGTGCAGCTGAGAGGCTCTAGTTGTCGCATGTTTTCTCGATGCGGCTGGACGAAAACGCTGATGGGTCTTCGTCTCGACGTGCACCTTCCAAACTGTCAGTTCTCTTTGTGCGTTGCCTCGACACGCACTTCACTCTTCATTGCAACGCGAACCTGCCACAAGTTGAGGCTTAAGCCTCGAGGTAGTTGCATCAGGTTGCATCGACGTTTTGGGCTTGTGGTGGTGTGCGAAGTCGATCGTGTGTCGGCATACGATCGACTTCGCAGACTGAGTTCCTAACTCACTTCCAGCGTTTATTGCAAGAGGTGCTACAGCTACAAACTAGTTGCAAACTTCGGTACAACTGCGTCATAGCAGCGAATCTGCGTACACGAGTGCATCCTTAGGACTTGTGCAGGACTCGCGAGGCGCACATGTTCAGCTCGATCTCCCATCTGTTTGCTGCGAAGTTCGTTCGCATGCGAGACGCGACTCATTGGCAGTCTGGACATCGAAGTTCATTGAAAATGAGGGGAGTCCGGACTTGGGAGGGACGACTGTAGCGGTCAACGCACTCCATGTCGGACTCGTTGACTGCAGGTGGGCAAGTGGGGCGTACTCATCGAGCGACGTCGGATCAAGTCGCGAGTACACTTATCCTTTCGACACCTGACCGACCGGCGGTTTACGTCGCGCTTTGTGTCGAGAACTTGCAGCTGTTTTGGGTCGGCCACACCTCATGCCGCCGTCGCCGTCGTCGTCGCCGTCCGTCAATCGGTTCGCTCGCTCCTCAACAACCGGAACAGTTTTTCGCAACGTCTCGAGGCCTTTCCACAATGGACAAACGCGAATGCGCTCTGTGCCATCGACGCCGCGACGTCTTCGCCTGCGCCCGCTGTGCGTCTGCTATGCTGCAACAGCGTCGTACGATGCTCTCTGCGCTGCAGGCGGACGTGGCGGTGCTGCGCAAGAAGACGGAGTTCGCGCTCAGCGTGCGCAAGAGATCCGTCGCATTGTCAGGAGGTGTCGCCTCACGTTGTTGTGCTGCTTGCAATGGCTTTTTCTCTGCAGACCAAACGCGCGCTCGCGAACGCAGAGCTTCGACTGGACACGTGCAGGAGCAGAATCGAACAGGTGTCGACGCGGGTCATGGCGACCCGCGAAGAGCTCTGTTCCGAGAGAATAGCGGTCGTGGAACGGACCGCGAGGCTGGAGACGCGGGCGTTACGGGTCGAAGAGGCCCGGCAGCAGCTAAGGGAGGAGCGACAACGAGCGACAAGTCTGTATTCTCCAGTGCTCGAGTGTCTGGACTATCAGGTGCAGTGGGCCGACGAAGTACGTACAGTCGCCACTGAGCGCGGGTGGAGCTGGAAGACACTGAGTTGTTTCGCGGTGCTGATACAGAATGCGGCAAAAGTGAGGGGCGATCGACTGCGGGAGCTGTTTGCGTTGTTTGCGCTGACTCCGGAAGACGAGAAGAGCGGGGACGAAGAACATGACGAGGTACTGAGGAAGCTGCCTGATGAGCACACGGGTGTGCTGGGAGACAGACAGAGACAATGCGACACAAGGGCGAATGTCCCAGCGTTCTTTCGGACGATTGTGGGTCTGCCACTACCGAAATCAGGCAAGTACGCTAGCGTGCCGCCTGAAGTGGTGGCTGCGGCACTTGGAAAAGTGATTCATCTCCTGCGTTGCCTGGTCAAGTACCTGAAGATCACATATCCGCACCCGATGGAGTTTACTGGATCCTTCTCGACGATTGGAAACACAAGGGAGGGGTCTGGATGCCACACGCTGTATCCTGACGGCAGCGCCGGGTTTGAGCGTGGAGTGAGCATGCTTCACGAGAATGTAGCATTCTTGTGTCTCTGTCAAGGTGTGTCCAAGAGCGCACTTCACCCGACCGATTTGCTTGGAAACCTCTTGCAAGTTTACAAGTCGCCACGGCTTGGAACGTTGTGCGACCAGGTTGCGTCCGGCGTGGGCAAGAGGCACGTGATATTGCACGTGGACTCGATGAAGCTGAGCTAACTTGCTTTGTGTGACCCTGCGCTCACACCAGCACGCACGAGAATGGTATGGTGCAGTCAGTGTTTCTAGAGAACTCGCAGAGTCTGGGCGGAAGTATTGAGATTTTGCCCCATTACACATGCAGCAAAGCTCTGTAGGTGCGCTGGGGTCTCAGCTGTACGAACAGAATGACGAACGCGCAAACAAAAACTACCGGTGCAAGCCCACGACGTTGGTGAGGTGCGTCTGTGCGCGCTTGATGTGAGCAAACTCGAGCTGTCGATGCTAGCAAGCAGCAGCTTGCTTCTGGCTGTCTAGCCAGCGTAGCTACGCACAAGCAAGCTGCAGTGACGCCATTGTTGGCCGGATGCCATCCTATGTGTTGCTAATTTCCTTCTATCCGAACGGCGTGATTGGCGCTGACGAACCCTGATCGTCCTGACTAAGCTCCAAGCACTGGTGCTTCAGCGACGACAGCTTCTCGCGGATCAAGTCCAGTGCACATATAACCACTTCCTCGGGCTTCAACTGTCCTGTGGTCTATATCGACGAACAAAGCGCATCACCCAAACCGACAAGTGAGAACTGGATTGCTTGCTATCCATATCACACCAACTTGACGATCTCAACAGCGCCACACTCAGCTCGCAAACAGCAGTCATCCGTACGCACCTCAACAGAAAAAATAAACTTGTCTTCTCGCATGCGTATCGTCACGGCTGCGTCATCCTCCGGGTTGTCCTTGAACGAGTCGGCCAACTTGACGCACTCGTCGCAGTACATGCATCGCATCGCGTCTCCTACCGTAAACTACGGGAAGCACGGCACACACGCAGCAACGTTCATTGGTCAGCAGCTCGACAGCACCACTCGCAACAAGGAGGAGGAGAAAAGACCACTCAATGCCTCCATCACGCAACCTGATCGTAGTTCTCGTCCGTCTCGTACACTTCCGTCGGACAGCTCTTGTAGAGCTCAGCTTTCTGCTCGGGCGTGTACGTGCTGAGCACCGTCTGATTCAGCGTAATGATCGGGTCGTACATGTACGTCGCCACGGCCACGGGCGACCACTTGGCGTGCTCTTTGCCCACGCCCAGCTTGGCAATGGCCGAGAGCCGTAGCCGCTGGCCGGGGCCGAGCTTGGCAATGATCACGCCGCTGTCCTGCGTGTTGTTGAGCTCCTCTTCGGACGAGAAGTTCACGGGCCGAATGTACGGGTCCGACGACTTGAGCGCTTCGGTCGTGACCGACACGACGCCGCTGTCGGCCGTCACGTCCAGCGTGAACTCGACGCTGCAGTTGGGGCAGTTCTCGTCGCAGTCGCAGTCCTGCGCGTAGACAAAGCGCTGGCTAAAGTTCTCGAGGCCACCGTCAAAGTTGAGCGGGATCATGCCGAGCCGGTGCGCCAGGAACTCGTCCGTCATGACAGAGCTGTTGACCTCAATGCTCACGAGGTCGATCGCCAGCGTCGGGACTTCGGCGATCATGACGCGCCGGATCGCGTTCGCCACGCTGGCGTCGGTCTCGGACAGCTCGAAGCGGATGAAGTCGTCGCGCAGCTCTTGGATCTCGATCTGGGGGAAACGCGGGTGCGGCATTGTGGCGCCGTCGCAGTCGCCGTCGCCGTCGCCGTCGCAGTCGCCGTCGCAGTCGCGGCGGTGGACTTAGTGGAGGGGGAGGGAGGGGCTGTGATTGGCGGAAAAGCGCGGCACAGACGGACGGGGCTGTGATTGGTGGAAAAGTGCGGCACGGACGGACGGGACTGTGATTGGTGGGAAAAGCGCGGCACGGACGGACGGGGCTGTGATTGGTGGAAAAGCGCGGCACGGACGGACGGGGCTGTGAGCGCAAAGACGTGTTTTGAGGCTCGTTTCGATTTGGTGCCGTTTTGGGTCCGTGCAGTTCGTTGTACCGTACAGTTGGGGCAGCGGCCCATGAGTTTGGATTTGCTCTCGAGGATAGGGACGAGGCGGACGAGTGAGCAGGCGGTCGATTGACAAACTTCAGACGAGCGGTGTTTCGTCTTGTAGAGCAAAGTCGTTGGACTTGTGTCTGCAGATTCTTTGGTAGCACTTTGAAGAATGGCTGTCGCAATTAGCAGTGACTGGTGTATGGGCAATGCCGAAGAAGACGCACACCGCATCGCCCTTTGCTCTTCGGCCACGAGATAGCGGTGTACCAAGCAGCGTTGACGGCAACGTACTAGTCGGTATCGTCGTGCAGAGAGTCGAGACGTAGCGCCGAAGACAAGGTCAACGCCATTACCCCCACGAGACACGAAGGATGCGGAGCCAGTACGGCGGGACCGCAAGTATTGGCTTTGCAGTGGATTGAGAATGAGCAAACTTTGGCACTACTGGTGTCGTATTCGGAACTGAACGTGGTCTGTTGGAATGCAAGCTCGTAGAGCATGGCCAACAGCTGTGGAAGGAGGTGCTTCTCTGGCGCGCTGGGTCCGCCGATGATGGTGAGCATGTACTGACGCACCGAAGGCGGGTCAATGAACGTGCTTATTGCTGAAGTAGGAGCTCGTACCAGAGCTTATGGAGTCGTCAAATGAGGCGTGAATGAGCGCGATAGAGCTCTACATGTGTGCTGGAAGCAACCTACATCTGTTGCCCGCATGCTCGTCGTACTGCGCTTTGTGCAGTGACCCATTCTTGTCATTTCGATGCATGCGAACGAGCTCAGAGCCCATGTGCTTACGTCTTCGCAACCGCTTTCTTGTCTTCAAAGCGTCGGTGATACCACGGTCCTTGCTAAGTTTCTTTCGCGTGTACTACGGCTTGCAGCTGGGGGCAATGCATAATGCACGAAAGAGACGAATGTGTCTCGCCACTCATAGTCCGCATCGACTGCTTCCGAAATAGCGGACAGCTTTTCTGTGCTTCTTCGAAGAGGGCTACGAAACATCGGATATGTCGAGCCACGATCAGCCAGAATAAGCTGCTTGGAATTGCTAGCGCGGGTCGCGTTATTGTGCGTACACGTCGTTTGCTAGACAAAGACAAAGTCGAATCCGTCGTGTTGCGTACCTCGTTGCTTCGGCACTGACAACTTCGGAGTGGTGTCGATCGAGTTGTTCGGATGCGACTAACCGGTGGACGTCATGTCTCTACTTCGACAAGTTTTTGTCGAAGTCAGTCCGAGAACGTCAGATCGGCTCGAACGACTTTGAGAAGCTCTTTTTCGATCGGAGGTGCATTGCAATGTGGAATGGCATTGAGCTCATACTGCAGTGTCTTGATACGCATCGAAGGGCACGCGTCATCAGACGTGATGCTTTGAGATGTGGCGAATCGTACAGCACACACTATCTGCATTGCTATCTCTTGCATCAACATTTCGTTCCTGTGATTACTTGGAGAGAGAGCACAATCTGCTGCACACAGAGCGTGGCAACATGACAGAACTGGGTCGCAATGTGGACTTGCTTCAACCCATTCTGTGAGTCGGCTGCACTACGGTCCATGGCACGTTCCTTTGTCTGCTTCGATGCAGACGCGCCCACAAGTCTGTCACGATCGTAAGCATTGCTTTCTCTGTGAGGACAGCTGTTGGTTGAGATCGTTCGGAAGCTCGTTAAAATATTGACAGCGTAGAATTGTGGGTGTGAAGGCCGCTTCGAAATAATTTGTACGACCATCTTTTCTTCCGTACAAGCAATTAATTGGTGGGATTGCGTGTTGGGTTCGCAGCAAAGTGATCAAGCGCTTGTGCACGGTACGAACAGCCAGCGCAAGTCGACAGCGCTTTTATTCGAAACAAACGGTTTTACACGGTCAAAACGTCCACACGTCCGACGCGTAAAAGTGGTGAAACAGCTCGCTCTTGTATTAACGAGGCAAAGCTGTCATTACGAACCAATCAACAACCCGACGGACCAACCACTCGACCACCCGACCACCCGACTGGCGACCCGTTCTCGAGTCGCACGTAGTCGCCGTCCTTCTACGTTTTGCTCCGTCTCCTCTCAGTCCGTGCCCAAGGGTCTTCCACTACCCCACGCATAGCCGCCACCCTGAGGAACCGCGCCACGACCCGCAGGTCCTCGCGCGCCAATGATCGGGACAGAAGTACCAGCCGTTTGCACGGATGGAAACAGGTTCGTGCTAGGGGCAGACATTACGACATCAGTTGACAGAACCACAGCGCAAGCACGCAAAGCACAACATCGCTTACAACACGGCAGGAGTTTGCAGCAGGTTCCAGCCCTTGGTCGCTGGCAACACCTCCAGCAGGAAGTAATACAAGTGGCCGGCAACGACTCCGAGAATGTCCGTCATTGGGTTGCCACCGACGAGGACAGTAAAGGCAATGAGTGCCCACGGCAGGTACAAGCCTTCGAAGCGGAAGCCTGCGAGACAAAGTGGCAACATCTGTCAGTGCGTGTCGTTATCACATGCCTCTGCAACAAGCAGGCTGGAGTCCGACAGCAGCAGACACACACATACATACCCCAGATCGCAACAGGCGCTGTAGGATTCCTCCGACTCCAGACGTAGACGATCATGAAGATGAGAGACGTGCCTAGGAACGGAAGCCCTATGAAAAACGCCATCACCTGCACAGCAGCAGCAGCAGCAGCAGCAACGTCAGTATCCGATCGTCATGGCGCGCGTTCCGCAAGAAACGGTCGTCCCGCAAGAGGAACGAACAAAGACACAGCTGTAAAACAACAAATGAACGCATGTCGTGCACATACGTACCCACAGCACAGCAGCTCCAAAGAACAGCATAAACGCGTAGTCAGCAGTAGGTCCGCCGCCGCCTGGGAAGGGGTCCTCTTCCAGTCGAGACGAGTAGTTGGTCCTGTGTCAGCACACACGCGACATGTGCCCGTCAGCATCGGGCGCGTCAACAGCATCAGCCCGTGGCACTCAACTGATTGAGTCCCCGATCAGCAGCACACACACACACACATGTATATACGTGTGTCCCGCCAATGGTTCACGACAATCGACAACCGACGTACAGGATCATGAGCTGCATAAGGAACGCAAAGCTGAAGCTCCCGAGGTACATAAAGCACGTGGTGAGGCGCCAGAGCTGGAAGCGCTGCCACACGAGGTCAAAGTCCAGGTACAGCGAGTGCGGGTTGAGCAGGCCCAGCGTGCTGAGCACGGTCGAGCCCGCGCACACGGACAGGTAGAACCGCGTGACGTACGGCAGCCCGTAGTACCACGTCTCGATGCTGCCCGCCATTCTCTTCCCTCTCTCTCTCTCTCTCTCTCTCTCTCTCTCTCTCTCTCTCGCGCTCTCTCTCTCTCTCTCTCTCTCGCGCTCTCTCTCGCTCTCTCTCTCGTTGTCTTCTTCTGTCTGTCGCAGACCAATGCGAATCGCCCACTGCGGCCAGCGATTGGGCGGACCGACGCCCCGCATCGCGCAATGTGATTGGTCAATTATCGACTTCACACGGCCACTGTCGAACGCAGAGGACAAACGCGCGCGACATTCACTCTGACGTCGCAGCGCCCAACTGCCATCGACCGACGACAAGATACGCCGCGCCAGTCCCTCACTCAGTCCCTCAGTGGGCAGTGAGTCAGTGAGTCACTCAGTCAGTGGGCAGTAAGTCAGTGAGCCGGTCGACGGTCTGAGACTATCGCTGGAGCTTTTGACGGCGCGCTGCGCTGCACGGGCCGCGAAGATGCTCCAGCACGCGATGGCACTGCTGCTGCAGCGACTGCTGGGCAAGTTCGTGACCTTTGACGCGAGTATGCTCCGGCTGAGTCTGTGGCAAGGCGACCTGTCGTTCCAGGACCTGCAGCTGCGGCTGTCGTACGGCGAAGGCACTATCAGCTACTTGAGCGTCAAGATCCCGTGGCGCGCGCTGTGGACGCAGCCGGTGCAGATCAAGGCACAGGGTGTCCGCGTGTGGCTCCATCAGACGCCCACGACAAAGAGCGGCACAGGACCGCAGGAGCCTGTGGAAGAAGCAGTGGACACGAGCATTGAAGACAGTCAGGGAGACGGTACGGAGGAGTGACGTGGAAGCGCGTGCTGGATCATTGGACGGCGACGAGCTAACGAACAGACTATGTACTGTGCGGTAGATCGGACGTACTTGTCGAAGCTGGTGTCGCACATCATTGGTAACGTCCAGATTGAAGTGGCGGACGTGCAAGTCCGATACGATTGTGATCCGAGTTCGCTCGCGCCGGTGAGGGAGTTTGTTTACTAGCGAAGTTGCAACATGGGACAATGTTTTTGTCTAACTGCTGCTCTCTTGATACGGCCAGCGACCGGGAAGTGGCACGTTGGTAGTTGGCTCCGTCAGTGTGATCAACACAAGTGCAGACTGGCACCTGGAGTTTACACCGCAGTCCAATGCGGTGACGAGATCAAACAAGGTCAAAGGAGGTTAATGTTTACGTCGGTAATGGCTCTGTCGACTGATGCGGGTTGTTTGTTCATAGCTGCTGAAAGTTGAAGGCGTTGCAGCGTATGTAGAGTATATCGACAAAAGGAGCAGGAGAGGGTCAGCTTGTGATCAACTTCCTCCCAAGCTGCACCAAAAGTATTTATTCCACGAGTGGCGTAGCACGATCAAGGTACGACAAGCATTGTGTGCTGGCTAGGCTTTTGACATGTTGCTCACGACGCACTTGTTGTAGGCAAGTTTGTACTACCACAGCGTGAATGCTGCGTTTCCCGATGTAGAGTTGGATGTGGATGTAGGCTGTGCACCTGGTAATGCTGCAGTAAAATGCAGTATATGTGCTGCCCACAACACGTGTGGCACGAAAGACTTCGTACGGCCTGTCAACCAGCCTAGAGTGCATTTCGGACCTGAGCACGTTGACGTTTTGTATGCTATTTTGATCGAGGTGAGGGCGCCATACGACGAGTATGATCGCTTGGCTGCATTGACGCGGCAACAGACATCACGACCTGATGGCTTTTTGATGGTACTTTCGTACGCAAAGCAATGGCTGTTGACTGATTGTCTGGATGCTGTGGTGGGTGGAGAACCGTTCACTCTTGAGGCGGAGGATGAAGACGAAGACAACGACGAGTTTGAGGATGCCATTACCCCTCCAAGTCTCTCCGTGCGTGCTCAGTTGCGGCACGGAGCAGGGCTGTTTTTTTCGGCCAGAGAATCTGTTGCTACGGGCGACGAGGTCGTACGAAATACGCAGTGGATATGGGTTCTAGGAGAGACTATTGCAGCCGTTAAGCAGTCATGCGTCGAAGATGAAATCCAGCTCAGCGTTCAGTCACTACGAATGTATGAGGTTGCTGAGTGCAGCAAAAGCTACAGCATTATTGATCATGCAAGTGAAAGCAGTGCAGATAGCGACTCGACATCTGTCGAGACGCCTATCGTTCAAATATCGTGTGTCGTTCCTGCTTACCAAAGCCGCCTTGTTGGGTATCAGCCTGTTCTGGACATTCGGTTGGGCAGTGTTACAATATGCATCAAAGATGAGACACTGCTTGTGTGGATGACTCTCTTTGCACCAATGTGTTTGTGGTGGAATCAATGGCACTTATCACACCCGAGTACATCGGTCGCCTGCGACGAAGATTTGTTTGCACCCATCGCATGTCTTGGGATCCACATGGAAAAGATGCGCTTCGTGTTCGCTCTTCACGACCAGTTTTGCTTCGGCGCTGAGCTGAAGGCTTTGTCGGTCGAAACGTCCGAGCCTGATCGTGAGTTTGTTCAGAGTATCTTTCGTGCAAGGATTTCGTTGTTCTCGGTAAGCGAAAGCCTGGCGTTGCTGCAAACCCAGACGAATTGGAACGACGTGGAAGGTGTGCATGAAATCGCGACCGTGGACGACGTCTCGCTGACGACAACGAGTCATTCGAGGGCACATTGGTCAATGGGTTGCTATTCCTGCAAGCACTGCACTTTATGCGACGGACGGCTGCATTACGAGCAACGAGAGTTTGACAGTAATGAGGAAACAGCCATGTACAGTTACGAGGCTCGACTTTCCAAAGTGCGTATCGATTGGACGGTGTCAGAGCTTGAAGCCCTATCTTGGGTAATAGGAAAGTGGAGTTTCTTCATGCCCGACAAGGCCGCTCATGAGCTAGACCAAAGTCATGATCATGCTGTCGCGAATACGGAGGTGAGTTTGGTTTGCCAACGCAGGTGGTCCATCCGGACTCCTGAAGTTCAACTTCGCGTAGCTGAGGATCGGCAACATCGGGCTACCCAATCATCTTTTCTGCTGTCCGTTAAGGATGTCGAATACCTGTCACGCGCATGTACGACGACCTGTTCCCAAAGTATGAGTGTGGGGTCAATCTCGCTTCAAGAAGGTGATAATGCGATCATCCAGGTTGCCGGAAATTTAGGATCACGCACACCTGCTTTCCGCGCAACGTTCCAGTGTGACCGAACAAACTCGAGCGAAAGCCAAGCAGCAGGGAAGAGCGTGCAATCAGTCTTACCATTCGATCGTCAAAGTACACGCGCCGTTTTCACGCTTGAGCGCTTGTACGGAGAGCTTTATCTTCCGGACATTGAAATAGTCTTGGTTTGGCTGGGAGGTTTCTATGACAGGTATTTGCTCGGCTTCCTTCTGTCGACTAACTTGGGGTACGAAATCGATGAATTTCGGCGTAATTTGTCAAAGCTGGATTCTCACGCTTCGTTGAAGTCGTCGGAAGACTCGTCTTATTCGAATGACGAGGTTTTCCTTAGTCTGGTGGTCACCCATGGCTTGCAGCTCAAGATCAAACACCTGGATCAAACACCAGATGCCACTTTCAATTGTTTGACACCCATTCAAACAATTGCTCGTGTGAAGGTATCTAGCATGTCTGTCCAAGTCCGCGCGTCTACTACTGCTGCATGTGGCAGAGTGGTTGAGATCAAGGGTAGCTTGCGAAATTTAAAGCTGACTGATTTGACTACTCCAAGTGGACCAGTACCAGCTGGGGCGACGCTATCGAATCGACAATCGATTGGCTCGCCTGCAGATGTTCTTGGCGGAGTTGCTGAGACAGAGTCGGTTGGCGTGAAAAATCTCATCGAATTTGTGATCAACGTTCCAGGACGTACGGACGATAGGGTCGTGGTCCGCGTTCGCTTGGACTCAGTATGCGTTGTATATCTGCACCGGATATTCAAGCAGTTTTATCACTACATTCTTGACCACGTTTTGGAGCTTCTGTTGATACCGCTGAGTGAAAACCCGAGCCTCGAAAAGGCTAGCTTCATTTTTGAAAGCTTCAGAGTAGACGCTGCAGCGCTGTCTGTACCATTGGACGAGCTACTGCACATGTATGTCAATGCGGTGATGAGTGAAGTAAGCGAACAGGCTGGCGCTAAGGAAACCACCAAAAGCGAGTTGGCGAATCTATGCTTCGAAGTTGTTGGGAACGACCTGGTGTTTGCACTGCCGCGGAGCTCGTTTTCGGAAGATAGTATCGTTCTTCGCTCGACGAATGGTCGCTTCTGGAGTAGTTGTGTCGATCCTTCAACATCTGATTTCTTGCAGAATGGTACCTTTGCCGACGAAACACGTTTTTCGGATGGCCCAGTACACGTCGGTGAATCCGCAGCGAAGGCTCAGCTTCGCCAGCGAACAGAGTTACGAAATCTGAGGCGGCAAATTAAAAACCAGCGCTCACGATTCTTGAGCAATAGGAGCCAGCTATATCTCGATCTCCGGGGTGCCACACAACAAGCACAAAACTATCTTCATGAAGACTTTTTAGCTTTCCCTGCAGCTGAAAATGCTGTGAAGATCATCCACAACAAGATCGTTCAGTTGGATCAGCAGTTGGAGCTGCTCACGCAATACCTTGTCAAGGTAGATGATGCGATCGACGAAGCAAGAGCTGAAGGAGACGCGCTTCACGGCGGAGATCGTGACAGCCTGTCTTTCGTGGCAAGCACACCAAAGAACGGGTCACGAGCACGATCAAAATCAATGGAGCAAGTGCGCGTTGAGGTTGCTAGTATGTCCCAGCATCTGATGGCGCCGCTAGTCGGGGCTGAGGATGCTGAATTTCATGACGCACGAGTGGCATCCGGTTTCAACGTAGTGTCACTAAACTGCGAAGATGTCGACATGTCAACGTCATCAGCAGGTCTTTTCGAATTTGAATTGGTTGACCTTAGCGGAACTACTCGCGATTCCGTGCAACCTCTTTTCCATCACTCGCTTCTGACTGGCCGCATCGATTTGGAACCAGAAAGCTTGTGCGACGCAACCTTGAGCACATATTTCGGGATCAGTGTATCGATGAACGAGCTTAGTGTAGAAACTGGGCCGGGAGGATATACAACCTTATTGGGAGTGATCTACGAAAATGTGGGGGAAGTGTCACGAGTCGTCAGAGAAGATACGTGCTCGGCGTGCGCCACTTGTGGAGGGCTTCACGATAGTAGCGAATACTGTAATGCAAAATGGATGAATGTTCTCGTGAAAGTTGCCGATGCTGCACTTCGAGTCTCGAACACTGACTATGCGATTGCCGATCTGCTGTGGGAGCAGCTTGAATTAGCGTTCACTTTGCGGACGGACGATTCCCTGGAGGTCACGACAACGGCACTCTCCTTTACAGCGGTTGACGTGCGGCCTACGCGTTGTGAGGCGGCGTCTGAAATTGTTCGTCCACTTGCTGGAGACGGTCCTCAATTCGAGTACAGTCAAAAAATGAACTGGACAGATGTCATTTACGACTTGAAAGTGAGGAACGCCAATTTTCTCTGTGTCTATCCTGCATTCCACGACATCGTGGCATTTTTCGCGACTCCGCTTCTCACCGAGGGAGAATTTCTTGACTTTGACGTCGGCTTTATGTCGCCGCCGCCTCCAGATTCGCAGAAGGTGGACTTCTTTGTGTCTACGACGGGGTGTTTCTTCTCGTTGTTGGAGGATTTTGAAACGTCTGATGCGCGTGCGTTGGTCATCTTGACTGATGTCGTGCTTGCATACTCTGGGCTCCAGAAATGTGTGGGTATGACTGACATGACCAAGTGCCATCTGGAATTTGATCAACATGGTATCTATTTTTCGCAGCTTCCTGATCTTCAGGTACGCATTCTACTCTATTGGAGGGGGATGTCGGAAGTGGAAGCTAATGATTGTTCTGTGTCTACTGTAGATCGATGCGTCATTCCCACTGTCGAACCCATTTCTTCTAGTTATCGACCACTTTGTTGAAGGCATGACGACTCGGTCACGACGCAATTCGTTCGTGCTAGCTCCAGTGGAAACCCGGTTTTCTGTTCAAGACGCAAATTTATTTATCGATATTGTGAACAATTACCTGCGGTGGATATCACCATCCAGTCGCTTGGCTCCTGCAATGGACTCGCCTATCGGAGAACAAAGCCAATCTAGTGGCACTTCTAGCGCTTATATCGTATCGGTAACGCCACACTATGTTGCTGATAAGCTCCTTGGTGATGTTGGTGAGCTGCGTTTGGTACTCGTGAACAATAGCTTGGGGATTCCTATCGCTGATTTTCATATGCGAGATATCGTGTGCGAGTATATTCAAGGTGAAGACTGCTCGACCACTATGGGTACCACACTGCTTCTCAACTACTTCAACAACAGCATTTATCGATGGGAGCCTCTCGTCGAACCCTTTGTTGTCCAGATGCGCATTCGTCGTGCGCTGGAGAAAAACAGTCTTGTCGAAGTGTTCGCGAACCTGCCGACTACTGTCAACTTTAACATGACACCTGCTATGGCGCCTTTGTTGTCCTCAGAAGCTTTGACTCGAGCAGATTTCGTCACCTCTGGCTCGAAGTCGACGGCGCCATTTTGGGTCGAGAACAAAACAGGTTTAGAGCTTACTTTTAGTTTTCGGCGCGGGACAGGGTCTATTATTCAACAGGTCGTCACCGACAACGGAAAAGTATCCGTTGACTGCCGAGAGCAAGGGGATATGCTGAATTTTGATAGCGCTTCAGCCGATCGCTTTTTGCGAGAAACTGACCGTCAGGCGTTGGCTGTAAATCACACACTCTCTGTCTGGCTGAACGGCAACAAGTGGGTAAGTGTGAACCCTGTGGTAGTAGATATGGTCGGACACGTAGCCGTTCCCCTTCGTGAAACACCAGCTCATGACAGTTTAGACGGCTTCGAGATCGGCGAAGACGAAGAGACCAGTCCGCCAACATTGGTTGCCGAGATCAGTATCCAGGCAGATGGCAGCAAGCTGATAAGTCTACACTCCCAAGTGGTACTGCAAAACCGAACATCAGTACCTTTGATGGTGTGGGCATTTTCGCCCCGTGAAGGCGGTTGCATTCAAGAGTGGGTCATCGACCGTGAACAGATTTGTCATATTCCTCTCCAGCTTGTCCATCCTCTGAGTAAAATTAGCATCAGGCCTTCGCCATACGTACAGTATGCGCCTTTGACAACAAGCTTGGAAGAGTTGGGCGATGAAGTACGGGCTGCAAAGACCGTTAACACGAAACGCTTTGTGCGCGCTGGCAACTGCGTTTGCAGCTTCGAAACGTTTTCGACGACGGACGAACTGCAGCATGCCGCCAGTTCGCTGGAAGTAGTGTCATCTTCTTCTCTTTCGTCGGCAGTTCCGCTGTCTGGTTACATCGCTCGGGATTTGCCTACTTGGAAGTGTATGTACGAGGTAGAAGCGTACTTCTTGATGCGTGCGACCTTTTCACGTACAGAGGAACCTCCACCTGCGGAGCAACCGGTAGGCGATTTGTCAAAAGTTGAGGAGGAAAACGATCAAGTAGAGGACGACTTTCTTCGCGTGTTCGGTGCGCCAGCTCAGTGCCAGCGGATGCACCCCTTGCGAGATGCAGGCTACGACTTGAATGAAGCACGGTCCGCGAGTCAGCGGCGAGGGTTGTACGAAGCGACCAACTCAAGTCTCTATTACCTCTCTGTGTCTCCATTCCTCACGCTTCACAATCGATTGGCGACAGCGATGGCGTATCGTTTACTCAATGGCTCCCTTCAGCTAATTGCAGAAGGAGTGTTAGCGGTAGGCAATGTGCTTCCGTTATTCCAGATTGATTCGTCAGAGTTGCTGTTCGTATCGTTTCGGCTGGAGAACTACAGCTGGAGTGCTCCGAAGCTGATCATCAACCCGAAGACGTCCACCTACTCGGTACCTTACAAAGAGACTACTGATCCCGTGCAGTTGGTTGGCCGCACTTTTGATCGCGATATTGCTGGCGAGCAGGGTAATGTGCCAAACCTCCAACTGCAAGTGAAGCTATCTGGGCGCGACGTCATCGTATTCTGTTCGATATGGATCGTCAACCATACCGATCTCGACCTCGAGTATTGCAATTCGACAAGCTCGTCGTCCAAACGACTTGAGAGTGTACTCAAGTATGTTCATCGGCGTCCAGCATCCGTCGCAAAGCAAAGCGAGAACTTGTTGACGCGCTCTATGTCATTTTGCGGCGAGGGATCCCATGAGAGTCAATTGCCTGCATGTCTGCAAAAGGTAAAGCCTTCTACCATTCCCGTCGCCGTGGTTGTTGTTATTCGTGAAGCAAGGGAGCTGTATAATGCACAGTACTTTGGATCTCAGAGTCCTTACGTGCGGGTATCTTTGTACGCTCTTAAGGACCCAAAAGAAAGGTATTCGGAGAAGCCTGAGATGATTGCGATTTGCTCTGCCGCTACGAAACCAAGCCCTTCTGGTGGCCTCACACCTCAATGGAATGATCGCCTTCACAATACATTGCTACTCCGCTTTCCGCCAGAATTAAGGACATTAGATTTGGCGCGTATCATCATCGAGGTGCGCAATGTACACTACGGGTTGGATACTTGTCTTGGAGTCACGGCTGTAAAAGTTGACAGCATTTTGAAAGACCGCAAGCGGGCTGTAGCTTTCAACTGGTACAAGTTGCTGAAGCGGAAGTCGGGGCGCGAGCAAAAGAAATCGAAGAACGATCTCGCGAGTACACATCGAGGAGACATAAGCGTCTCGTTTTCTGTTGGAATGTCGCATGAACTACCAGCAGACTTAGGCGTGGTGGAGAGCATCGAGGCGGTTACTGACGACCATGGTCCACTGCCCGTTTGTGACGAGGAAACGATGCTACCATATCTCGAGAGGCAAGAGAGCGAAGATTTTCAGCTCGATGATGTATCCGTTTCTTCAGTACCAGAAAAAAAGACGAACAGCAAATACCGGGTCCGCTTCCATCTGCGCGTTCAGCTCGCCCATTCCAGCGACTACAAACGCCGTCTAAGCACGACATAAGACTACATGGAGTTCCTGCATCTATGCGCGGACGCCATGCACACACATTTACAGGAGAACTTGAGGCCGCGCGCCCACAGGAGTTGCTATCGTATGATCCGGTATCGACACGAGCTATAGGAGCTATGATGCTTAATGGGTCGCCGACAAAACTAGCACAGAAGAAGAAATCTCACGGGCTTCAGGTGTACTTACCGCACAATCGCTTTGCTTGTGTCGTAGTTGAGGTCGATTCCAGCTCGATCATGTCGGAAGTCTTCGACTCCGTCTGCGTAAAGTGCGGTTTCCAGGGCGTCTTGAATATCGACGACTTTATTTTCTACGAGCTGGTGCTGCCGCGATTCGTCTCACTTCGAAGTGCAGGTCGACCTGAGGGCGAAAGGTGGTATGGTCAACCAGTTCCAATGACCTCTCGTATCGAACAAAGAGGTCGTCGTTACGGGTTTCACTTATGTCATAGAATCACGATAACAACCATTCGGCTCTACGACGAAGCGAGCACAGCAAGCTCACACCACGCGACGCCGCGCTCGCTTACGACGAGCTCCCGGCGCTCAAACCCTGCTGAACTTCGCCCTATGCCCTGGAAAGACGTTCTTTCGTACAGTGCTGGGGGAAAGCACTGGGACGTCTTGCGAATCAAGTCGCGATCGTCGCCATGGTCGGATGTTATTCGTCTTAACCGCAATGCTATGGGGAATTCTGGAGTCGCACAAGTCATCAGTCTCACCAGTGAGGCTCGTGACCAAGACGAGGAAAGCGATCTTCGAAACGGAAGCCAAGAAGTAGCGTTGTGGAGCTGTTTCGGTAGCGGACGCTTTTCAGAGACGATTATAGCAACTGTAGTTCCTCGTTACATCTTGATCAACAAGACGGAAGAAACGATTAAGTTTCGACAATGCGGGGTTCCCCAGACCATGCGATTGGCTACGAACGAGATCGTGCCATTCCACTGGCCGAGCGCGCTAAAAGGGAAGTTATTGGAAGTGACCTTGCTGCACAAGTACAGCTGGAGCGGAAGTTTTCGAATCAATTCGCTCGGGATCACGTATTTGAAGCTCCGCGACCGAGACGACGCCTCTCGCATCTACATTTTAGTATGTCAGATTGAGCTGGTTGGCGGATCAGTCGCGTTGATATTCCGGGGAGAGTCAAAGCGCTTTCCACCTTACAGGATCGACAACATGACATCGTATAGGATACAGTACAAGCAGGCAAACTGGGGCGGGGACAAGGATTTTGACGAATTGCCACCTCGATCTTCTTGCCCATACTCGTGGGATTCCTTGCACGGCACCGAGGGTAAGTCGTCGTCATCGTCGAACCAGGAGCACACTTTTCCCAGCAACTCGAACTCGTCATCTCGTTCACTTCGCGTGAGATTTATGCGGGTGACATCTTCGACTTCAAAGACTGGCGACATCTCGGACAAGGATGCTGTAGAGGTTCGCGAGTACAATCTGGATGAAATGGCCACTTACAAACGTATCCAGCTTCATCGGTCTTTGCCTTCCGAGATTTTCCTCGAACCGGAGCAACAGGGGTATTTGCTGAAGAAGGATAGCATGCTGAAGTGGAACCGAAAATACTTTCGGCTATATGAGCATATGTTGTACTATTTCGCTAATGAAACTGACCAAGAGTTGCTGGGGGTAGTGGACTTGCGGACAGGGTCAAACTTACCAGGCGTGGGCAGCGTCGCCATTTTTGAAAAGGCAGCAGAAGCTCCGTCGAAAACCGGGTTCGTTTCGCTCAACGGTCTGGTCTCGTCAATTACAGACAGTCTGTTTGGCAAAGACTCGAAGCAGCTCGGAAATGATGGCAATGACGACGACGACGACGATAACAGCGATGATCGGTTGAGAGAGCTGGTACACGTTGCAGTGTCGTTGACTACATCTAGCCTGCTATGTGAAGAGTCGGAGAAATTTGTGAACGTGATGACCGAAAACAGGACAGCTGTAGCATCGCGTAGTTTTTACGTCAACGGCCAAGATCTTGTGGATTTTTTGATGGCGGAACTGAATGCTCAGACAAAAGCACAGGTATTTGCGATGGCACAAGAGATGATGGAGCTTGGCATGCTCAAGCCCGTGCGCACATCAAAAGACAGAGGTGCTCGGCGGCAGGCACCGATGAGAAGCTTCCAGTGCTCCAAAACGGTGTGGTACAGTGTTCATCCGATCAATCCATCAGACGACTCCGATGTGGCTTCCGGACATTGTCCGAGTACAACTACCCTGCGAGATGGTGAGTCGCCTACAGTCTCGACCACTTCTTGTGCAAAACCAGCCCTGCTTGGATCGAACCAATTTTCGATCATCACGCCAACCAAGTGCTACGACTTGAAAGCTAAAACCCCTAAGATCGCTAAAATGTGGGTCAGGAGACTACGGCTTGCAACTCGGGGTGACCAACCTGAAGACGTTGAGGCATTTTCAGAGGATGCAGTGACGCCGCACACGATGCGTTCACATCGGGATCTTGTTCCACAGGTTCAAAATGCAAAAACGTATGTATTTGTTCGCATCCGTGCTGATGGTCCAACAAAGGTGCTCGAGTTATTCGAAGGTGGGGAGGAAGATTTTGATGAGAAAGAGACCAAGTACGAGCTATCAAGTACTACATCGGCGTCCTCTGATTCTCCTTCAGCTAGCGAGGCTTCCACTGGCACTTTTGGGTCACTGACGTCTGGTGTGGCACTTCGTCTGCGTGTGGACGGAATCGGTGTCTCATGTGTCAATGAATATCCGATGGAGCTTGTATATATCTACTTGGGTGGTATCAGCCTTTACTATTCGCGCGTGAATTCGAATATGCGCATGAACGTCACGTTAGACGATCTGCAGATCGATAACCAGAGTGAAGAAGCGACGTTCACAAAACTGCTTTGCCCCCGCTTGAGAAACAACGCCGCAGCCCCACCTACTCCAACTCAGCGAAGGTCAGTTGGTGATATTGGCGTAGATCTTGCGAAGATGGTTGATCGAGAGAGAGGAGAAAATGGCGGCAACGGAGACAATGCAGAACAGGAAAACACGGGCCTGATTTTGAGTGAAAACATCTTCAGTTGCGCTGACTGCAAGTATCGCCAAACGAACGTTGCTGCAATGCACTTCTGCTGTACGTGGTCCAACGAGCAAGGCAATACGGATTATTTCAAGCATTGCTCGTTCTGGTTGTATCCAGTCATTGCTCAATTGGACGAAGAGCTTTTGGTGTCAGCCCGAGCGTTCATGGGGGCGGTACGATGTATATCGCGGTACGATGTTGCTGGAATGTGCTAAATGCTGACATTGTTTTTGTACAACTTGCTTGGGTGTGCAGATGTCGCAGTCGTGGGGACAGAACCGGTCACAAAACCGTGGGGGTGAGATTCGCGCAAAGACGATTCCCATTGAGATAATGCTTGAGTCTCTGACAGAGTACAGGGAAAACACGTGCAGTGAAGAGCTAGATCCGCTGAAAAGTCTGGAATCGTACACCACAATATCGTCCTCGGAGACGCGGAAAGTGTACTTTGCTCTCTTGCATTTACACCCGGTGGATATTGACATCACGTTTCGTAGCGACGTGTTCCAGGCAAGTGCGGCAACTAGCCTGCGTGAAAGGGCTGGTGCGAAGAGGTCTAAAATTGGGGGCAGCTATATCGATGAACGGAAGCGCTCAAGTTCAGCATCGTCTGCATTTGGTGAAAGTAGCTGTGACGACTCGTCATCAATGACTTGGGCGATTCCTAGTCTCACGATGCACGTGCCTGATCTCGATAACGCCCCTGTGCGCCTGAACGCATTGATGATTGAACATGCTTTTGGAACGAGTGGTGACCTTACTCGCCGAGTGTCAAAGTATTATACCCGCCAGTTGTGGAAGCAGCTGCACAAGATTTTGGGTTCATTCGACTTCTTGGGAAACCCTGTCGGATTTCTGGACCACATTGGTACAGGAGTGCGTGACTTTGTCTATGAGCCCCTGGAAGGACTGAAAATTGGCGGCAAGGGTTTTCGAAAAGGGTTGGCGAAAGGCACGGCTAGTCTGATGTCAAACACGGTGGATGGTACGTTTGACGCAGCAAGCAAGATCTCGGGTACTTTTGGACAGGGGTTTGCAAACTTGAGCCTAGACGATCACTACCAACAGAATCGCGCCCGCGCTCGTCGCCACCACGTTCGTGGGTTACGCGAAGGGCTGGTGCAGGGCTCACGAGAACTCAGCCTTGGTGTGTACGAGGGCGTTGCTGGCCTCATGTTAAACCCTATGCGAGGTGCTCACGAGAGCGGCGCTGTAGGCTTCGTACGTGGCACAATTACTGGAATCATTGGTCTTCCCGTCAAACCTGTGGCAGGCATCTTTGATTTTGCCTCGCGTGCGACTCAAGGCGTGCGTAACCGGTCGCTGCAGAACGGACAGAACATGGGACGAGTCCGACGGCCACGTGTATTCGGACGCTACAATGAGCTCAAATGCTACAAGGAAGCTGACACGATTGCCTACGAACTGCTCAAGAAGGTCGGCGGTGATCGGCTGTCTAGTGAGAAGATCGTATTTTACAATGAAATCGTGCAGTCTGTGCGTGCTGCAGATCTCACGCGTGAAGCTCGAGATCGACGGCATAGTGGTAGAGCCGGAATCGGCAAGTCGATGAGCAACACTGACTCAACCCGCGAGCGTACAAATTCACTACGGCGAAGCCTACAAGAGAGCGCTGAACGACGACGCGCTACTGGCGAGCTTCCGAATGCAAGCACAAGCGAGGCTGACGGCCGCAAACTTCGGTATGAGGTTGTGTTTTACCAGAAGAAGATGGGGATGGACCTCGAAACGGACTTCTACGGTGAGAATGTGACGATCAAAGCGATGGATGAGACGGCTCGATCGAAAGTCAAGGTTTGTGGGCTAGTAGCCGCTCGACAAAAAGTGCTGCAGGAAGGAGACTGTCTCATTGGCGTTGGCGGCGTAGACGTACGTAGCATCGGCTTTCACGAGACGCTGGCCTTACTGCGTGGCACAGCTCGACCCATCGCCGTTCAATTCGAGAGTGCAGAGGAGCTGATGCAGGACACGCAGGACATCACCGCGTCTGGTCACTCGGATAGTGGAGGAGTTGAGTTTGGAGCAACAAGTAAGGCGCGATTGCGTCGACTGTCGTTAGCGGACTCGGGAGTAGAGAACGAAGCCGACGAGTCAATTCAGGAGATCAAGGTCCAGCTAACGCACTGGCTGATCGTGACGGAGCAACGCGTGCTCTACATCAACGTGGGGTCGTACATGGATCCCGTGGTCGAATGGATGACGCCTTTGCGATACGTCTACCGTGTCGAACGGCAGAAAAGTGCAGCACGGATACTCCTTCATCTGAGCGTCGGCGTTGACAGTCTACCGATGGGTCCGCGTCTGCGGCCGTCGCTCAAAACAGTCGACGGTCACGCGCGAGACATGAACGTGTTTTTGGATGTCATGTGGCACAGCTTTGGTTCAGCGACCGCCGAAGAGCAGGAACTGTGGCCTTCTGACACAAGTCTCAATGGTTATTTGCTCAAGAAGGGCGGGTTCTCCACAGTGCGCCGCTGGTTCGTCCTGAGCCGCAATTGCCTCTACTACTTTTCCAATCGCAAGCAGCTGCGGGGTATCATTCCTCTTGGTCACGTGCGACTTGAGACGGACGCGGGTGACGCACGCTGTCTGCGCATCAAGAACGCCACTCGCTCGCAGCCGCTGATTACATTGCAGCTAGACAGTGGCCAAGTCGTGGAGCGCGTGCAGAGCGAAGTCGTGCTTGTAGCTGCGTCAACACAGGACCTCGAGATGTGGCAGTCGTCTCTTGCCCACGCAGCTGGCAAAGGCATGCGGCACTCGCGAGGGACGCGATTCTTTGTGCCAACTGCTGCCTCTCGACTCGAAGTTGGCACACGGGAAACGCCGGACTTTGTCGTCCAGCCGCTTGTCGACGCCCTGACGAAGACGGTCGAGGTGTTTAACCCACAGTCGCGCTAGTAGTCGCATGGCACGTCACGCTGACCACGCCAAGCAGAAGGGGCCCGTGTTGTTGATTATTAATTTAGAAAGCGGGACAGTTTCGATCACGAAGGGTCGACGTCCTCGTCTCAGATCGTTGATGATCACTGTTTCGACGCCCGCCCGCCCGTCTGTCGGACTGCGTGTGTCTGTCTCACTTGTAATATACGAAGCCGAAGATACTTTCAGATACTGTTCAACAGACATATCTTACCCGGTTCGTCGTGCCCGCAATATGTGGGAAGAGCGCATGACGACGCGCGTCTTCTGGGCGGCCGTCGTGGCCTTTCGTCTATGGAACGCGCTGTTCGTGCGCACGTTCTTCAACCCGGACGAGTACTGGCAGAGCACAGAGGTGGCGCATCGCCTGGTCTTTGGCTACGGACACCTGTGCGTATCGCTGGTATTTTACGGTCATATACGTCACATTCGTTTTTTTCGCTCTGGTCGTGATGGGCTGTTGTCTGTATTTCTTGTCGCTCTGTATGCCACTGTTGCGCAGTACTTGGGAGTGGAGCGACGATGCTCAGCTGCGTGGGTTTGCGCACCCGGGTATCTTCGCGGGCCTCTACAAGCTGCTGCAGCTTTTGGTGTGCTGCTGGAATAGCTTTCGCTGGCGAAATTTATTGTTACTTGCACTCATCACGTCTCGATCATGACGTATATGCTGCAGGATGTGGACTCGCGATGGGCAGTGGCGTACGGTCCGCGGCTGCTGCAGGTGAGTGTATCCTCTTCTGGCAAAAGTCGAGTGAACGAGCTTGTTGGCTCACTGTGTAGGTAAAACAAACCAGGGACTTTTGGCGGCTGCCAACGACTTTTTCCTGTACAAGCTGGCGTGGGCTTACGTTGGTGCAAAGGCGGCCAAGTGGGCGCTGTTTTGTCAGCTGTTTTCGTGGTTTACCTTCTACGTCATGGTGCGGCCATTCTCGAATTGTGTCGAGACCGTGTGCACGACAGCTGCGCTGGCATTGTGGCCGTGGAAGTTTCTGGTACGTCAGCCAAGAAGTTGGTCCAAATTGCACAATCAGAATGACTGACGCTTGGTGGTGGCAGGAAGATGGAGCCGCGTCGAAGAAATGCAGTGATGCAAACCCAGTGAAGCGCAGCCACCGCGCGCTATCCCTCATGCTCGCAGCGCTAGGTGTGCTGTTTCGTCCGACAAGTGTCGTCATCTGGCTGTATCCTGGAGTTATGCACTTGTTGCAGAGTCGCGATCGAGCGCATCTTGTGTTCGGCGTTGTGTTGCCGATTGCGATTGTCACTTTGTTGGCGATGTTGTGCATCGATCGTCTCGGATATGGCGAGTGGACGTTTGTGCCTTACAATTTCTTCAAGTTTAACGTCCTCGAGGTAAGTGTCGTCGTGGCATTTTGTTTGTTGCATCTTTTTTTGTCTAGGTGATTGTGACCTCATGCTTGTGAACTCTAGGGCAAGGATAAGCTTTATGGCGAGCACCCGTGGAGTTGGTATTTCTTGCAGGGTTATCCAGCCATTGTGGGCACGGCATTGCCTATTGCGCTTGTTGGATACCTCACGATCCCGGTAAGCACATCCGAGCTTTGATGCTCTCAGGATGTTGTCGTTCGCTTTTGCTAAGGCTGTTCTCTTGATGGCGCTACGTTAGTCCTCGAAGAAAGACCTCGGGCGCACGATCATGTCGGCTCTCTTCGTGTACAGTTATGCTTCCCACAAAGGTAAACCGCGCAATTCGTCGGTCTTCCATTCTCGACACTGTGCTAACTCTCGTGTGTGTTGTTCGCAGAGTTCCGATTCGTTCTTCCGCTGCTTCCGCCTGCGTTCGTGTATGCTGGGTATTGCTTGCGCAACCTAGAGCGGAGACTCTATTTTCAGCTTCGTGAAAAAACGCAATGGAACCTTCTGCGACTTGCTGCTGTCGTGGTCATTGTGCCAAATCTTCTCACTGCCTGCTATCTTTCTCGGAGCCACCAGGTGTGTGTGCTGCTGAGTTCGATGCAAGGATGCTGGTTTTGCCTAACTTTATTCGTGTAGCGTGCCCCAGAGGAAGTGATGGATTACCTCGCGGACCGCATTCAACGTAAGCGCTACCGCTTTGCCGCTACGACTGCATTACGCGTGTAGTCACCCGATCTGTGTCCGTATTTGCGTCTGTGTGTCTACGTGTCTATCACAGAGACCCCCGAAGCTACAGTCCACTTTTGGACTCCTTGCCATGCAACGCCTTACTACAGCTATCTGCATCAGAATGCTTCCATGTGGTTTCCGGACTGCTCACCAGCGTAAGAATGGTCTCATGTAACGTGGCCGTGGTAGAAAAACGCGCTCATGGATGTATTCTGGATGCAGCAATCGTGCGCGTACTGAGGGCAGTGAGTCGTCTCAGCTGGAACGCGACCCGAGGCGTTTCGTCACGAAACTTTACCATTTGTCGCCACCGGACAGTCGTGTCAGCGATTCTGCATTCCTGGAGCTTCCAACGTACGTCGTGACGTACTCTACGATTGCTGCCAAAACCGAATCGCTTCTAGCTCACATGCGCTTTGTCGAGGTGCGCTTGTCTTGTTGGTGTTACTGCACTGGCCCGAGTCTAACTCGATTCCTTTCTCATCTGTAGGCAGCCGCATTCCTCCACAGCGATGTGAGTGGCGACGCAGATTCCACCGAAGTCGTGTCGAGCATGCTGGTGTTCAAGCGGATGGCGTAAGATTGAGTGAGCCAAAGTGTTGATGACCGGTCGGCCGGCTATCCGACCTTGCTTGCACCAAGCAGTTTGCATGGCTCGATGTCGGAGTATCTGGAGACGACGCAGCTGTATGAGCACCTGATAGATGAGGAAGTGGGCGGCTCGAAAAACGATTCGCTGCTTGTCATGGAATCGGTTGTTGGCTTTTGTTGATCAGAGTGGGCGAAGCTGCTGCTGAAACTGGCTGACGTCTGCGGCTGTCGATGCGGTGGGTCCGATGGATAGGTGGACGAGCTCGAATTTATTTAGATCGGTTAAACACAAGCTGGGCGGCACGCAGGTGAAATGGACGACTGCCGTTGATGAAGCTTGAGGTCAAAGGATAGCCATCTCGTCTCCTGGTCCAATCCACAGCACCTGGAGCACAACGCAACGCGCCTGTTGACAAACAATGAGGCACGCTCAGCCTACCGGCGTCGTCGATCATCGCCCGTGTCACGGTTGTAGCCCCCTCGGTTGCGATCGCGGTCATCGTAGCGACCACGCCCTCGGTCGTCGCCACGGCCACGGTCATCGCTGCGTCCGCGGTCCCTATCGTCATTGCGACGCGAGAATCCGCCACGGTCTCGGCTACGACTCCGCCGTCCTCGGTCTCGACTGCGGTCCCCGCTATAGCGATCGCGTCCACCGTACTTTGCGCTCGCAAGTCGCGGTCCAAGGTCTACAGCCACGCAGCAGCAGCAGCACGAAAACAACTCAGCATTTGGCCACCCCTTTTACCAGCTCATCCCGTGCATCCTGCGTCCAACGCTTCGTTACGCACACTGTCCTGGAGTCTTTTCGTGGCCACGCTTCCGCTTTGCGTGCTCGACTCGCACCTTGCGGCCCTGTACCTCTTGGCTATTGTTGTTGCCCAACGAAAACAAACAAACAAACAAACAAACAAACAAACAAACGTTCACACACGAATACACACAGACGCCACGTTAGCCCCTGCAGTCCAACTCAAGCTGCCACTCGTTTCCAACGCACTTGTTCAGCTCCTTCACAGCGTCCTCTGCATCCCGCACGTCGTCAAACGTGACAAATCCAAACCCCCTGTACAACAACACAACATCAACACCACCACCACCCCCAACGTCATCAGTACACACGACACTTGTCGCAAGCCAGTCCGGCACACATGCAGCCATCATCCATCCATCTGCCAGCTCTGTCTGCACAAACACCCGTCCACCCATCGCCCGCACGCCCGTACCTCGACTCGCGCGTCACGGGGTCCACAATCACTTCGCACTTGCTCACGCGTCCGTACTTCTCAAACAGCTCCTGCAGCTCGGGCTGCCCCACGCGCGTCGCCAAGTTGGCCACGTACAGATTGTTGCCCGGATTCTCCACCGTCTTGTCGTCCCGGTCCGACGTCGCCGCCGCCGCCGCTACACCCGTCTCTAAAGTCGCCGCCGCCGCCGCTGCGTCCGGCGACCGACTGCGACGCGGCGTCTCGCGGTCCTCAACCGGCCGCGGCTCGACGTCGTCTCGAGGCGGACTCGCCATGTCCGCATCAGACCCTTTCGCTAGCGACGCCGAGCGACTGCTTCGCGCGGGGGACGGCGACTTGTGGGCCGACATGAGCACTTGCGACCGGTGGGCGTCGGCCGCGCGGAATCTTTCGGTGTGCGTGGCCCGCGACGGAACAAACACACAAATGAACAAACAAATACTTACACAGAGGCGGCGGCGGCGGTCGTGGGGACGCGAGTGAATGTGGCGGACGGGTGGCAGCGCTCGCGTGGATGGCAGCGGCTTACAAACATCAGGTGAGGGCTCGCGCGGGGCGACGTGACCCCCCGTCCCGCCGCCACTTCTGGACTACCCGCTCTGACTCGCAGCCGGTCGCCCCGTTTCTGTCGCTGTCGACGCACTGAGCAGCGCAAGTGCGTGCGTGGTGTACACAGTGTGTGGTGCGCTCCATATGCCCACCACACACCATATGCCCACCGCACACCATCCGCCCACCACACACCACCTGCACACCACACACCACACGTACACCACACACCACCTGCACACCACCCACACACCACCTGCACACCACACACCATCTGCACACCACATATTCATTATACGTGACCGGCACTTGCTTGGAGCGACTCGTCGGCACTGGTGGCGAGCGACACGAGTGCGTTGAGAGCCGACGAGGAACAGTATGGCGAGGACCAAAGCGGGTCGGAAGGCCAAAGGCGGCGTGCGGCACGACGACTTCAACGCCGAAGCCGCGAAGGTCGGGGCCGAGACGAAGAAGCGCGCGAAGAACCAGCTGAAGGTCAAGGGGAAGGCCAAGTACGCGGCCAAAGTCGCAGCTCAGCACGAGAAGAAGCAGAAACAGCAGCAGTTGCAGCTGCAGTTGCAGGAGAAGCGACTGGACGAGAGCGAGCGCTCCAGTAGCGGCAGCAACGACCGACAGCCGAGCGGCGCCGACGACGGGTTCATCCAGTTTGGAGCTGCGAAGGACGAGATTCGCAGTGCCGGCGGCGGCGGCGCGACTGGGAACGCTACTGCCCGCGACACGCCGCAAGAGGATACGCACACTGCGTTGACACTGGAAACGCGGCCGTGGATACAAGAGAACAAGCGCTACACGAACAGCAACGTCTACGCGCGGCTGCACGAGGAGATCATGGACTTTGTGCGGTTCGTGAGTCCCACGGAGGAGGAACTGAGCAGTCGCATTGAGCTCATTGAGGAGATGCGGGAGATTGTCCAGACGCTGTGGCCTGGAGCCACTGTCGAGACCTTTGGCTCACACTATACGCAGATGTTTTTGCCGCAGAGTGACATTGACATGGTGCTCTTTGGCGTGCCCGAGGGAACGCAGCCGCTGTTTAAGCTCGCACAGTGTCTAGAGGAAAAAGACTTGGTGAGCTACCTCGAGGTGATTGACAAGGCCCGGATTCCGATCGTCAAGATGGTGCATAAAGCGAGTGACATCCACGTCGACGTGTCGTTCAATGTCGCGGGTGGCTTGGCCACGGGGGATCTCGTGCGACACTTTATGCGCGTGCACCCGTCGTTTCGTCCACTGACGCTCGTGCTGAAGTACTTTATGGCCCAGCGGGGACTGAACGAGACGTACTCAGGCGGCGTGGGGTCTTTCTTGCTGCAGCTGATGGTAGTCAGCTTCTTACAGCACACTGGGCGCGCATTGGGTGCAAAGCACGACGATCCCAGGTTCAACAATTTGGGGCAACTGTTGGTGGGATTCTTCACGTTGTACGGAAGGGACTTCAACTACACTGATCTTGGCATCTCGGTGCGAAACGGCGGCTCATACTTTTACAAAGAAGACCGCTACTGGTGTGATGCCGGCAGACCTTTTCTGATCGCCATGGAAAATCCGAATGAACCGAGCCTGGATGTTGGCAAGAATTCGTACGAAATACGCACCGTTCAGCGTTCTTTCGACTATGCCCGTCAGGTACTACAGAACGAAATCGGCCGTCATGGTCGGTTCAAGTCTCTTTCTGGTAGCATTCTGGGCACGATTATTCAGGCAGACAGTAACTTGATGAAGAGAGAGCCGCCAAGTAGTTTTGGTTTCGATGTTTTGCACCACGATCCCGAAAAGACGGCCGAGATTCGCAAGCAGTACGAGATGCGGCGTGACGAAGAAATGAACAAGAAGCGCGCAGCAGAGTCGGCGACCCAGAGTCGACGGAAGGGCGGCGCGAACGAGCCGCCGTATAAACGTTGGAGAGAACGCTCTAGTCGGGCATACTAGCGCGAATGCATTCGATGTTGGGTATTCATTGAGCAGAGCTTCATCGAAAACTCCTGAATGCTTGTTGTGTAGTGCCTCGACAAATGTACCTCTACCAAGATGGTCCAACGCGCAGTCTGGAAGGGAACTCGGGCACGGCGTTTGCGCCCCTGACGCCCGTGCTGATTGCATGCTCGAACCAGTCGATCGCTCGGCTTTTATGCGTTGACCAGCAACTCACGGGAAGCTGGTCTGAATCGAATAAACTTCACCGAGTTTGGGTTCTTCGGCTTCCACTTCAAGGCGTTCGCCTTCCTGTACTTGCGTTGCTCGTCCGGAGTCATCGCCATCATCTTGACAGCTTCTCGCCTGCACGCCTCACTGCATGCCTTCGACATGCTTCTAGCGCACGTCGGGCACTGCAAAATCAGGCCATGACACATCGTATTGCTGCAGTTCGTGTGACGATTGCACGGCTCGCCACACTGAAAGCACCGACCCAACACGTCGTCCGTCACCTGTTCTGACGCGCTCGAGTCACTCACACACCGCTGGTCGAACACAAAGTTCTTGCCCTTGAACAACGACACTTCCTCCTCCATGCGGCCATCGTCGCTCGTTGAGCCTCTGTTGTCGGCCGTGGACCGGGATCGCATGTGCTGACGCTGCTCTGTCACAAAGCGCATGTAGTTCACGATCCCGCCACGCAGCTTTTGCACGTTTGATATGCCCTTGTACTGCGTCAAGTACGCAGCGACCTTTTCGCATCGAATGCCCCCAGTGCAGTACGCCATGACCTCTGTAGGTTTCTGTCCATCATGCTTCCGTTCATGATCCTCGAGAATCTCATCCAGCGCGTCAAACGTATCTCGGAACGTGTCGACCATGACCCGCGTCGCTCCGTCAAAGCGCCCGATCTCGTGCTCGTAGAAATTGCGCACATCGAGCACCAGCACTTGCGAGTCTCGCTCGTTGTTTCTCGTTTGAAGCTTGCGATGCCACTGTTCAGGCGACAACTCGTGCCCTGCGTCTTGCAGATGCAGAGCTCCACGCTCAAAGCCGTCGTGCAGAATCTGATCCCGCACACGGACGTCGAGCTTCTTGAACGGCTCAGCAGACTTTGCTCGGCACAGAGTCGCATCGCTGCTGCGCTCGTGTTGGTCAAACAAGTGGCCGTGAAAGAGCTTCGCGTGGCGTAGCAAGCGCGGAAACGACTGCTCGAAAGCGCTTACCACTGCTTCCGGCACGACCAGCTGACCGTTGACACCTTCTTCGGCAATGTACACGCGTCCAAGTGCTCCCAGTGCGCCCCAGTGACTCATCAGTTCTTGACGGAGCTGAGGCAGCTCGTCCTTGTGCAGAGGGGTGTAGTTGTACAGACTAATGTATTGGCGACGAGAAGCCGGTTGAGATATCCCAGTGACTTTGTCCGTGCTCCAGGGACGACGCTGAGGAGCTACACAGTGCTGCAGCAGTGTACGTTGAAGACGATGCCGCGGCAAGTGAAGCAGCGCCGGCACTGTGAGACGCGGCACGAGTCGCATCGATCCACGGACGCCAGGCATCCGTCCGAGTCTGCTTCGCGTACAACTGCCTCGGCGAGGAATATTTGCTTTTTTCTATCGCCTTAGAAACAAGCGGAAGCGATGTCTGGCGTCGTTTGAGAGCACACGCTTGCGAAAAGAGCCCACTACTTCTTTGTCAGTCCTACTGTGATTTTTACGCAGGGCGTGCACTCGACCGATGACAGAAAAAGATTAAAACCACTCGTTCGACATGCGGCGTTTTGAACATGTGCGGTTGACATGGAATGGTCCGCTTGCAAGACGGACGTCAAGTCGACGATTTGCCTTCTCACAGACCACACCATACATAGGTCTGCATGACGACATAACGACGGAACAAGTGGACCTGCACCGCCATCGATCAGGTGACTACGAGGCTCATAGTGCACGTAATAGGGTCCTGACGTTCACTACTCCGTCTATGCAGCAACGAACGCAGTATTGGCAGCCGCGAGCGAGTGAATGGACGATGGCTACAAGACGTGCGACACCCACGTACGTCAGTAAGCGATTGCACACGAGTTCACTCGCAAGGGAATTGTCCACGCGCTGTTTCTCGACTTCACGAGCTGTCCGCAAGCACATCGACGCGTCTGAGCTCCAGCAGACTTACGCCTACGATCAAAGCAGTGGTCTCAATGACGACGCGTTGCTCAGCGATCTGCGAGCAGAGACGATGCGCGATCGGCCCAAAGCGGAGCAGCTGATCGACGAGATGCAGGGAAAGTTCCTCTCGTTCCTCGTGCAGACCACAAAGGCTCAACGTGTACTGGAGATCGGCTGCTTTACAGGATACTCTGCACTGTGCCTCGCCAGTGGATTGGCTGCAGACGGAGTGCTCACAACGTGCGACGTGGACGCCGCCTGCATGCAGTTTGCACAGCGCTTCTTCAACAAGAGCCCACGTGCAGCACAGATCACCGCCGTCCATCAAGATGGACTCGAGTTCTTGCACTCGATTACTCGTTCTGCCTGCGCAGACCAGCAGCCGTTTGACGTGATTTTTGTCGACGCCAACAAGCGCAAGTACCGAGCGTACTACGACTTTATCCTCGAGCACCACCTGCTGCATGCCTCAGGCTTGTTGGTCTTTGATAACACGCTGTTTCGCGGTCGCGTGGCTGTGTGCGCGAGTGGAGAAGAGGGACGGAAGGAGCGCATTGCTCGAAGTCTGGCCGACTTCAATAGCCACGTGCTCCGGGATCCACGAACGGCACAGGTCGTTTTGCCGCTATGGGACGGACTTACGTTGATCCGCCTGAGCGGGAAAGGAATGGCAGCAGAATAACAGACGGCAGAGCAGTCGAGTCGTACTCGTGATGGAGCCTGGACATCGAGAGAGACCGACGCGAGGCGTTGCACGCGCGAGGCAGTTCAGTTGCAATGGTCTATCTGGTCAACTCAGCTCGACGCAAGGAGCTACGTTCGTGTGAGTATGGTGGACTCGTGACTCATACAAAGCAAGTGCATGACGAGCTCCAGCACCGGTTTCGTTCGTGGCGACGAGTTTGGCTGGAGAAGTGGCGGCAATGGAGTGTACGACGACGACGACGACGACGACGACAGAGAGGCAGCTGCAGAACCTCATAGTTGTGAGCTGACAACTGTTCTTGCACGGCTGATTCGAGACCGGGCTGTGCTAGTGACAGTGATGCTGTCGATGTGATGTCAACAAGTGAGCGAGAATGGGTGGACGCTAACGTTTGCGTGGAACTTGACCTGCACTCGCTGGTGTTCATATTGTTGTTCCTAAACAGTCGTGCGACGAGAAGCTCAGTTACGTGTTGGCAGTCGTTTATATGGAAAGACATATGGCGCGGGCCACAAATCGTTCGGCAGCTCGGGCGTTGGTTGTAAGTTGTTGTTTTTCCATAGGATCGGCACGTGGTGGTCGTCGCTCTTGAGGGCGCATACTGACGGTATGACGGTCATAAGAAGGCAACAGGATCATAAAGAAGGAGGTGTGACGGCAGCGAGCTAGATTGTGATTGGCGATTTATCTGTCACAAAATAAAAAACAAACAAGTGTGCTTTGTTCTGCAGCGCGCGGGAAAAAAAGGGCGATCGCTCCAATGTGGTTAAGTTATCTACTGCGTCGAGCCCTGATACTGAATAAAACAAAATGCCCGAATCCGTCCACTCGTTTCTTTGACGACCCCCGATGTTTTCCATACAACAGCCCATATACTCGGGCCGTTTCTTTCCCGCCCCGCGCGCGATTAAAACACACGCGTGGGAGCCATGCCTCGCCCGGCAAGTGCCGTATGGGTTCACTTCAGCAAGGAACTGCCGACCAAGCGCGCCACCTGCAACTACTGCGGCCGCAACATGTGCGGCCTCGTCCTCCGCATGCGCACGCACTTGGCGCGCAAGTGCCCGAGCTGTCCCGAGCCCATACAAACGGCCATGCGGGTCGACAGCCGTCGCTTGTCATGTTCGTTTTAGCTGCAGTTCACGATGTCGGCACAGAGTGATGGTCACTAAGTTGCCTTTTTTCCCCAATAGCTCCGTCCGCACCCGTCGCCAAGAGACCACGCGCCTCCAGCGACCATCACTCCCCTATACAGTCACCAAGATACGCCCCAGGTCCAAATCCAGCAGCAGCAGCACCAGCGACGGCAAAGGCCGTGCTCGACGACGCCACGGACCTGGACGGCTGCGTCGCCCGAGCGCTCTTTGAAGCGGGAGCGCCCGTGACGACAGTCGAGCACGCGAGCTTTGTCCAGCTGTGCAAGCGCCTCAAGCCGACGTACACTGTGCCCAGCGCGCTGACCCTCTCGACAGCAGTGCTCGATCGCGAGTACGCACTTGTGCAGGCGCACGTACGCGCGCACGTCGCAGACGCAGTGGCACTTGGACTCGAGTCGTCGTGGCCGGCGGCGCCCACGCACTTGTTCGTGAGCTGCTGGAAACTCGGGACGCCAACTGCAGTGGACGTCCGTGGCGTAGCAAAGGAGAGCAGCACGGGGACACAGCACGGAGCGCTGACGTGCAACGGGCGCGTGGACGTGATGGAGAGCCTCTTGACGCACGCAACGACGACGCGGCTGTCCGTTGTTGTCACGGATACGACCGACAGCATGCTCCAGGCGGCACGGGATCTACAGCAGAAGCATCCGGCCGTCACGTTCTTGCCGAGCTGCTCATACACTATGGCTGCCATGATGACGGAGATCGTGGCGCTACCTGCTGTGGCCAGCACGCTTGCCACGTGCAACGACCTCGCGCGCTTCTTTGCACAGGACAGCCTCGCACGCCATGCGATTGCGCGTGTGTTGGCGTCGAACCAGACCCGCGGCATGACTGCACCATGGGGTGACGATCCATCTGACGCAAGCCCGAGTGCACAACTTGAGTGCCTGTTTGCCACTGAACGCAATCGCTATGCAATGGACATTTTAGTCGCCGATGCAAAGGACCCGCTGTGTAACATGCATGCGCCGGTCAAGGAGCGCGTCACGAGCCTCGGTTTCTGGAAACAAGTGTCGACGCTTACTGGTCTCTTTGAGCCCTTTCTCGACATCTTGAAAACGTTCGAGTCGACTCCTCCACTCCTGTCGACATTCTACCACGAATTTACGCAGCTGTGGACACACGTACTTGTCGATCAGTATGGAAGTCTCGCGACAAAGGTTCGGCGACTGATGTCCGAGTACTGGCAAAAACTGCAGCACCCCGCGATGTATACAGCTTACCTTCTCGATCCGCGGTACCCGCCATCCAGTCTTTCAGGAGAAGCCACGAGTGAGGCGCTTGCATACATCAAGCGAGCAGCCAAAGCGGAGGTCTACAAAACAATCGTGGACGAGTTGACTCGCTTTACAGCGCGGATTGGCCTGTTTGCCGATGATGCTATCTGGGAATCCGCCCAGCAATGCAGTCCACTGCACTGGTGGAAAGGCTTCATCGGGGGATCCTGTCCGAATCTGCAATCGGTAGCGCTGCGCACACTGGGCTATCCTACAACGTCTGGTCTTTTCGGTGCAAAGCGCAGGACGTTTGAGCAGATCCTGACCATGAACGCGAAGCACATGGACGAGGGGCAGGCAATCAAGACAGCAGTCATGCACGCGAACTCGAATCTAGTGTCGCAAGCCGAAGACGGCACACCCGACGCGACTCGCAAAGACAAAAAGGTGCCCTAGAGTTCCTGGCTACCCCATCGTATCGAAACTCAACACAAGGCAATCGTTCGTCGCTAGGTCCTCGTACCATGTCTATTATGTTATTGCTGTCGCAGTGACAGCATCCAGTAAAACGCTCGTATCACGCCCTGCCAAATAAAATCACTCGGGGCCCACACAGTCGCGCCGCAGCGTCAGTGTCCCCTCGCTCAGCTCCTGTAGCCCCAAACTTCGCCCGCAGCCTCACGTGCTGGTGGCTTGAAGTATGCTGCAAACCCACGTCAAGCTCTCTGCTCGAGGAACACGCATGTCACGACCCCACACTGCACGCCCTCGTCTTGGGCATCCAGCAAATCCATGTTTCATAAAGAGAATATCCAAAAATGCAGAGAACATAACGACCGCCGAGCACCCTCGCGCCTTTGCCACCCTCGAAGCTTGAGTCCCATTATGGTCCGGCCCGTCAACGACTCATCTCAATCATCTCGTTCAAGCTCATGCCAGCAATCCACCGGCACACATCAGACACGGCAGTAGCTGTAGATACGCAAGAACTTGCCGCACTAACCACCTCTACAGCAACGCGAGCGACGCCATGCGATTGCACATGGTCTGACGCGTACTTCGTGCAGAGCCAGCCACACAGCACCATCATCCCCCGCAACCTCAACATTGCGTCTACTTGCTCTCATCAGTGCTCGCAGAATCAGCCAAAGTCGCCTTCTCTGATGCAGCAGGCGGGTCGGCCTTCACGACATCCAGAAAGTTACGCCCTCCCCATGCACCAGCTTTCGGCAAAGACTCGTCCACCACCGGGGCAGCGGCAGCTTTCGGCGCAGTATCACCAGTCTTGGCTGCATCTTTGGTGGACTTCGCCGCTTCCTTACCAGCGGTTTTCGAGTTGGACTTCGACACGGGCTGCTTTTTCTTCGAGTCCACGGCCGGGGTAGGCGCTGGGGTGCCATGGATGACAGCTGCAGCGTAGCCAACGATCTTTGCAGGCACTACCGTCGCTTTTGCCGATGCGGGTCCAGCAGAAGTGGGCTTCGGGGAAAGAACAGCGTCCGTCGATGCAGGCGCGCTTTCCACTTTTTGCTTGCGTTGCTCGCGGGCATCCTTGGTGTAATCTTCACCGTACATCATGCTCTCGTAATCGATAGATCCAACGGAGTCACTACGGATCGGCCGTCCTTGACGCATGGCGTCACGAGCCTGCTCAATACTGTACGTACGCTGGTTACGCAGCAGATCAGGATGTGCTTCGGCGGTCAAAGCAGCTGGGTGTGCGGTATAATCCATCTCGCCTTCTGGCAGCATACAATCCTTCTCATCCATGTTCTTCACGATTTCCATGATATCCTCGTGAACATACTTGTGCGTGATCACTTTTGACGCTTCATCCTTTTCCACAGCCGTGGGCAGCGGAGGAAAGTTCGCCGCGTTCATAATGGGTTGGCGCTCGGACGCCGCAGCAGGCGCGGTCTTCTTCTCGTCACTACTATCATTCGCTTGCTGAGGGACCGCCGCCTTCGGACGACTATCCTTGTTCTTTCGAGGACCTCCAGCTCTCCGCTGCTCAAAGCTACCGCTCTTCGCGCGGCCCTCTTTCTGGTGATACGTACCAGGCCCATTAGACCGGCTCTGTCGGCCAAACCCACGACCACCGCCAGCGCCACCGCGCTGAAAGTTGCCAGCATATCGTTCCTTCTCAACAACATTGTTGCTATAGTTCTGACCCGCACGCGGATCTACTGCATTGTACGGGACGCCGTAATTGTCGTAGAAGCCCATGTTCGGCGACGCATAGTAGCCACGGCCACCATACGGCGCACTCATGCCAGGCGCAATCACGTTTTCCGCAGGCTGCGTGGGGTAAAACGACTTGAGCATGTTCTCTGATTTCAGACGAGCCTTTAGTGCGGCGCCTTTGAACGTCTTACTGCGTAAAGCAAGCAGCGTGCTCACTGCTTCTGCTTCCGTATTCATCGTAACGAACCACGTGTCGCCAACGTCGCTTCGCACATTAGCAACCTTACCACACCCGTGGAAAATCGCTTCCACTTCTTCCGGCTTCGTAGACGACGGAATCTCGCGCAAAATAATGGTCGTGCGCTCCGACTTGATGTTCGGTCGGATGGCGTCCTTCGACGAGTTCAGTGAGCAGACGGTCGAGTCCTCGACAGCTTCCACCAGCAGCGCCGTGTCGCTCGTAAGCTGCTTGATCTTGGAGAAGCTAATGATAATATCCACTGGCACGTACCTACACAATCCAACACACCAGCAGCTCCACATTAGTACCCCTCTCCTGCGCATCACACACACGTGCCATACACAGCGCAATACAATCACGCACGTTTGCGAGTTCATGTGGGAGACGAGGTACGCATCGTTGGCCAAATTGGCCCGAGAAAAGTAGAATTCCACCTGGCGCTTGATAGCTTCTTTCAGCTCTGCCCCTTCTGCAGCGAGCAGAAGCACACAACACGTCATTCTCAGGTCAGTCCAGTTCCAGCAATCCACTCAGCACAAGCGCGTCCAGCTTCAAAGAGGGTGACGTCAGATGCAGCAACAGCACGCACCAAGAGCCTGTGTCTGCGGTGCAGCGCTCATTTGCCCGTCTGTCTGATACTGCACGGCGCTGTGCTGTGCTTCGCCCACGTCCGTGAGGTCTATGCAACGCTGCACTCGAGTCGTGATGGTGTCGCTTGCAACGGTGTGGCCGCTGGGTAGAGCAGTGACAGCAGCAGCAGCAGCACCAGCAGCCGCAGGTCAGAGTCAGAATGCGGAATGGATGGCGACCACGGGTTGACGGGTAATGTACGTAGCGCACACGAAATACGCGATTTCAGAGGGCGCGTGCCGCAGCGACCGCTTGTTCCAGATTATTCAGGTAGGTTGACAGCTAGGTATACGTGTATATCATTCCGCTTATCCCGCGTGCGCTACAAAGTCCACGATCGTCGAAGCGAGTGCGAGCTGATCGTCGAGGCATACGCGCTGGAGCGCTGGCACGTGCACGAATAGAACGAGGGGCTGCACATCACCCCACGCACAACAGCCACAACGTTAAGGACCTGTCCTGGCACACACACACACACACACGTAGATACAGCACTACGCACAGACATAGGTACAACGGACTTCGCTGCAGGTATACATACTCACGTTCGCGTGGTTCTTGCTCGCCTGGCGGTTGGCCCACACGAGCGACCGGTAGTAGACGTAGTTGCAGACGTAGCGCCCCGGGTCCGTGGAAAGAGCGACCCGCGGGTCCACGTTCTGCAGCACCGCCAACAGCTCGTCAAGACGCACGGTGGTCGTCAGGTCAGCTGCCTCGCCCTCGTGGATCACTTCGTTCGTGGCGACGTGGCCCCGCTCGTCAGGGATGCGGAAGTCCGCCACGTTGTAGCCCACTTGCTCCAGCAAGAGAGTGCGTGCCGCGGCGCTTACGCCAAAGTGCAGGAAGACAGAGGGGCGGCCACGCTCCTGCCATAGCGACCATCACCATCATAGGAGCAACAGGCAAATGCGTGAGACTCGCCGACCTCGCAGCAGCTTAGGAGTCGGTAGATGCCGCCGTAGCTTTGCTCTGTCAGTGTACCTCTGCTCTGGCGTAAATGTCGGCCAGCGTCTCGTTGCAGCCTGTCACACACGACACAACAAAATGAGGAGCTGTCGCACTGCACGATCGTATCCTCAGACCCGAGTGGTGGCCATACCGGCGCAAGAGACTTCGAGGACGTGCGTCTCAGTCACGCGCGGGTGCTCGCCGAGCCTTTTCGCCAATGCCGTCGTCGGGTTCTCCAGAATGTCGCCAAACTTGCCGAAGCCAGTGACGTATACGTCTCTCGGTCTCGACGACGGCGCTGCCATTGGGGCGGCCGAACTGTCCATAGCGTCGTCCCGAAAATAGGAGAATGCCAATGGACGCGTGGCACTGATTACTCAAGTGAGCAGGACGGACGACAAACGGAGTACTAGTGCTATTGGGTTCCAACGCGACACTGCTTCAAGTGGACTTTGGATCGCATCAGCACCTTCACCAGCTGATCGTCACTTCGACTGCGTGTTGTTTCTTCCAACAGGTGAAGGTGACCGCCTTTGTGTGCACCGGTCACTAACTCGCGTAATGGTCGCCATGCGAGTGCACAAATGTGCAGCATGCGGTGTAGCTGAGTGATGAAGCGTCAACAGGAGGGGCTCGACGACCAAGTGAGCGCTCCTTCTGTCTAAAAATGACCAAGACCAAGAAAAAGGTCGCGGCTTGATCAAACGAGCTTCACTGCAAGTGTTGTCAAAGCATAGGCGCTGTCTCTTGCATCAGCAAGGCAAACGGAACAGGCTTTCTTCTCCGTGCCACAACTAGTTCGTAGGGAGAGTATAACGCGAGTGCAGCAACCTGAACCAATAGCGGTTTCAATGACTTTGTGGTGTCGCGTGGGCTAAAGCCCCAGGGCGAAGACGCATGAGACTTGCCATCAATGAGTCGCAACATCATGACCATGTCGTTACCCGTACGTGCTGTTCAAATCCCCCATTTGTCATGCGCATCCAAAGCTCGATCTTCTTTGCCATGAACCTCGTGCCGTTGCGTTCGCCTACTCAAACACATGCTCGAAAGCGCTTTGTACAAGCGCAGCTGCTCCTGACAGTGTAACACCGGTCATGTTGAGACTTACAAGGTGCAACAGTGGCTGCCAACGCGACGCTGTCCCCACTGCAGACGAGAGCTCCAGTCAGTTGCTCAGCTACCAGCGATTGTTGCATTCCTCCAGCAGCGTCGAGCACCTTCAATCGTCGGCTCGTCATGGCGTAATCGTCTTGCGCAACTTGGCAACCACTGGCGCAATGTAGCCCGAGGCACCCAGCGTCACGGGGTACAGTGCCGAGCTCAGCACGACCGCAGCCGCATACCCGCCAAGCGTCGAGCCCACTTCTTGCACGCCAAGGGAGGCGAGAATCGGCATCAGATCCACTCCCTGCTTGATCAGCGTGTAGAAGGCGCAGACGACGCCCACGCCAGCGAGACGCGAGCCCATCATGTACGCCGCGCCGTAGTTGTCAATCACGTCCTTTGCCGTTGCCATCGCTTTGGCCATGATGCCAGAGTCGGAGAAAGCTGACGACGCCGAGGCATTGGCTCGCCTGCAGCAAGACGTTACCGACACGTGGACAGACACAGTGCACACACGGTCAGCTATTGTCCATCGCACTGATCCCTCTGCTCGACAAACAAACGACAACTTGACACAAGTCCTACTGCTACTCACGCTGGGAGAGCTCCTGCGAGGTCCGAGAGCCGCACGCGCGAAAGAGCGGGACAGATCTTGGCAACGCCCGTGGCGACGACCAGGTCCAGCGGCAACCGGAAGCGGCGGAACGGGCGACTGGCGGCGAACGCCAGTGCGAACTCGGGGGAAAAGTCGATGCCCACGACAGAGATCACGCCGTACATGGCGCCAATGCTGCAAATGTCGGACGCAAAGAGCACGGCAATGGTCTCGCCCGGGTACGTCTGGATCGAGGCATTGAGTTTGGCCACCACACGGTCCACGATCGCGACCGTGGGCTGCTCGGGCGGTGTTGGCTTGTAAGGGCGATCCTCTGATCCAGAGCTGCCGACACCAGAACGGACAGCGCCAACGGTGTTGCGGCTACTACTACTACTACTACTACTGCTGCTGCTGCTGCTGTTGCTGCTACTTCTACTCCCGATCGCACGGAAGACGGTGCGCTGTACTCGTCTGGTGCGACTTGAAGACACACAGCTGTGGACGCCGCAGCGCACGCGCAGCGCCAGCAGAGAAGTCGCGGCCATGGCACGAAACGCACGATGGGGTTTTGTGGTACACTGTACCACGTCAGACTGCCGCACCGCTTCGTTGCGCACGCAGTCCGAGTGCATGTCGGACGACCGCAGCGCGCGCGCCGTCCTAGCGACGAGGAGCAACGGCAGCAGAGGTGCGCCCACTGTGTCCCTCGCGGACGCCGAGTCGCGCCGCGAGCTGCTGCCTTCCGGCGGTCGCAGTTGCCTGCCACGAAGCCATACGACTCCAGAGAGCAGCCGCGCGCATCACGTCGCAAGCACCGCATCGCTGCTCAGCGACGTGGTGGCCCAGTACCAGGTGACGAAAGTGTCGTGGCGGGGCAAGTACGAGCGCATCTTGGCGATCGCGCCCACGTGTTTGTTCACGATCGACCCGAAGGATTGCGAAGTGACCAACACGTGGCCGCTCACGGCGCTGCTGAACGTCCGTCTCGACGCTTCGGACGCTCAGAGCTTTGCGCTGGTCCTGCGAGGGACGAAGAAAGACGAGCAACTGAAGCTGCGCTCTCGCTTTCGATCGAAGCTGCTGTCGGACCTCTACCAAGTCAAGGGACAGTACCAGCCGCTCAATGTGCGGCCTGACGCGGGCTTTGAGTGCACCAAGTGGTTGAGGTATGGCGACACGCTGAGCTGCGTGCTGAATGTGGAAGCGAGTGGCGTCACTGTCTTGCAGGCCGACGTCGTGCGCTCGAAGTACTTGTACACGGAGATGGAGCACTTGACACTGTTGACAGACCCGCAAGACGGGCTTGCTATTGGGTACACGGGACGTAGTAGGTTGTTTTTTAGCTCACAGAGACGACAGTTGTGTCATTGCATCCAGACGGCAGCGCAGGCGATCGGCTGTGAACTCCAGACGAAAGCGGATACGACAGCAGAGCAGATCCAGGAAGAACGAGCGAACTATGGTTTGAATCACGGTCGACCGTTTGTGCAGTATCCTGTGCAAAAACGAACACCAAAGTACAGCAATTTGCGTGACCGCATTCTGTCGCTGCACGAGAAGGTGCTTCTCGAGCTGGATCAGGACGGACAGGTTATTGCATGCTACAACTACTCGGACATGTACGTTCTCGTGCGAGACGCAACGAGTGCAGAGCAATTTGAGATCCACTTTTGCAACGACGAGGTGCGGGTTTACGTGGCAAAAGACCGTGATGACGTCTTGAGTGCGTTCTACGATATATGTGTGAGTTGCGAGGAAAGCCCCGAGTTGGTCATTACTAGCATGGGAAACCAGCGTGGGCTGCGTCTTTTGCCCGCTTCTGCCGTAGAAGACACAACCGAGACGTTGTCATTTCTCAATGACTCTTCGATTGGAAGCTGGTATCTTCAACGCTTTGGGTCAGTGAAGAAGCTCGGCAATTCGCTGAAAGTTGGCGATAGGGGGTACGTGTCTCCTAGTTGCGTCATTTTTCTGGCTTGTATCGTTTAATGGTTTGTTGATGTGCAGTTTTGTTGACATTGTAGCTGAGTTCAATGCAAACGTTGCACCAAGCGGTATTCCGTACAACACAAAGAACACGGTCATCAGTGATGCTTTGCGGCCAATGTGTGCTCAACTCTACAGCGTCGCGAAGACGAAGCCCGTTCCGGAACGCCCTGCTATAGTCCTACTACAGGCATTGTTCCGCATCGCGTCGTCTTTCTGTGGCTTTCGTGAAGTTGGACGAGCTGACCGGATGTCGGAGACGATCACGAATTTGTTGAGCAGTGGCGAAGAGTTCGTTGTATTTTGGACAACGCTTCTGTTGAGACGAATGATGGTACACGATGTTCCGACGTCGACTAGTGAGTTATCCCGAGCTATTGTTTCGTCGGGCTAGTTTACTGAACGGGTGTTTCGTTTATTTGTCTTCAGACCTAGATCCGACCTCGCTGAGAGAGTGCGAGGAGATTGAAGCGCATAACAGGAAGGTGTTTCTCGCGAACTCGTACCTGACGCAGTCCCTCATCGCACGTCTAGAGTATATCAACAGGGATTCGAGCGGCGAGAGCACAGTCCTCTGGTCGAAACCTGGCCCTCTTGCAATGATGGGGTTGCTGCAGACTCTTGAGGCCTGTCTTTGCTCACGAGCTGGTACAACTGGCTCAGTCGAGTTCACCACGTTGGTGGAGGGAGTAGCAAAATGTTACAACACGCTGTTGAAGGAGCTTCGTCAGTCTCGCTATGGAACCATTATCGAGGCGTGTACGTACCTGCTGACGTTTTTGATAGCACTTGCGCGTTCTCGACTCATGGTACGCAACATTTCTGTTTTTTTGTTGTTATTGATTCTAGGTACTCTGTTGCTGAAGACAACGCTCGAAGAATGTGGCCCTGACGTCTCTTCGAGCATTCGAAACACAGCGCTGACAGAGGGCCTCGTGCTGGAGCATTTTTACCAGGGGCTGTTCGACCAGTCGTTTGACCAGAGGTGTGTGAGTCGTCATATGGTTTCTTTGTTAATGAGCCATCACGATGCATCGAAGCAACTCTTGTCGCGGATGATCCCTTCGGGTCTTTTCCGGTTGTTAAAGGAAGCTCCTGATACACTGGTTTATTCAGAAGACCACGATCGACTCGAATGCGAAGTCATGGAAGCAGAACGGCAGGAACATGTACTGGCGTACAATCCTGATGGCCGCGTGTCTCCTACGGGCAGACCAACGTCTCAGATCGAACCGATGGATAGGCTCTATGTTGGTACAGCGAGCAGTTGTGCAGAATCAGACGCCCAGCGAGAGGAGATTTCGCAAACAAGCTCGTCCGTTGAAGATGTGGACAATGAATGTCAAGATGTCCGTTGTTCACCCGCGTCAAATCTACCAGTACCGGGGGTCCGATCATCGCCACCGGTGAAGCAACCAGTACCGGCAGAGACTGGTGTTAGCGAACCAAACTTTTACGAAAGGCCGATGGATTCTGGGCTGTCGAAGGCTCGGACGTTGCGCAGACTGAAAACTTCGGTGGATAACACAAGCTCGCGATCTGTGATGAATACAAGGGACGAGTCCACATCACGTAGCTCCGGTTTTCACGACTCCGCACTTCGGTCGCGAAAGAGAGATGTCGCATTGAGCTTTCTGGACGCTTTGAGTGGCAAACGAGTGCCGTCTTTCGATGGGCACAAACCTGTAAAGGAGAAGCATAGCGCCGTGTCGCGCTCTGCTCCTATTCTGGACAATTTTCGTCTCCTTTTCCACATGATGAGCCTCAATCACGAGACCGTTGATATGATCTGGAATCAGAAAACTCGAGAAGAGCTTCGGGGAGCTCTTTACACTGCAATCCAAAGCTTTTCTAAATTCCGGCGCACTGACGAGGGCGTAACGGCTCGATGGAATTACGAAGATTTCAGCGTGTCGTACCCAAGCTTAGCTCGTGAAGTTGAGGTTGCTGGATGCTACGTCAGAATCTTGGCGCACCTGAATAAAAACATGTCGCTTCATGAGGCAGCCACGGAGGAAGACAAGTTTATCGCGTTGACTCCAGAACAGGTCTCTGTAAAGGAACCGCCGGTAGTCTTGGTTGCGCTTTATGTGCGTATGCTACGAGAAAGAATTCTTGCTGAGTACCGGGGCGATTTGGATACGTCAATACTTTGCATTAAGAGTATGGGAGTCGTGGCTGCTGCTTATGCTGAGGATGCGAATGCCATGGACTTTGAGGAAGTTGAGCATTTGTGGACGTTGATGAGTGAGACTGTACATGCTTCGGTGCTGGAGAACACCCTCCACACGATGCGAGCATTGTGCCAGCATCCTGGCAACGCGCGACGGGTGTTACGAAACGATCGCAACTTAGAGATGACGTTTCAGCTTCTCCACTTAGTACACGCAACCGGTCGTGGTATCGGCGACATCACCGAGCCCAGGAGACTTTGGACACTCGAAACGGATGAAGGTGAAGTGCTCGGACCTTATAGTGTGAACGAGCTCAAGCAGAAACTAGACGGAGGTCACGATCTGAATTCATTTTGGGTGAAACGTCGAGACGAACCGTCTTGCGAATCAATGACCACCAGGGCAAGAGTTATGGATATTGCTCAGTTGCGCTGGGAGGTGGGGATCTCCGGGGAACTACATCCGTTGCAGATGGCACACGATGCGATCAGCATCTTACTTTCCGTAGCGCGCTGTAACTCATTGCTTGGCGACGACAGTCCTCACTGCAGTGACTCAACGTCGCCTCTTTTTCCTCGGCCTCTGGGGCAGACGATGCTGTGGAAGTTCATCAGGAAACTCGTCCCTGTTTTTATTCGCAGCAATCACCCAAAACTTTGGGAGAAAGCGGCTACACTTCTCGAGTTGTTATATTCGAATCGCCGATTGATTGTTGAGGCCGAAGAAGGCGCTACAAATCAAGGATCGTTATTTTCATGGGGTTTGTTCTATTTGGCATTCACGGTGGAGGCGTCTGATTTTGGCGCAATGGCTGGCCTGTTGAAAGCTTCTCATCGCCGTCAGAGTGGGTTTGATGGAACCAGTGCATTGAACGGCATCTTACCTCAGGGCATGATCAGTTTGCTAGAAAATTCTACCTCGTCTGAGTTTACGAAAGTGTTTTATGCGGGAGAACAATCTCCTCACGTCATTTGGACTGTTGCTATGCGAAAGCACTTGCGAACAGTTTGTCGAACTCACTTGCAAGACTATGCCGATATTTTGGAAGAAGACGCGTCCCGAGAGTGGCGCTTTTGCGCCATGGCACCGGTTGTGTATCAGGAGCTCTCCAACGAATTGCTGTGCGGTGGGCTGTACTTGGGTCAATTTTGTGAGATGGAGACGTATGCTGTGTCAGACCCTATGGATTTTACTGAAAAGCTGATGACGGAGTGGAGAGCCGAAGCAAGTAGAAGAGAAGTTTCCGTTGCTTGTGCTCACGCAAAGCAAACTCTGGGTATTGCAGACGTCAAATATTGTGACGCCACTCTTCGTGCCGGCTATAAAAAGAAGGCTAGAGCCTTGAAAGAGTCGGATGGTGATTATGCCGAGAGGTACATACGAGAAGTGCTTAAGCTGTTGTATTGAGTCACGGGCTAACAGTTGTGTTCATGATAGGCTTGATCAGCTCCGGATTGCGTACCGAGTGCTTACATGTCCACGGCCGACGTTACTGTCTGCTGGACACGATCCTGAAAATCTACAGCTGCTGCTGCATTCGTTAGTCATTATGTGCAAGCGCTATCCAGAGTGTCTTGTCGACTACGAGTTCGACGCGTACGACCTCTTGCTTCCTCTCCTGGCTTCTCATTGTTCTGCAGATGAAGTCCCCCTAGTCGGCACAACTGAGAGTCAGAGGCTGAAGATCTCAGTATGTGCAGCGGAGCTTGTCTACAGCACATGCGCAATATCAGCTACGAACTGGGAGTTGCTCTTAGAGCACCCAGAATTGAGCACTCTAGAGAGAGTGGTGAATTTCTGCGTTGATTCAATTGTTGATTGCGAAACTGCGATGAACCCTGAGTTGTTGATGGTATGTCTGCTTGTACACCAAACTATAACTGGTCTATTGGCCTTTCCTCGGGGTCGAGGCTGGATCGCGGAGTCGTCAACATTGCTGGTGGATATGGTCCGCGTGCTTTGGCTATGGAATCATACCGGGCAGACATCATTTTTGCTAGCGAAGCTCACACAGCAGATCCTCGAAGGTATGAGATGGTTACACGTTACGATTGTGCTGCATGCCATTTGTAGTCAGGGGCAATAACGTTATATAATGTTTTGATATGTAGGCGTTTCAAGAATGACGGAATTGGCGAAAAATCAGACACGTCTGGTTCAATATGGGATACTGTGGCAACTCTTCAAGCTTTTTTCGACGTATGATGGGGAGCTCGGTGATGCAAGTGTCCATGCTCGACCGCAGACAAGCTTTGATTGCGAGGAAGAAGGGATTGCGACCGAGGCGTCACAAAATCAGAATGTGCTAGCCGTCATGTCAGTTCGCGCTCTGTGCAGACTTGGGGGTCTGTTTGCCGAGGACAAGGGGCTTCAAACGCCGTTCAACCCTCTTGTCAAGCACACTGCAGACGCGCTACTGACTCCAAATTTGTCGCAGCTATTGCTACTTAGCAGCCACCACGAGTTCTTGAAGATCTACCACGGAGAATGTGAGTCTTACACGCTGTTTTGGAATCGTGACATGCGTCAAGAACAAATGAACTTCATATCGCCAAGGGCCAGTCTCGAGCCGCATGTTCGTACAAACGAAAGTTGCATCGAGGCCATTCGTTTCCGATTTATGTATTTGGCGGACTTACTGTATGTCGGTGGCCTGTACGTGAAAATTCTCATTGGAAGTTTGCAAGTCATTGAGAAAAGTTCGGTGCCAGTGCTGCTAGATGATTTGGGACTTACGGCGACATTTTTCGAAGAATTGTTTGCTTTTATTGGTACTGGAGAGCTCACCTACCCGCAACTTGTAAATGAGGAAGGGATCGTACAAAACCTTGCGCCGTATGCTGGTTGGAGTATCGATAAAGAGCAGCGAAGGACAGCGGATCGTGTCACCGCTCTGAACTGTTTGTCAGTCACAGCTTCCGTGGCCCCGAGGCTAGTGGAGAAAAGTTTGATGGCGAACAACACTGCAATGAAGATGATGATGCGCCTACTATTTCCACCAGACAGTGAAGTCCACCGAAGCGAAGACGCTTCGAGAGGTCTCGTACCGACCCCGCTGCTGTATGTCCCATGTCGGCTGCACTGTATTGCGACATTACAGATGTTATCGATCCTGCCAGATTTTGGAACGGTCTCTGTAGAATCTGGCATATGTCACATTCTCATCGAATTGGTGCATACTTGTCACGACGTCGGGCCAGAGGCACTCACGATCATCCGCAATCTCTGCGCCAATGGGGCAGGAGCGAAGTGTGCGAGAGACATCCTGCAATCGGGCATTTATTTGGAGTTCATTGGCTGGCTGTTGGCCGTGAGGGAAACCATCATCGATGAAGACTTTGATGCTGCGGAGCGATTGCGCATCCCGTCAGCATTGATTTTGTCAGAAATGGTCAAGGATGGAGCGCCACTGAACATTGAATCGAGACGCACACTCTGCCGCTTCTTTCCTCCTGCACTCGTTCGAGTGATAGCTTCAAACCCGGAGATGATCGTAGAATATATTCTGGTACGTGGTCTCAAGCTGACGCGGTTGTGTGCTTCGTGTGCTCAACTCCGTTTGTGCTTTTGTCATGGTGCAGGCTGACCATAGGACACCAGAGCTTGTTTGGAACGTTGATTTCCGCAACCACCAAAGGAACAGTGTGGCTGGGTTCCTTGATATCTACTTCTCATCAATTTCTACCACCCAAACGAGGGACGATCAGTTCGTGTCAGTGGTCGACTCGTTTGAGATCGATTATAGCTCTGTTTACCCGGCTCTTATTGCTGGCAACGTGTATCTCAAGTTGTTCATGGAAGACCCAACATTCAGCTTGCACGATCCTCTGTACGTGCTCAACGCTTACTGTAATCGCGATGTGAGGTTGTTGAGATGACGCTGACACTGTTCTACGATACCTAGGTACTTCATGACGTGCTTGTGGTCCGAATTTGAGGCTCTGTTTCGACAACTTGCCCATGTGACACCCGCCCTACGCGCGACGATGACGCGCGCGGATGACGGGATGGTACAGCGCGATATAGACGCAATCGATCTAGTCGGGTCGTCTCTAGTTTGTCTACTCCAGGTAGTGTATAGTCGCAGCGTTGACGATTGTGTACAGAAGTCGAGGTACTCACCCTACTGTGTGCTACATAGGCTGACACGTCGATGCTGGAAAATGTGGTGGAGCTACAAGTTTTTGCGAAGTGCTGCAACTATCTGAACGACGCAGTCCGTTCTCAAGCTTGTGAGCCATGCGTTGTGAACGTTGTGCGTATCATACGAGTTTGTAGTATGTCTCGCGCTTGCGTTGCGTCGGCACAACCAACGTGCTCCACAGCGTTGTCGTGTCTGATGGCCATCGCTAATCCCGCTCGAGGAGGTCCACTGCACTATGAGAGTGCTTTCGTCCTCGAGATTATGCGACAGATAATTATGAATTACCCGGAGCACGGTAACCGAGATGCGGATACAAGTATCGTGCATCTCGCGAGTCGGCTGGACTTGTTTGAGTTTCTGTGCAATATTCTGGACAGCCCTGGTGGAATTGGCAAAGTTAAGGAGCCGCGCATCGTGCGCGCTGAAGCAATTGAGATACTGAATATGCTAGAAAAGGTGTGGGCTAGCGTAGCAGGCCACGACTGAAACGACATGTGGCTAAATCTCTACTGTGCTTGCTTTTTTGTCAGGACCGTGTCCAAGGGAGCACCGCTCACCAAATACTGAAAAAGCACAAGAAGTGGCAGAAAAGTTACCGACACGAAGCTACCGACGTGGTAATGTCCATGTCCACCGAAGACCCGTTCCTGAAATCCTTGTACCCCGAGGCAGACCGCATGATGCGCGAGTTTGCGCGCATGCACCCACGGCAAAGGTAATGTGCATCGAAGGATTGCAATTGACTCGGGACGTGAAGCCTTACATTTTGCCATGATGTGCTTGTATCATCGTTCGTGTCCTTGGGCAGTCCGAATGTGGAAGATTCTTGATCAAGACGGACATACAAAGTCGCGGCGTCTACACGCTTCGCTGACCACTTCTAGGTTTATCGCGTTCGTGCGATTGAGGCGGCGGCAATGAGCAGATATCAGCAGTGACCATGTAGCGCAAGCGTCGCTAGTCGGTTCATGTGCTGCAAAGGAAAGGGTGGTTGTGTATGCATCGATCCTAGCGACGGGGCGGCTACTGGTTGTCATTGCGGGTCTTGCAACTGGACCAACCGAGCCGTCGGTTGTTGCCTGGTTGGCGACAATATGCGGTGTGCATATCCATCCGTTCGAAGCAATCGGTCAGTGCGTGTACACGGGTTGCACAATGTCTGCTGTCATTGTGTCTTATAGGACCATGTCCGTAGCATAAAGTTGCAAGCCTAGTTGCTAGCCTTGCAACTTCCGTGCATATGTCGACGACCGTAAGCTGGTTGTCAATACGGTTCATGTTTTACCGAGACCGTCATGGACTACATACAATATAGCCACGCCACGCACGCGGACGGCAAGGAACTTTGCTTCGGCGGATTGTGCTTGCTTATGGATCCGAGTCATTGTTGCTATCCTAGACAAATCGTCTCTGATGTTCCAGATACTCTTGTGAGCTGAGTATGATCGCAAGCAATTGGTGCACAGATTGAGTAGTAAACTAGGAAGATAGTTGCTAGGTGCCGTGCGATTACGTACTTGTCGAATCGCGAAACTTGTTGCCGCGACTACTTCGTCGTCTTTCCTGATGGAAAACAAACGTCGTAATCATCTCTGAGACTGCACTCCAGAAGGGCACATTCTCTGTATTTCCAGCGGCAAACCCAAACGACTCTGACGTCATCCCGGACACCCTGTGCTCCAGAATCAGATCATCATCATTTTCGCTCGTAGGGGTATCCAAGAAAGTCTGGATCGGCGTCGTCAAGCTTGTCGTCGCATTTAGCAAACGATACGAAAGCGAAGTGCGATCTCAATCAGGTTGCGCGTGCCCATATTCCCGTAGGGAGCGAGGTAAAAAAGTAAAGAGAAAAAGTACCGGGTGCATACGAAGAGAATTTGGCGTAACGCAACGTCGCTTTGTCAGACAAGTGCACAGACTGAGCATCTCATGTGCGGATATCGTCGCAATGGCTATAACAAGGGATCTAAGGCACCCTAAAGTAGTCGAAGGCCGGGAGCAACCTCTGTTTCGATGTAAAGTAGACGTTGGCAGTTGAACATTGTCGATACGTACTGACCTTTTTGCGTCACAAAGGGCACGGGAAGCTGTAAGTATGGCCGGCCTTATTTATAAACAGCCGCCGCCTGATTACTACTCGAAGAGTCACTACTTGACGAGCCAATACTTCCGTGTCAATAATTGAAGAGTGTAAACTCCCGAGTTTAAGCTCAAAAAGTCAAGACTCGACTAGTATTGAAAATGCGCTGTCCATTTTTATTAACATATGCATATGAAAAGTGGGAAGAGGACGGAGAGCCGAACAATGGCCTCCAGAACAAGAATGAGATACCAATCGTCTACTTGAGTGCAAAAAGTGCATACAGGTACACTGTACGGTTTTTAGAGCTTTCAACTAACGCACAACGGTCCAGTCAACGCGTCTGATATCGATTTGCATTACTTCTAGCCCTCAAGACATCTGAACACTAAATAAAGATCCATTGTAACGGGGCACACCCTTGCGTAACTTAACGCAAGGGTTTTGAGTGCCCCGACAGACGTACACGTGGCAAGCGAGGAAGCGTAGGTAGGGTAAAAGTAGAACTGTTACATTAATAAATTAAGTCTTTAAACTACTGTCTCTTCGTTTGACTTAATTCAATTATACTAATATAACTGCATGTATGGTGACGTCTCGTCACCACTCATTGCGCGCGTCTTGCGGCGATTGGTGGGTTGATATCATCACGATATCAACCAATGAACAGACCCTTTGGTCGACCCTTCAATATCACCACTTTGGTGATATTGTTTTAAAGAATATCCATCTTTATATTCTTTATTGTCACTTTCCTTAAAGTGACAATTTCATGTAACGGGCTGCCCCGTTACATCACCCCCCTTAACTGATAGTCACCGTGTGACTATCGAAAACATGGAGGCCACCCGTTGGCCACCATTGGGACTGGGAGCACTTGTTGGGTCCGTTCCATTCACTTTCCGCTTGACCTCGCATAGTTAACATGTCTGTGCGAGGTGACTCAAGACCCACACAGCCTGGTGCTGTGCAAGCCTCTGCGGCAGACGCTTCGTCGTCTGCCGCCCCTTCTTCGCCTGCAGCAACAGGTGCTGCAGGTGCACGCGGTATCACACCGCGTGCGCACGATGACCCTGATGTAGAGGTCATCTACTCTGGCGAGTCAGACGTGTCTGACTCGGGCAATGCTCCAGAGGCGTCTCGCTCACCGGCGACGCCTCAGTATTCGCCAAGACCACTGCCGAACGAACGGACTCGTGATTTGCATCACAGTCTGTTTGGCAGTGATGATGATGATGATCAGGGTGGTGAGTTTTATTCTTCACCACCGCCGGCTCGTGCGTCTTCGCACGAGCGTGATGACGATGGCGCGAGCCGTCGTAAATTTGGGAGCCGTGGTACCGACAAGGGTACCACTGTGAAGCGTGATGAGTTGAAGCCGTGGCGTTTGCCCGAACGACTCATCAATAGCCTGTCTCACGAGACAAGCCAACACCATCGAATACCCTTATTCGATGCAACTGAGCTTCACGGCTTGAGTTCCAGCGCGAAGGACTTTCGCGCTGAGGAAGACTTTTATCTCAATGTTTTTCTTAGACATCGATGGTCGAACAGCAACCAAAAGCGTGACAAAACATCGCTTTTGGCTGCGTGGAACGCGTTCGTCCAAAACGTAAAGAATTTTGGACGAGAAGGGTGGCTCAAGAAACTTGAGGCAACACGCCTCAGGTTCGAACGGCGAACGCCAACCGGTGCTAGGTACCGGTTGCATTGTTTATCGAGTGAGGCAGGCATTCCTTGCCTCACATGGGGAGACCCTTGTGCGAGTTGTGTTGACAACTCGCAGCGTGCACATAGGGATGTGTACTCCCTAAATTCGCCCTGGGGAAGGGCACATCTCTCGGAGGAGATGCGTGACGCGATTGCAAACTTGCAATCCGTCTACAAGCGCCTAGGGCGCGTGTTTACCGATGGGCCACAGGACTCATCGGATGGGTCTCGTCATACTGGCGGACGAGACCTTCAACATCCATCAACAGCTGAGAGCGGGGCTCCCAGCTGTTCCAAGAGGGTGGATACCCCCGCCACTGGACGAGGTAGCTCGTCCTTGATCCTGAATCGTCACGGTGATTCAAGATACGCTCCACTAGAAAGCGTTGTTCACCGTGAGCATCCACCAAAGGATGTGGTGGAGGAGGAAAGACCTCCTCCAGATGATTCGGCTCACCATCTCGACCCTTACGAAATGGATCGCGCAATCGATGAATTGCGCGATGACTTGAAGCACGAGCGCGATCGGCGCTACGCTTTGACCAATACCGTGCGGAAGAACCGCAAGGGTCACGAGGCTGATCGGGCGAGGGATCGCGCCGATTATGCCACGGCGCAGCTTCAGGTCGAGCGGGATGTCCGCTCCCTATTCGGCGAGCTGGCGACAGCTCGCGGGGAGATATCTCGGTTGAATACCGAGGTATCATATCTGCGCGACCAGACGGATCGTCTGGAGCGCGAACGCAAGAACTTGATGGATGTTCTTGAACGTGGGGGCTATCTTTATCGGAAGAAGAAGGCTCGTACTGACAGTACGACCTGAGCCTCCCCACGTAAAACGTAGGATGCGTGCGCATCCTACGTGGCAATTCGAGTGTGTATGCATTGCCCTTGCGATGCAACACTCGAAATGGCCCAATGTATTTCGGCAGTAGTTTGCTACTGCCGACACTAGTGACTGCATGTCCAGGTAGGTTTACCGTTGACAGTAGTACTAGGTCGTTAACCTTAAATGAAAGAACATTTGCTCTTCCATTCTTGTCTGCGTTCCGTTTCTGACGGTCCACCGCATTTGCGATGGAGTCCTGAACGAAACGGACTACCGCTTCTCGAGTCAGCAGGAAGTTCTCTGCTGACTCTTTGTTTTGTCTGGCAGTGTGTTTCGTGCGCACTGCTAAGAGATTGCTCTCTTCTTCAGCGAGGTTGTCTTCTTCCTCGCTGACATAATCGTTGGCGATGCTGAATATACCAGCATCGTCATCATCATCCGAATCAATAATAGCGTCTTCGCTATTATTGAGATGATCTTCTTCATCGATGTCGGCTTGATCGACATCGGCATCATACGTGACGACGTTTGCGTCGACACGTGATGAGCAAGAGCCAAAACGGTTTTTGCTCGAGCGAGTCCCTCCCCCTTATCCAAGAGTTACACTCTATAAGGGTGGGCACTCGTGGATGGCGTAGGCCATTCACGTAAAACGGTGTGTGCTGTGTTGAAGCATGCACCGAATTATTGATGGCGAATTCCACCATGGGTAGGAATTCGCTCCAACTCGGAAACGAGTGGACATATCCTCGAAGTATCTCTTCGAGGACACGGTTCGCACGTTCCGTCTGACCATCTGTTTCTGGATGGTTAGAAGTGGACATCTTCAATCGTGTTCCGAGAGTATGGAACACGGTTTGCCAAAATTCCGCCGTGAACCGAGGGTCACGGTCGGATACGAGTTCACGGGGTAACCCGTGGAGTCTAAAGACCGTGTCTAGAAAGACACGAGCACAACCTTGAGCCTTGATTGACTCAGGGACAGCAGCAAGATGGACCATCTTGCTGAATCGGTCTACAAACACAAGAATACCATTATTCTTGTGAGCGTCTTCGGGAAACCCGAAGACGAAGTCCATTGAAACGGACTGCCAGCACTCTGTCGGAACAGGCAGAGGCTGCAATGGCGCACGGGATGAAGGACTAGGCTTCACCCGTTAACAAACTTCGCAAGCACGTATATACTTGCGAACAAACTGATACTGGTGGGG